CTTCATTATATTGTATATTAGTAGCAATTAAAGCTGTACTGCCTTAATTAAATGTAAGGGCTTCATATGTTCCAATAGAAACCCAAGCTGGATCCAAAATAGGTTCTGGATCTCTAGTTGTTCCTAACATCATATCTGGTAGATTAAATTAAGTATCAGAAACATATTAAGGTGATATAGTATTTGGAGCCATTAAATTATATTGAGCAATTAGATTTAAATCGGAATGACGAAGTTCAAGTAAGAATTAAGGATTTGTTGTATCTAAATCATAATTTGCAGATACTTAAATTGAATACATAGGCGAACAAGAAGGGAAATAAGCTGGAGTAGCATCGAAATATAAACCTAAATTAGGAAAGACTCCAAAGTTTGTTGGAATATTTGCTGTAAATGATCCTTAATAAGCTAATTAAGAAGTAGAGTCGATAGGATTAATAGCAATTTTAAATATTTAAGTATTGAAATTTATAGAAAACGCATAAAAACTCCACTAACCCATAAATGATGAAAAATTTGGAACCACAACAGGAGTTGCTTAGTTATAATTAGCTTACAGTTGATTTTAACCATTATTATTAAAGAAAAAAGCCAACAATCTTCTTGTATTATCTCCATTTAATTCAGATTCACCGTTCATTGGCAATGTTACTCCATTTGTATTCGTAGAAAGATATATCAAAGTTTGCCACTAATTAGTTAAATCTGGATTCCCTGTTGGTTTCCACCATCCTGATATTGTTAATTTTTAAGAAGTTGAAAGTACATCTGCTCCCATATCCTAGGTTTTCTTTAAGTTATAACTATAAGTTTATGAATTTGTGCAGGGTGATTGGTATTATCCATTTATTAATCCAAAATTATTACATGGGTAATCACAACGGATTTATTTCATAATTATACATGAAAAAACCCCTAAGACAATAAAAAATTATGAAAGCATGAGTGATAATATTAATCTTTATATCAAAACCTTCTTTTTTGCTTATCTTGTAAATATTTTATGAAGCGCTTTCAGATTTTTTCTTTCTTCAATTAATCAAATATAAGAATTAGCTGTTTTTCCTGGATATAAATCTTTTTATTTTTTATTATCTGCTAATATCTACAAAAGCAATTAAATAGTTAGCTTACTTTAATTAATAAGTGAGTGGGCTATCTAAAAATAAAAAAAATAAGGTTGAAAATTAATTATTTGAAGTTTTATTATATTAATAACTAATAATTACATATGTTAAAAGTATTATATCCATCAATTTATTCAAACAATTTTATTAATTAAGTGTATGACATATATATATATATAATGTAACCATTCAATTTATAAATAAATATTATATACATTTATTTCTAAATGATATTCATGGTTAATAAATCAATTAATTGTAAAATTTTATCAAAATTTCTAATTGAATATTTTAGTTTACATGAACAAATTTAAATTAATACTAACAAATTTTTAATAAAATATACCTAATCAAATAAATTCTTTATATCATTTATTTTTAACTCAAATTAAATTTTTTAAAAATTAATATTAAAATATTTTATTTATTCATTTTTTATTTTCAAAAATGTTTAGCTACACTAATTTTTTTAAATTTTCATCCTTCAATATAATTCAAATTGCATTGAAGTTTATTTTGGTAATAAATAAATAAAAAATTGCTATCACTCTTTCAGTAATGAACTAATTATTTTAAGATCATCAGTCTATGCTCTCTCTCCCAATTAAACTATAAAGGTATTTAATAATTTTTTATTTTAAAAATGATACCTAATCAATATTTTTAAATTTAAACTAAATAAGTAAATAAAAAAAATGCCTTCACTCGGGATCGAACCGAGGACCGTAAGATCTTCAGTCTTACGCTCTCCCAACTGAGCTATAAAGGCTTTATATTATAAATTTTTATTTTAAAAATGACACCTAAATGAAATATTTTAAAATTAACAAATAAATAAATAAAAAAATGCCTTCACTCGGGATCGAACCGAGGACCGTAAGATCTTCAGTCTTACGCTCTCCCAACTGAGCTATAAAGGCTTTATATTTTTATAGAATTTAAAAATTTAGTTTTTATTTTTTATGTTTCTTTTTAATTTAAATTTAATCAATAAATATTTTTAAAATAAAATTTAATACTTAAATATATTTATTCAGCTAAATTATGAAATGAATTTTAACTTGAATTTTAAAATATTATTTAATTTTAATTAAACTGATTAAAATATGTTTATTTATCTCTCTTCTTAGATTTGATTATAGATATTTTCAAAAATCTTTTTTAATCTCTATTTTTTTTTTATTTATTTATTTGTTAATTTTAAAATATTTCATTTAGGTGTCATTTTTAAAATAAAAATTTATAATATAAAGCCTTTATAGCTCAGTTGGGAGAGCGTAAGACTGAAGATCTTACGGTCCTCGGTTCGATCCCGAGTGAAGGCATTTTTTTTGTTCAATTATTTAATTATATGGCTATTAAAGTATGTTTCTTTTCTGAGTCTTTTATTAAACAAATTTTTATAATATAAAGCCTTTATAGCTCAGTTGGGAGAGCGTAAGACTGAAGATCTTACGGTCCTCGGTTCGATCCCGAGTGAAGGCATTTTTTTATAAATAAATTTATTCATATTTTTAGTTGAAAATATCAAAAATAAATTCATAAATTATTTCTTTTTTATTAACATTAATTTTTTTGATAATAGATAAATATTTAAAAATAAATATAAATTTAGGATTCTATAAAATAAAAGATTGGTTTTTAAATAATATTTATTTATAGTTTATTATTAATTTATTCTTGATTACATTTAATTTATAAGAAAAGTCGATTTTTTTAGAATATTCATAAATAGAAAAAAATGAACTTAATGATAATAATATAGCTAATTTAATTTTCATTTTTACTTATAAAATTATTTTTATAAAATTTCTTTTAAATATTGAATTGTTTATAAAATTTTTATTTCTAAAAATTAAATAATTTAAGATAGCTTTTAAAATATAAAATCAATAAAAAAGATTTATTTATCCATTTACTTAAAAAGAATAGCACAAGATATTTAAATAAAATGAGCTATTTGTTAATATAAAAAAGAGCAAATTCTTTTTATTTGATTTATGATAAATTCTAAATTTAAAAATAAACTGAAATATATTATTTTTATAGTAAATAGTTACCAAATAATTGAAAAATCCTAATGAATCTGGTTATTCAAACGATTTTAATCTTAAATGTAATATTAAGAAAATAAAAATATTTATCACCTTTTTAAAAATATGAAAATATTTCTATTTAAATATTAAATAGGATAATTTAATTTTAAAAATAAGCCAATATAAAAATTTAAATAAGAAATTATTTTCTATTCTTTAGAACACAAAATTCTTTTTTTATTAACTTTTAAATTTTAAAACAAATAATCTAAAATGATTTATGAATAGGTAATTTACTTTATTTAATCCATTTCATTTTAAATTTTCTAAAATAGAAAAACACAAATTAATTTATTTCTAAGATATGGAAGGGTCTTTTTATGGATAATCTTATTTTAAAAATATAAATAAATTATTACTTATAGCAGATAAAAATCAAATAGCTACAAATACTGTTTTTTATTGTAAAATTAATTACTTAGCTATGAAATAATTTATTAAATTTTTATTTATAATTCACCAATGATTTTAAATATATTCTTCTAAAACATTTTTTCTCTCTTTTATTTCTTAAAGCGAATATTTTTTTCATATTCTAAAATTAGTCAAATTTTTATTTCAAAATTAATTTAATTTTATAAAAAATTAACTATTGAACAAAACCAGTATATTTTAAGCAATTAATAAAACGAAAATGAAAAATAAAATTGATAATTTTTAATTTTAAATTATCAATCAGAAGACTGACTGATTTGAATATTGAATTTGTTCAAAAATATTTTGTAAATATGAGGGTAAAATTTTTTAAGAATTGATCAGACTATAAAATTAAGAAATTAAATTGATAAGAAATAAAATACATCAGAATTTTATATAAGAAATAAGTATATATTTATTTTGATTAAAGGATATTAGCACCTGTTTTTATTAAATCAAATATAAAATTGCTGATATATGAAAAGTATACCAAATGAACTGAAGGTAAACTAGAGAACATGATTAATTATAATCAAGCGATGTAGGTATTATGGAAAGCTCAATAGGACATAGAAATAGAAATTAAGTATCAGAAAAAATTAGACTAATTAAGAAACCAAAGAAATGAATAGATACTAATAAATATTTAATTAGAATCAGTCAGACTTTTTTTTTTTGATTGGGTATTTAATGAATTTAAAATATTGATGGCCAAGTAAAAGAAATATGTGACAAATATATGGAATTTAATCAGAGTTTTATCTTTATATTGTAAATTCTTTCTTTTTTTTAATCATCTACCGACGAATTTCAATATGTTTGTATGACTGCATAACCAAAGAAAAGAAAAAAGTCAATTTTTGTTTTGTAAATGAGCAAAATAATCCTACAGACAATATTAACTAAATTCACATAAATTTTTTGAAAACAAATTCATCAAATAAATAAAAAAAAGCAAAACAATACTTTTAGAAAAAAGTGTATTAATATTTTAGATTTTGTAAAATTTGCTCACTCATCATTCATTCATTTATTTATTAATTAGTTAATTAATTAATAAATTAATTTGCTTATTTATTAAATTGTTAATTGATAAAATCATAAAAAAAGGTTTGATATCAATCGATTGATAAAACAATAATCAGAAAAATTTACTTATAAATTAAATTTTGCAAGAAAGTTAGATAGTTAGTTAATTAGTTTTCAATATATACAAATAATTAACTATTAGCTGAAGTAGGATTCTAATAAATCCATTTATAGAAGTATCTATCATTTTCTCCAAAAATAAATACTTAAAGGACTTATTTCTTTTTCTTCAGTTAGGGTTTTTATTAATTTCGATAGTTATATTGCAGAAATGACAAACAATTCCATTAAGGAAGATTTGCTTAGCAATAGCTTCGCGACAACAACTTCATCAAATTCCTCTCCGGATTATCATGCCTCGTAATGCAATGCTTAGTCAAATAATGGTGCAACCTCTTCATTTGAAAGTTAAATCTCAGATTCAAGAGACGAAAATAATAGCAGCAAGTAACTAAGTTTAAGTGAGTTATTCTAAAAATCGGAGCATTAGCTTGGAGATACAAACTTCAAATTCATTAGATATAACTCTAGAGTGACAACTTATTCTATAATAATTTCTTCAATCCTAACTCTTTTTGTCTTTGGCTACATGATTCTCTTTCGCGAATAAATGTTTGTCTTTTCCTTAGAATTTATTGAAAGAATGTAGTCCAACCAGAACTTTTTTTTAGTTTCTTTCATGAACTTTATTTCTCTTTGCGTCAGCCCAAAGCCTGTAATATCTATGTTGGTAATATTTTTTGCTTTATCGACTTAAAAGCTTAAGATATTAACATTTCTTTTATACTATGGATTTTTAACTTACACCTGCGTGCTGCTAAAATCTCTTTTTGGGGATCCAAGACCATATTGGATCGAGTAACATTATTCTTAGAATGTTTAGCAAAATTATGTAAATGAAAGTAGGATACTTAGTGCTTAAAATAATAATTCCAGTGACATTTATTTAAATCAACTGCTGATATAACACTATAATAACAAATCTTTGAATTACTTTGAAGACAATGATTATAATCTTGAGGAAAATTTTTAAAGGCTATCAAATAAGTAGTAATTGAATTTAATTAAATTGTCAGAAACTGATAAGTTAAGTAATATTTTAATTTCTGAAACAAGCTAAGAACCTGAAATTAAAAAGTAAGCAAATACCCAAGTCTATTTAAATCAAAGTCAAATAATAAATAATTCAAATAAATTCCAAGATAATTAAAATATGTCATATTTCTCGAATTCTACTATTCCATATAATGAGAGCCATCACAATAAATTATCGAATGATTTAAATAATCAAAGAAATAGTTAAGATAACTTAAATATTGTTGATCAGGATGAATATAAAAAAGGATATAATAAAACTTAACAAAACATTTAGTAACAAAAAGAAATTTCAGAATAAAAAGAAAGTTAACAAATAAACTAATTAAATTCTATTTAAAATGATATCAATCCTAGTGTTCTACCCTTAGACTGGAAATGCTATTAAGAGTATGGAAATCCTTCAGGACATGCCTTTTTGGGAGTTCCCTTATATGAATTTATTGTAAGAGATTATATTCTGCGTAAAATAGGCAAAGATTAGCGCTTTATTAGGGTTTTAGTAACAGTATGTGCTGTCATATTAGTTAATCTAATTTTTATCTCTAGATTATATTTGGGAATGCATTCTTTAAATCAAGTAATATTTGGCTGTGTATTGGGTATCTATGCAACTGTATTCTATAGATTATTTTTTGAAAGAAGAATTTCATCTATGCTCTATTAATATGTTTAATTAAAGAGATCAAATGCTATTAAATAGATTTCGTATGTTATCTTATTTACTTCCGCCATATTCTCTCTTCCTATAATTATATATACTATTCAAGAGTTGATTCTTAGTCATTCTTAAAACCTTTAAAATTAATTAGTAGAATGGGAAAATATTATTTAACAAAAATGTAGTAATTTTACTAAGATGCAAAGCTTCCACCATAAATGCTTTATCGACTCAAGCGTTGTAGCAATAGGTTTTTCTATTGTTCTAGGATTTTTATTAACATCAAGAGAAAGATTTTTAAAAGGCCAATACAAGGAAATCCCTGGCATCAAAAACTTTATTTACAGAATATCTATAATACTCCTCTGCTGCTCAACAATAGCAATATTTTACTATGTGCTACCTAGTTTCAATAACCCCTATTTAAAATACATCTACCTCTTTTTAGGTATATTTTTAACAGGATTTTTATTAGTGGCACTTGTTCCAAAGCTCTTTGAAAAATATCATCTAATTACATTTATATTTCCACTCTTACAAGAGTAACTTAATGATATCAGCTAAAATGACAACATTAAATAATAAATTAAAAATGAATCATTTAACTCATACCCAAGCTTCTCTTCTTTCTAAACAGAAGCTTCATATAGTAATACTTTAACTAAAGATCTACAAAAACTTTGATTACTTTTAATTATATAAAATATAAACTTATTTAATCTTTTATATAAAATATTATGGTAACTGCTTATTTATTATTTGATGTTTCTTCTTAATTTAGTTAGAATTACAAACAAACCAAATATTTATTTATCTATATCTATGCACCTCTATTTCTTGCTTACTGTGATTTTTATTCTTTTTTAGTATTTACAAACATTTCTCTTTATAATGCTTATTTTTATTTTGGTTCACTCTTTTAATACTCTTTTAATGTTACAGTAATCCTTTAAAAAAAATAAATACTTGTTTAAAAAATATACATTTATTGTCTTATTAAATCAAAGTATTCTTTTTATATTTTAGTTTTTTAATTATTTATTTTTAATGTTTATAAATACTTAGACTAGTGGTGGGGACGAATAAATAATTGAATTTTTATTAGCGGAGATATTATTTTATTTGCTTATTTTTGTTAAAAAATAATGATTTTTGACTGGTCTTAATTGATTGGTGAGGATTTAGAGTATACATTAAGTTAAAATATATATTCAGAATAATACTTTACTCTTTATTATATTTTTAATGTGTTGTTTTTTGTAAAAATTTGAAGGACATAGTAAAATATTTGAGGAGACTTTATAAATAAAAATTTTTTATTAAGTGATAATAAATTAATTCTGACATTCAATAAAATAATTAATTAAATATAAATTATATTTTTATTAGATTCAAAAGAAAAGAAAATATATATAAAACTAGAAATTTTAGATATTTTAGTGGTGATAATTATGAAGTTAATTCTTGGAATTATATTTAATTAAATTTAGCTTATTAAAAATCTTTTTTTTATAAATATAGTTCAAAAAATAGATTAAATGATTAAATTATATTTGAGAGAGGAAATCAATCAAAAAATATATCTTCTTTTTTAATAGAGAAAATATAATAAGTAAATTTATAAAAGCATTTGGGAAATATAAAAATAGTTTACAAAATTTTAAAATATTTTTTCTTAAAATTTAATCTTTAATCAATTCATAAAGTTATTTGGTTTAAATTATTTAATGTTATTATATTACAAAGACTGAGATTTCTATTATTGTTATATGTTGTTGTAGTTAGGTTTTAGTTATTGGGCACCTAATTTAGCATCTTTCTAATATTAATTAGTCACTGGTAATTAGTTGTTTTATTTATCAAATGAATAATTAAATGAATAGTTTGACTACTATTATTTAGATTTATTTACACCCTAGTTAGGATCAACAACTCCATAACTTTAAGAAAGATTGTTGTTTGCATTAATAATGTTAATGTTTCCACTGTTATTGATGTTATATACAGTCTCTCCAAAAGCTTGTAAAATTTATTCTAAAATAACTTTACAGTCTTCATCCATGTAGAATTATAAAGCGAATATATCTTTAATGTTACATAGCAATGCTGGTAATTAATTTTATTTATCAGAGAATTCTTCAATAATCTACTCTGCAACAAAATTACTTTTAATAGCTAAAGCTGTAGACCTTTGTATTATATAATCAGTAAATTTTTTAATTAATAATTATAAATAAAATTAATTTACTTTCTCACTCCTTCATTTACATCCTTAAGTCCAAATAAAAGAGCTCTAAAGTTTTAGACTCCAAGAGCTCCTAATCCCTTTGCACATTCTTATCTAATTATTGGATTCTTATCCTTGGTTAAACCTTCTATGAACATCAATTCTGCTTAAGGACCAAAGCTTGATATACTCTATAGAGCCAACTTTATAAATAGTTAAATTAATAATTTATTTAGGTTATATTATAAATCTTTTTACCTATCTTATTTCAGGTGAGCTGTCTTGTAAAAAGAAATAGAATAAAGGAAGAATATTTCTAGATTTAAGATAAGTAATGTTTGAATCTTATGCCCTATTTCTTAGTATTTCCAAAGTTTGCAAACATGCTTTTCTAACTTCAATCATTTTATCACTTTTTTATTAATATAATTTTATTTTATTTTCATTGTCATTTATTTGTATTTTTACCTTGCATTTTTGAAAAGCTCTTCAATGATAAAATCAATAGTGGGCTTTTATACATTTGCTAATTCGAAAGCTTGAATTATAGCAGTCTTAAGTTTAAAGTTACTTTAAGGTACATTCTTTAGGAGGTCAATTAAAATTTATTCTCCATATACACCAAGTCTAACCAATGTTTCACAGACAGTGACTTTGTTAATAGACCCGTCTCTTAAAATCTTTTTTTTTAATTTATTTTAAAATTTAAACAAAATGAATTTAATTAAATTTATTGTTATAAAAAAAAATATTTCTATTAATTATTTATTTGCTCTTAAAATTTCTTCTTTTTATTTTTTTTATGCATTGTTATTCTATGAAATATAGATAGATGCGCTTTAAATGAAAGATATTATTTATTTGTATTATTATTATAAATTTTTTAGCTTCATATTAATTTCAAAATAAAATAAATTACTTTTGTTAAAGCTGGGAAAGCGATGTCAGCTATTTAACTACCTAGAGATCCTATAGAAACACAAGCAGCAGTTCTTACTTTCCAGTAGTTATCTTTTAATAGCTGAATAAGGCGCTTAGCTACTTTAGGAGGATTAACCTCACCTAATCTTCCAAGACACCATGCAGCCATTGCTCTTACTTAGCTTTCTGGGTCTTTCAAAGATTCATAAAGAGGCTCTATTGCTTATTGAGCTTCAGGTAACCCTATTAAACCTAAAGTGCTTACAGCTGTTTCTCTAACCTATTATTTTATTCAAATATTAGAAATAAAGTCTTATTTTTTTATAGTTACCTATGCATTTTCATCATTGAGCATACCACACAAAGCCTTAATAATATTTTGAGATATTTAAGGGTTTGCTTCTTCGTTATTTACTGAGGGGTCTATGAGTTTAACTAAGGTAAAATCATTCAAAAAAGCTGAATAATTATGACGCTGCTATTGGTAACCTTCTTAAGTAGCCTAAAATTTGTCATATTTCACAGCTAGTAGTCTTTATAGAGCAGCCATGAAATCCCTACTATTTATTTCTATATAATCCTATTCAATATCGTAGTCTTCTTCAACAAAAGCCAATGGAGTTTAATTTCCATAATAAATACACATTGTGCCTGGGTTGATATTGTAATGTTGAGCGATATTGTAAGGAACGATACGAATACCTAATTTATTTTTTTCACTTTTGTTAACCCTCCAGCTTAAAACTGTGCTTATAGCCATTTTAATCTTTTGATTTGGAGTTTATTTAAGGATCTATTGATATAAAATTATTTATTTTATTAATAAATTAGTTTATATTATAAAATTTTACCTTAAGTAAAGTATGTTCACCAAGCTCTCCACAAGCTCTAATAGTAGAGACAATTAATTAGCGGTCAATAGTACCTTCGTTAAGGAGATTTACTAATAAAGGTAATGAGTCTAATTTAAATTATAAAATATGTAAATTTATGTTTTGTAATTTCATTAAATGTTTACTTGCTTTCCAAATCATCGAATGCATACGATTAAGAGCACAAAGAGAAGATATTCTCTTTTTTTAATCTCCAGAGTTTATATCATTTTAGAGAGAAGGGATGATAACAGATAATTATATTTCTTCGGTTTGAGCGAATTTGTTCATGATGTAGATATGAATATCATTAATTTCTTTATTAGCAATATCTAATAAAGCAAAATATCCTGGGTAGTCAAAGTTAACTAAAGCAAGGAAGGCTTTATCTTGCAAAATTGGGAGAGCTTCATCAATTAAAATTGAAGCAAGTAATTTGATATTATTGAAAGAGATGCTATGAGGTCCAATTAAGGCTATTCATTAATAATAATATTTTAAAAACTAATAAATTGAAATTCTTTTTTGTTTGAAAAATTATTTTTATCATTTAATCAAATATTATGCAAAATATGTTTGTATGATTAATAGACTATCTACTATCTATCTTAAAAAAATTTTGATAAATATATATGGCTAACTAACTAAATATTTGTTCAATTTGGAAATACAAAACTAGTTTATATAATTTTATTCTTAAGTTTTGTTTGTTTGTTTGTAAAAAAAAAGGATTTGAAAATTGAAAGATTTTAATACCTATAATCTCAAGAGCACAATATACCATATAGAAATCTTTAGTTTCATAATAATGACGAATATTCAAGTATATTTTAGTAAGAATTTAAGTGATAGCTTGTTCAGTAAGAGATTCCCTAAAATTATAAATTAGCTCAAAAAGGAAGATTAAAGAACCTAGTCTATACTCAAGTTGTTGATCTAAGAAGAAGTTAATTAAGATATCTATTTTTTGTTCATATGAGGCATCTACAAAACCTTAATCGCCTGCAATTTGCTGTAAGAATTCCTTGTAGCATTAATCAAATAAACTCAAATCAATAGACTCTGGCATAATATTGTTATTAATGTTAATTTAACTATCTCCTTGGTTATTTTTTTCTCCCTCTTCCAAATTGTTAAATTACTAGTTTTAATTGTATTCTAAATTGCTACCATCTTCATTTCTACTTTGCTAGTAAGAATTGTTTGCTTTATCTATATTTTATTTTTAATTTGCTCCTAACCTAGATTCATTAGCTGATTCATTTATTTTCACCTTAGATAAATTATATGCCATAACATTTAGAGGGTCTTCTTTTTGAGAATCTGAATGATTGCTTCTTTAGTCTCTGTAGCGGTTTTAAGATGAATACTCTTCATCAAATACTCTCTACATGACTTCCTTTGATGACTTATTTGGCGAATTTATTTTTTAATCACGAGTGAAAGACTGTTACTACTACTAAAATGATTTGTTTTCTTCAATTGAACCAGATAAGCGATTTTATTGCATCTGGGGTTATTACTGTTGTTGTTATTGCTGCTATTGCTAGGGGAACATAGATGGAGGCTAAAAGACCTAGGTGTTTGGAGGAATATGAGCAAACTGTCTCTAAGGCTAGGCACTAGATTGGATATTTTAAGCTGAAGAGCTAGAGTTATTTTAAATTCCTTAAGATGAAGATTGCGAATATCTATTGAATCCATTTTACTACTACTATTACTGCTACTACTATAACTATTATTGCTATTGTTACATTTGCTATAGATACTCTTTTTATTAGAGCTCATGAATATTCTAAACATTGTTTTGCTACTCATATTGAATTTCATGATTTTAATCATGATCATCATGCTGATCTCCAAGCTATTCTTATTATTCCTCATGCTGATATTAATCGTGAAGATGATGCTACTGGATATCCTCGTATTCGTGGATTTAATTTGCTTCTTCGTACTCTTCGCCTTCGTGCTAATAGTGTTCTTCATATTCATTTTGAGGTTGCTCCTCAGCATTATTTCCATTTCCTAGATGTGGCCCACCATACTAAGAATTAAACTGTGCCTGTTATTGCTAACTCATTTTTAAAATTTATTTTGTTTGTATGGTTATTCTTCTTTGAATTATCTCTTTATTAAGAATATCTAACTTTTAAGATTTATTTAATTGCTTAGTCTTTTATATAGTGAAAATATCGTCGTATCTAATTCAATTTTTATAATTGTTTTTATTCACTTGATAATAAACTTGATTCAAAATAAATATACTTGAATAAAACTTCGTTTGTTTCTAATAATCAATCTTATTTATTTATTTATCTTATTATTCATTCATTCATTTTATTATTTATTTATTTAATTAATTATTTTTCGTTTCGAAATAGCATGAAACAGACAAATAAAATAACAAGCAAATTCTGTTTATAAAAGAAAGCAATATCATTCTAACTAAATATATATGAAAATGATTGAATAAATTTTATATTTTATATTTATTTTTTTCACTTTTTGAAAAAAATGCTAACAATATTACATAATAGTAATTGAATTTAATAGATTAAGTTCAATTATAAAAACTTTTTAAGTCTCTATAAACATAAATATATTTATTTTAATATAAACATATTTATTTATTTTCTGTTTTCATAATATTATTTTACATTTACATTTTCTGAGAAAGGATTTACTTTGAATTATTATTTAAATTTAAAAGTTAGTTGTTAAATTTTAGAAAATGAATCAAATTTTTATTTTTTATTTTTTATTTTTCTTCAATTAATTAATCAAAATCTTTCATCCTTTTTTTGTTTGAATATTTTAAATTTTTGCATACAAATTAATTTTTTAAAATGCAGGAATAAATGTTAATTTAATTTATTTGAATTTTGTATAAAAATATTTGTTATAACCTATTTATAGCTTTAAATCAATTTTTTTATTTTAGTCTTTCAAAATTGCAATATATAGGAGAAGATGGCCCATGAACAAACTTTTAGAGTCTGTCCATTTAATAATCAGGATTAGTGAGAGTAACTTCAAAATCTCTTAATATAACACTAAAAACAATTTTAATGGTAAGTAAACCTAAATGTTGTCCTATGCAATTTCTTCTTCCAGCTGAAAAGGGTAGATAAGCATAAGAATTGATTTAATTTTTTTCAAGCCATCTATCAGGATTGAATTCTTCTGGGTTTTTAAATATCTTTGAATTATAAAAATTTGTTAAAATTGCTAAATTAACCATGGAACCTTTTTTTATTTCTATGTCTTTAATCTTATGATCTTAAGTTGCCTTTATTTTTATAAAAGCTATTAAAAAACTAACAAATAGCATTAAGCTTTATTTTTACTATTCTATACATAAGGGTAGAGGTAGGTCCATAAAACCTAAATATTTCTTTTATGAAGCAATCCAAATAATTTAGTTATGAAATCTTTTCGTAAGTAATTGGTTGATCATGAGAGAAATGCTAATTTATTTCTTTTCTTAGCTTTTCTCCAATCTAAGGTTAATTAGAGAATATTTTGATAAGTATTTTTTAAGTAAAATTAATATGAAGATTTAATAAAAATGAGCAAAATGTGTCTGAATGATAAATTACATGAGGATATTTACAATAAAAATAAAAGCAGAACCCCACCGTGTGACCTTTATTTAAAAATTATAAATCCAATTAATTAGAGAATATTTTTAGCATTTTTTTTTTATTAAAACTTATAAATTCTGAACAATGAATAATTAATACACACCAGTAGTTTCCATTCCAGCTAAATAAAAGGTCAAGTACTCTTCTAAAAGTTCTTCTGGTAATATTTTGTTTGACTTAGTTAGCTCTTCCTTTTCCTGTTTACTCATATCTGAGGATTTTTTATCTAATATATAACCATTTTTGATGATCTGATCGATGATTGAATTTTCTGTATCTACTTAAAAATCTTCTTAGCTTTAAGATTATTTTTATTGTTAACTTTATTTATTTATCCTTGAGTACAAAGCATCAATTAGAATTTGTTTAATATTTTTTATGTCTTCATTAACTACTCTGTCAAATCTACACCAACCTTTATCAAATGTGTAAGTTCCTGTTAGAATATATCTGATTGTTCTCATTTAATTGCAAGTAGCTGTATTTAAATGATATAGGTTTTGGGGAATGGTTTTCTCTTTGTAACGTTAATTATTCATATTTATACCAAAAAACTATTATGTGATAATATCTCCACTGATGTGTTAAGATAAATCAATCATATCAATTCTTTAAACTGTTTTTTTAACTAATGGACATTTTTATATAACCCAATTTTAAGTTATCTACTCAATCTTTGGCACCACTTGCTTCAAATTGTCAAAATGAAAAAGCTTAGAAAAAATATTTCGTTTTCTATTATGGGAAATTTCGTCAAATAAAAATCCATTTCCTAATACTCTACTAAACATTTTCACTATGAAAGGACTTTTTTAGTAGCAGTTTAGAGAGTAAAATTCTTTTATCATTTCAGGATCTATCAAGTAGAGAGCAATGTTTCCTCCTATTTATTTATATAGTTTTACTTCTTATATGTTCTTTTTTTCCACACTTATTAATTTACCTATGTTTATAGCTAAGGATTTAGCATCAGGATGCTCAATTCCTACTTACTTAAAGAACCTAAGAGAGTCACCATACTTTTTAAAATCTTTCTGTAAAATACCCCATAAACCTGATATAGGATAGTATTTTATGATTGATACACCTTATATTCTATACCTTATCAAGTTTGCTACAGGGTAAATTACCATTTTAAAAAATGATAAACACAAAATGAGAAAAAAAAGTATTTTAATTGCCACAAATATCATCTATTTTATTTATTTCTTTTCTAATTTAATTTAAGCTTTTATTTATTAGTAATTAATTATATTCTTTTCATTTTGAGAACTTCTTTTTCCAAATCTATATTTTGGGGGAATTTTTTATTTTATTTCAATACAATAATATCTCCAATTAAAAATTAGTTTTCAAAAAAATAATTCATCATTTTTTTAAAGAAGCAATATTATAAATAATTCACTTATAATAAGATATATTTCAGTGGAATCCAAATAATTTAAAAATTTTATATTTTATTACAATTTTACAATTTATTTGGTTTTTATTTTCTTCAAAAAACAAGAAATTTTAATGATTTAATTAAATTTTTATTATTAAAAGGTATTACTTCATATTTTATTTAAAGATATCTCTTAAAGTTAATTAATCTTTTATTATTTCTATTAGAATTTTTTAATGTTTTAGATAAAATTAATTATTTATTTTTAAATAGTTTAAAAAGAAGGATTGAAATTTTTAAAAATTTTAAAAGTATTTTCATTTTAGTTTAGTATTTTATAAATGATTGTAATAAAATTTATTTATTTAACTTTACATTAATATTTAATTAATTAGAGACTATTTAATTCAGATAAAAAATATCTAGATTTTTATATTTACATATTTGAAAATTATTTGTGGAATAGTTTAAATAAACCTTTTTTAATTGTTAAAAATAAAAATTTATGCTTGAGATTTATTTCTTAATTAAACTTAATTTTAGATAAGTAATTCTAGATATATAAACTGAATAAAAATTAATAACAAATCACCCAAATGCTAGCATAAAATTCTTATTTATTAACCAATTTGATCATTCATATTGTTCAATAAATTTATAAATTTTTATCATAAATAATTGGAATATCTTTAAATCTATTATATTAGATAATTATTTTTCAGATAAATTTAATAAATAAAAAAATGTAATATTTATTTTATTTTTTTAATAATTTATTATTTTAAATATATTTTTAATTTTTGAAGAAGCAGAATTTTATATGTGCTAAGTATTATACTTATTTTTTTAAAATTATTTATGATGTTATATAAATCATGTACTGACTGGACATTATAATTTTAGTCTTTCGAAAAATATAAAAAAATCTAAAATAGCTGTAATAAAATGTGCTAAATCTAAAATAAGTCTTTTATTTAAATAATTAAATAATACATCAAAATTAACTATCATAAAATCTAAAATAAACTTTTCATATAATATTGAAAGAAACAATAAATTGATTGATTGCGTTTTGATGAATCAAATTTTATTTAATCAAAATGTATATGAAAATAAGCAGAAAGATAGACATATTTGTTAAATAATTCTTATTTAATATGAAAGTAATGTCATATCTATAAGAAAAATATTCTTAATTTTTCATAGAATTATATTTGGTTTTGGAAGATAAGAAAGAATGTGTGTGAGTGAGTGATTGATTGAAGGAGGTTAAAAAGATAAATAAAAAGAAAAAAAGAGATAAATTTTTATATATTATTTCAACGTGATTATTTAATTTATTCTTTAAATCTTTAAAATAAATATCATACATTGAAAAAATAAAAAGCACTTTAAAAATTTAGAAAGATAATCATTATTAGTTTAAGCATGTTTTAGCCTGATATTGCAACACTTCAATAAGTTGCTTAGCTCTTATAGCAAGGCAAGTTAGCTGACAATCAATAGCAAAAAGAAGTATATCAAAAAATAGAGGAATATTCTAAGTCCCCTGAATTTTATAATTACTTATCCTACATTTTGGCTGCATAAAACAACCAAATTTAGCTTGAGATTCGTCATATGGCTGGTAAATACTCACTCACTTTTAGTCTTTTATAATAAATAACTTATACTAAAATAATTTCTTTTTGCCCCCCAATTAAGCTATTTCTCATATCACATAAGAAAACATTTACCTAAATTGTTTATTTTATGATTTTAAAAAAATGGGTTTTAGTTATAATTTATTTTTTTATTTATTATTTTTTAAGCATGTCTAAAATTGATTCATATTTTATGCAAAAATATTTTGAATTTCAAAGCAAGGCTTAAATTTATTCTAATTTTAAAATATTTTGTTAGGTGTTACATTAAAGTCGTTAGTAGAGAGAAATTTTGAGCATATTCCTGAACAAAATATCTAGTTCATTAAGCAAAACTTGTTCTAGTCATTTAACGATTAATAAAAAGCCATTAGAAGCGCTATAGGTACTTTGATGACCACTATAATTTACAAGGGAGGATTTTAAAAATGGCCAGAATTGATTGAGTTTATGATCTAAAACTTAGAGTCCACAGACCAAGGTGCTATTATTAACAGTATAGATTGCATTTCTAAAATCGTAGAAGATTTAAGAGTAAACTCTGAAAATTATGCATTTTTAGATTCTTCAAAGGGAGGATCTTAGCTCAACGTTTTGATTCCTAAACTTTTTTCCTTCTGTGATCCAAAATATGGTACAGAAATACAATCAAACGCTATCCACACATTGAACTTATGCGTTTAACCAATGCCTGCTGCTTTGGCAGAAAATTTAGATCAATATTTATAGATCCTCCTAAGCAACGTATAAAACAGTGAAAAGAGTATCAGACAAAGAGCTTTCCAAGGAATTACAGCATTAACTGAAATAAGAAGAGACGCAATAATGAAAAGAATAAATCAAGTCATTCAATCAATCATTATTGGTAGTTAAGATGCTGAATATGATGTTGCTAAAAGTGCCTGCAACTTCTGGTTTGAATATCTTGGTATGGAATAAAGTCCAGAAGACATATAACAAAGTATGAAATGTGTTTAACCATACTTAAAAGAGTATATAATTGTTTTTTTTAAATTCAACTTTTAGTTAAAACTAAGAATTTTCTTTAATTTAAAAGTTTGCTTCCTGCTTTATTGAAGGGTCTTTAATACACTGACGATGATTTAATGAATATTTTGCCTAGCACATAAAACATAAATAATAGACCTGAAATTTCAGAAGTAGGTGACATTGATGATTGTGATTTTGATGAAAATGAGAATTAATATGATTTTGAAGGAAATGATAATGAGAGAGAAACAAACGATTATGGTGAGTACACATTGAGAAAAGTTTGTGGAAGAATTATATAAAAATTTTCATAGCAATTTAGAGATGACGTTTTCCAAATTTTATAACCTTTAATTGAGCAATGCTTCTAGAGCAACGATTGGAAAATAAAGTAATTTCCTTTATAAGTCTTTGATATAAATTGTGTTATAAAAATCTTTTTTATTTTAAATTAATCAGAGAAGTTGGCATAATTTGTTTAGGCGATATTTCTGAAGGAAGCATTAATTCTGTTTAGGTACATTTAGGAAATATAATTCCTTCATTGATATAGTTGTTCAATGTTCCTGGATAAAATTATCTCCTTCAAACCTCAATTATGTGGACCATTTGTTAGTATAGAAGCTGGTTGATTGACAACTACAATTAATATTTCGATGTAATCAAAAGCTATTTGTAATGCATGGCTTTCGGAATCACTCACTAAATGCAACACTTGTAAGAGTGTTCTTGCCAGTGCTTAAAGGATTTTGTAGATAATGGATCTATGATTCTTAGACCATACTTGCACGATTTCATTAAAGTATTTAATTTGAAGAGAATCGGATAATTATTTTTTTTTGTTAACTGTAATAGGTTGTTACTGAAGCAATTAAAGTTTATTAAAACAGCAATTTAAATATGCTTTTAGATGCTGTGTGCACTATTGTTAGTACCATGTAAGAAGAAGTGAATACTCCAGAAGTCCTCCAAACACTACTTCCACCTATCCTTGAAAAATGGGGATAACTCAAATCAACTGATATTGCTATAAAAGGATTTGCAGGTAAATTAGATTGAAATAACAAACAAGCATTTTAAGTTAAAATAAAATTATTAGAATGCTTCTCTCTTCTTGCTCAAGAATTAGAATCCAATTTCTTAATCTATACCGAATACATTTATCCTAAATGCTTTGAAATGTTACAAAATTATGTCATAGCTTTAAACACAGAAAGTAAAGATAGAAAACATATTAATTAAAAGAAGTAAATATTCCTTATGGGTACCGATCTCATGAGCAGCATAGTCTATTGCACAAAATAAAACTTTGCTCTCCTTGCTCAACATACAGATTTAAACTCTATAATTATTAATACAATAGATGTAATTAAATTAGTCATTATTTTCTGTTTATCAAAATTCTTTTTCTTAAAAAAAAGTCTTAAGACAGTGAGGTTAGATCTTTCATATTCACCTTGATAAGTGAAATTTCAATCCATTGTCCAAACTATATTGCATAAAAAGTAGAGATATATACTCAAATGATATCTTAGCATGTTATTCTTTTCCCACATTCCCTAGATCCCGGTAATTATTACTTGAATACTTGCAATAATGCTGTACTTTGTCTCAACTAATTATGCATTAGTTATCCTGAAATAATGAAACCTTATGCTTACCAAATAGCTTTAAAAATAATTAAAATTTTAGAAGAAACCAAAAAAGTATTTAAATTTAAAATTTGAATTTTATATTAATGTTCTTTACAAAAATAGATGGTTATTGATGTAGCCAGAAATGTATGTTGCTCTTTATGCTCCATAGCATTACTTGATTACTAAAACGTTAGTTAACATCTTTCTAGTTTCGTCTAAAAATTCTGTCTTAGTGTGAGATAATACAATGGATAATAAAAGAGAAGAGCTTTTGAGTATTTATTTAGTTTTATTGTTTTCATTAATATATTTTATTAATTAATATAAAAAAGGGGTTTATTCAAAATGGCATTCCACAATCCTAATGGTATCATTAATTATATGAGCTACATTGTTGATTCTTTCATAAGATACTAAAACCCTCCATAGGAGTTGAAATTGTAATTCAAGACTCTGTTGATCGAATATAAAAAAACTCTTAACGATGAACAGTGGTAAAACTTCCTTTTGAACAGTAATTTCGACTAAATAGTTATCAAAAACTTAATTTAGCAATACCTTTCTTGAAATCAACCACCAAAGCAAGTGAGAGTAATGAAAAATTATTTAACTTAATCAATCAACAATCCAAAATATCAATTAAAAAAAACTATATGATCTATCTTCGATATACCAATCAATCAATAAATAAAATAAATCGTTATCATTCTATTTCAATTTAATTCAAAGAATTGCATTCTCAATTATTTTTAAGTATTTTAATTACAAAAAACAAAATAAAAATATGATTAACCAAAAAGAAAACAATAATAATTATCAAAATAAAATAATAATCAAAGTTAATAATAATAATAAATTAATAATTAAATCTAACTAGCAACGCTTGAAATATAAAAAATTAATTCAAGTGATTTTTATTTCTAAATAAAATAAAATATAATATATGATCTTGTCTTTGTATTTATATGTGTTTGTATTATATTAATTCTATTTATTTATTTAATAAAAACATCTCAAAATTTTATTAAAATTTAAATAAATATTCAATTAAAAGTCGATTCATATTAATTAATTCATAGTTTAAAAATAAACCAGAAGAATATTTATTTTAATCATTTATAATTGATTATTTTTATAATCTTTGATTTATTTTAAAAATATTTGTAACTCTTTTAAGTAAATATTTTTCAGATTAAAAATGAACCGCAGTACATACTTACAGTCAATTTCACAAAATTTAACTCAAAAAAATAAATAATTTTTGTTAATTGTTTTAATAATAAGATTTATCTTTTTGAAATTTATGATGATTTAGGAAATATTAGGGTATAAAAGTATATTTACACTTTTTTCTATTTATTTAATTGAAAAATTAAACCTTATTTTTATTTTTTAGTTTCAATTAAATGTGTTTGTTTTAGAGTTAGTAAAGTTCAGTAATATTCTATTTTTTGAGATTAATAAATTTAAAATAGATTTTAACTTGGTTTTTTGAGCTAATATTTAATATAATTTATTTATTAAATTTTAATTTTTAAAATAATTTTTTTAATGAAAAATAAATAGTTTGTAATCAAATAAATATTTTACAGAATAAATACACTTAAAATAAAATAAAGTTAGTGATAAATAATTCAATTCATTAATTAGTTTATTTATTTATTTTGAGGCAAAGCTAATTATTTATGGAGTTCGAAATGTTTAATTATTTATCGAATATTAAGTATGCTAAAATATTTATCAAAATTCTTGTTTAATGCAAATATTTAAAGTTCTATGATTTACTTGAACAACAAAGTTTTTTTGTAATAAATTTTGAATTTAAGGAAAAGCAGTAAAAATTATGTTTTATCAACTATTACAAAAGATTTTTTAATGCCACTTGAAATCCATAGAAATTAATGAATTAATTTTTAATACGATTTTCAGAAAATTATTTACCAAAAACTAAATAGCATTCAAAGATTCATGGATAATTAATTGCAGTTATCAAACAAAAATCAACTTTTGGATTAGACAATATTCACCGCATATACACTAATAATAATTCTTAATTTTTTTATACTAAAATTGATACTGCAAAACTAATTTAAAATAAATAACATAGTATTTCATAGTTATATATAAAATAATAAGCTATAAATAAGTTAATTAATTAAACATGCAAACATACTAAGGCAGTGCATTTTCCTCGTCTGAAACTTCGCCATTAAATTATCTTAACGAAATAGATTAAAATGTTATTGGGAAGTATTACTTAAAAAAATTTAATCAGCTCAATAATCCTAGAGCTAGATAGATTGAAAATTCTAAACAAAAAAATACTGAAAACTTAGAAAAAATAGTGATTTAACAAAGATCTGTTTAATTTATTATAGAGCCCATCTACAAATTAATAGAACCAATAAACAAATTTTATATTTACGGAGACTTTCCAGTCGAAGCAGACTTCTTTTCTAAAGAAACAAGCGATTTATAAACTATTTTAGAGGAGTCCAAATAATGGACTTAATGGAAACAATGCGTTCAAGTATAATACAATCATTAAAATGGGTTTCTAGAATTGTTTCAAAGTATTAAATTTATTTATATGATTAATTTTAAAATGAATTTATTTTACTGATATTTAATCTATTTGTTATAACAAAAATATTTATTTCATTTATTTCTTGATTAACATTTAAGACAGACATATTGTTTACTATTTTTTCAATTTTAATATAAATAGAAAGTAATAATAGTGGTTTAAGTGATTATTAATATATTGTTAATATACTTTAGTCTTTATAAGATTAAAGAATGTATGAATTATCTCAGATAATTTAAAGCTACGGAAGTGCTATCCTCAATAATTTAACTTAGATAAAATAAATTTTTAAATTTGTAAATAATAACCCATAGCTTGTGGATTATTTAGAGAATAGATTTGTAGAGTTTTAGTAAAAAGGATTAAAATGGATTTAGGAAAATATAGATTCAAATTAGTACTATACTTATGTTTTTGGTAAAATTGATTTCAAAGAAGAATGCTATTATAATTATTAAGAAGGTTTTTCATCTGGGCTTTTGTAGATTTTAGGTATCTATCTATCTTTCTTACTATTCATTTATTTATTTAGATAGTAATTTAATTTTTATGATGCCGATTAATTTCTATATGGCCTAAGATCTTATTATTAAAAACCATTTAAAAATTTGATTAATTTTACTTATTCAATGTTAATATTACTTGAACAATTCTTCCAAAATTGTAATTTATAAAGAAAGAATTTTATCACGTATAAGAAATAATAAAATCAAAGAGATTAAATTTAAAGAGAATATTTTAATTTAAAATGATAAAATATATAAATAATAAAGGGTTGGATGTAGAGACTGCAGCAAGGATAATACTTAAGGTAGGAAAGTTAGAATTTATAGATCAATATGGGAGATTCATCAAACTTTACAAAAAATTGGTATTTGCTATATCTCGGAAAAGAGAGTAGTAAGAAGAATTAAATTTTAGTATAGTTACAGTTGATGGTTATAAGATTCCAGTAAAAGTGTTAGTTATAAATCCACCTATATAAATGAGTGATATTTCGTAATATTTTAATTAATTTAATATTTTTTTTACAAGTAATAAACAAATAACAAATTTTGCATCATCAATTCCTCAAAATAATCTTTTAAGTGCATAACTTAATTTACATTAATCTATAAATGAATCAATACATTCTTACTTAATTAATTGGTATTTTAATAAATATTTACAAAACCTTACTTTAAATTGTTAAACATTATAATTCTTTAATATAAACTAGAATAAAAGAACTGCTAAATGTACCTCAATTATCTTTTAATTAAATTTTAACTATATTCTAGTATTAAATTGAACCTGCTTGGTTGAAATTCCTATAGGATTAAAGGTAGGATTAGCATAATTTAAAGCTTAAGTAATTAGACCAAGCAATTTTGTAAGATTTCAGCTGCATGTAAAGATATTTAAGATATTTCTCTATTACTTACATTATTATCTTTATTATTTTATTAATCACTATTACCAAAAGAATTTTTATTTAATTCAAAATTAATTTAGGAACGACCCTTTTATAGACAAGTATTATAAATAACAGTTTTAGCAAATAAAAATATAAAGTGAGTAAGAAAAAAAAATATGTGGATTCACGGTTCTCAATTGAAGGATTTTACTTTTTTTGTGATGAAAAATCCTAAAATTAATCAACATGATTTAAACAAAAAAAATTAATTAAATTAACTTACAAATTTAAAATAGTAGGAAAAGAAATAAATATTTATATGTCTTTAGTTTCAAAATATAAATTGTGTATTGAAATAAACAAATAAAATAATTGTCCTGATATTTATTATTTTTTGTATTCTCATTCGCATTTATCAGATTTAGATTACTCAAAATTTAGAAAATATTTAGATTTTCGCAATTTTTTAATGCTAAATTCAGAACAGGTTTCTCCAATACTGATTAATTACTTTTAGAAATTGTAGAGAAAGAAAGTTATTATAAACATAAAAATAACAAAGCTATAGTGGTCTATCCATACAATTAATTTTTTTTTAGTAATTAATTTATGTATTTTTTATCATTCTTCAAATTTTAGGTTTATTAAGAGATTTTCTTAATTTTTTATCATTAATTAATTTTTAATTTTTATAAATACCCTTGTGTTGTTTATCTCTTTAAACAAAAAAGCATAAAAAAAGATTAATTTGTTTTGTGGAATAGAAATTAAATGGAAGTTGAGGACTCTAATTGCAATTCAAATACATATGGATTGGCTCTTTCGAGAAAAGTAATATAAACTTTCGTATAAGATAAGAAAGATCATGTGATTTTTATGTATTTCCATAGACTTAATTGGATAATGATAGTAGTTGTTGCGATGAAGAAGACTTAAAGAAAAAGTAGTAGAGAATATACAATTTGATGGATTTTTACAAGCAAAGGAATGAAAAATATAAAAAAGTTGAGTTTGATTATAGTCATATTGAGAGATTTATTTTACCAGAAAAAGAAGTTTATATTATTGGTGACATGATTGTAGAAGATTTCTTAGACAAATCAGAACCAAGTTAGATTGTAAGGGCTTCAAATTGGCAGTGCTGGCGAAGAGCAATAAAAGTGGAATTTAGAAAGGATATATTGTGTTTAGAAACTATTAATGGTATACAAATTGTTTATAGTTTTTTAGGATTAAGAGTTTAACAATTTCTTTAATAAAAGAAAATACTGCAATTGGTCTATGTGAAATGAAACAAGTAGTGAAAATGCTTTAGTCAAAAGGCGATTAATAACTATATAATTTATCTTGCTTGCTGGCAAATTACTAAAAAGTAATAGATATCATTTTAGGTGTAAAAGCGGATATAATGGCTTTCTTGAAAATATATCCTAACATTTAACAGTTGCAAGACTAAGTATTTTAAAAATGGTTGGAGGATTGTTATAAGTGGATTAAAAAAAACATGAAACAAGAAGATATCTACACCTACGAAGTAGGTAGGATAGATTTTAAGAAACTAGAACATTAAGAATATATGTTTGGTGTGAGTAAATCACTGCTAGACTTACTAGGTAAATATTTTTTTTAAATTAATTAAAATTAGAGGTAATTAAAAACTTCAATCAAATAAATTAAAGATCTATTTATATATATATCTATCTATTTGTTTATATATTTGCTTTAAATTAGGAACTGATGAAAATACAGCTGTTAATATAGCACTTCGTTTTGGTAAAATAGAATTTTATACTGAAGAAACAAGGTATATTAATATTACTTAGAAGTTGATTTTTGCTTTAACTTAAACCAGAGACCCTAATAGAGTTATAAAATATGATATAATCACCTTAGATGGAATAGTAATACCTGTTTAGGCTAAAATAGAATGCCCAGTTATACCTTTGTCATCAGAGTAAATATTTTCTTACAATTTTTTATACCAATTTTTTAATTTAATTCTATAAAAAGAGTTCCTGGATTAAGCGAATAGCCATTTTATAAAGCTTTTGCTTAAGTATTAACAGTAATCAAATATTAAATTGATGATAAATACATTTAGCTAGTTAATAAATCGAGATCTATGCAAAATAATAACAAGAGTTATGGGGAAGATTTTTCTTACACTATGGAGAGGTAATTAAGTTTAATTAAAAAAATTATTTTAAATCTTTAAAATTTTTTTATTTTGTAAAATTTACTTTGAATTTTATAAAAATTTTAATAATAAAAAAAATAGCACTTTGTTACTAGAAAAGTTTTATAAAAACGAATACAAACAACAATTGAACAATTCTAATTAAGATATAAAGCGCTGCTTATTTACTGAATTATGATGATGACAATGCTAAGAAACTAATTTATAATTAAAAAATTAATTACTTACTTACTAAATTTTGACTGTTGCTTTTTACCTTGCAGCCAAAAAAATAATAAAAACACAATAATTATCTATACCTCTCTAACAAATACATCTAACAAAATATAAAAATAGATAAATTAGCATTAATTAATTAATTGATCAATCTAGAATTTAATATACTTCCTTGATTAAACCAAATAAAATTAATCTAATTTACAAAAAAACTACTTAATTTATATAAAAATGACTAATAAAATTTATTTAAAAAACCAGCTAAAAAATGTTTTGTCTGATTCTTAGTTAATTAATTCGTAAAATCTAAATTACTTTCTATTAAAAAAAGCATATAAATATATAAAATTTTATAAGTTTCAAAAGTTTAAAAACTTAAAGAAAAAATTTTTTTCATTTAACTTCAATTTTATTTTTTATCAATTATTTTTTTAATATTTTTATTTTTTTGCCTATCTATGTATCTAATAGTCTTTATATTTTTGTCATCTATCAGTCTGTCTGTCTATCTATATATATATCTATTTATCTATCTAATATAAGTCCGTAAATTAATTATATCTATGTTAAGTTTAATCGATTTTTAATTTAATAAAAAGTAAATAATATTAAAATGACTGAATTTTTTGTAAAAATACAAGAGTAAATAACTATTGGTAGATTTTTTAATTTATTTTTAAGTTTTTACACATCTTACTAAGTAAAATGAAAAATTTTTTTTGTTAAATAATTTAAAAAATTTTCAAATATAAAATTTATTCAAAATAAAGTTTATTTATTTATTATATTAACATATTTATTGATAATTAAAAGCTTAAAAAATACATCAAAATATTAAAAATACTTGATTATTGAAGATTAATTTACTATTTTTTTTTTTAAATTATTTACGATATTTATTTAGTTTAATTAGTATTTGTTATTTATTAAGTTATTCATTCCATAATTTTTAACTTTACTTATGAATTAATTATTTAATATATCATATTAAAATAAAGTTTTACTATGAAAATTTATTTAAATATGTTAATAAACAAATCTACACAAAAAATAAATAAAATTATGGTTATTTCTGATTACAAAATAAAAATACTAAAAACAAATAATTTGCTTAAGGATAAAATAGTTATAAATACTATTCTTTTTCTTCCCAATTTTAAGTACATTGTAAATAACACTAGTAATAAATAACTACTAGTTAGATATACTAGAATGAGAAATTATTAAAGTATTATCATAGTGAAAAAATATTATAAAATAATATAAGTGTTTATAAATATTTAGCTTAAAGGAAAATAGTATAAAATAGTATTCTTTTTCTTCGTAATTTTAAGTATTTTAAATAAAACTATCAATAAATAATTATTAATTTGATATACCAGCATAGGTAATTATTAAAGTTAAACTATCATAGTGAAAAAATATTTTAAAAATATATCATCGAATTTACAAGTATGTATAGAGATTTGCAAATTTGTATTTATTTTTGATTATAGACATAATAATTAAGATAATAATAGAAATATTTACAAAACAAATAGTAGTTTATATAAAATAATTAAATAAAGTGTTTTTTTAGTAGTTATATCATTTTAATTTTTGAAATGGTTTATTTTTAATTTATAAATAGTTTATTTATTTATTTAATAGATTGTTAAAGTTCTTTATTTGTTATTACATTTGTGACATTTTTTTTGTTTGCTTTTTCATTTTTGATTGTTTAAAACTTTCAATATTTAATCAAGTGAGAAGAAGAAGAAGTTAATTAATAATATTTTTATAAATTGTTTTTTTGGCATGATTTTATTCAGTATATTTCTCTGATAAGCTCAGAGGGACTTTAGTAGTTTTTATATTGCTTAAATTTAAAGCTATTTTTAATTACTGGACGGACATCGTCAACTTAAGCCAAATACCTTAAATAATGGGATAATTCTAATAGTTCTTAATCTCTTTTATCATCGTAAAAAGGAACAATTGGTATTCCATTTAAAATGTTATGGCAAAAAGAGAGACAGCAGTTGTCGACTATTACTAAATTTTTGATGTCCCTGTTCTTGAAGATTCTTAAGTCTTTGATGTAGATTCTATTTTTGTAAATGCAATTTTCCCTAAAGAGTCTTTTAAAAATGAATTTGTTCTGAGGATCGAGTTTGTTAATAACTTCATTTGCATAAACGCTTCTGCTAGCTGTAAAGATGACTATTTCGTACAAGTGAGACATTTCCTCCAAGAATTATTTTGCAAATGGTCTAACATTAATTCCAGCCTTTTGATTTTTTAAAAATTAAATTTTAAAATAAGATTTATTAAAAGTTAGTTTTAATCAGATATTTTTTATCTATCTTAATTTTCAAATAGCAAATTTAATTTAGTCAGAATTTATTGCTTCTTGGATATAGTTTACAAAATAATAAAGCTTTTTACTTGAACTACTTCTTTTGAGTCAGCTTAAATGTCCAAAATGAAATCGCTAGAATTATCCAAAGACTCATTGCAATGAATTAAGGTCTCATCAAGATCTAAGATAAGAGTTTTTTTCTTTTTGATTTCAAAGGGAGGCATAATAATACATCTTTCATCTATTTCTTTCTAGCTTGAGACAGGAATTGTGTTCATCATGTGAAAGCTTTAGAAAGAAGAAAGGAAATGTTCTCTGAATAAGCAGCTGATATTGTCTCTCAGAGCCAGGTTTACTGCTCTTAGCAAAGGTTTTACATAGTACTGACAGACAACATTCTTCTACAATTTATCATCAATGTTTTTTTTACATTGAGTTTTTGACATCTGAGTTTGAAGCTTCTCCATGTTCGAGCTTTTATCAGGTTCTTGAGGAATCATTTCATCAATAGCAGATATTTTCTTAGAGACAAACAGAGAATCTGGCATTTCACATTGTAAGTCATCGCCATTCATTTGATTGATCATTTTCAATTCTTTTTCTTTTATAATAAAGATTTTTATATTCGTAAAGATATTTTTTAATTAGTTAATAAATTATATATTTATTTGTATTTGATTGGTAATATATTATTTTTGAAAACTTAATTTAGCTGCTTTTGGGTTATAAAAAGCAAATATTAAATTTTTAAATAATTTATTTCATGCATAAAATTTTAAGAACTAATTACGATCTAAATTTTCTAGTTGTTAACATTCCACATTAAATTTTATAAATTCTTCACTGACTTATTTCTATCTCACAGAAAATTTTCTTGATGGTTATCTTTTGATTTCTTATTCTACAAAAATATCTTCTTTTGAGCTCTATTACATCTAATAGTTAGTTATTTCTTTCATAGCTGATTTTGTATTCTATTATAAAAATAAAATAGATTATTATTTTCTATCTAAAAAAAGAGAAAATCTTTGATTAAATTAATAATAAATTTTAGTAATTTGATAGTAATTATTTATTCAAAAATAATCTATAAGATATTATTCAAAAATATACAAATCATTCTTTGAAATATTCATACTAACTTAATATTAATTGAAATATTCAAATTAATTAAAAACCAAGCAAGATTCATATTTTTTAATACTTTTTAACTTAAAATTAATCTTTGTTGTATTTGATGTTAAAAAAATACAATTTATTATTTATTAAAACTTTAAATCATAAAATATGAAATAATAAATTTTAATATTAACAGATTTATCGAAAAAAAAAAAATTAAATGATGGAATTAATTTTCTTATCTGAATAATAAATCAATTAAATTTTTGATTCTTATATTTTAACTAAAATTGAAATATTAAAATGCAAATTGTCGAAATAAATATCCATAGAAGATTAATTAAATACAAATTTAATAATTAAATTTATTTTCAATAATCTTGAATTTCAAAAAAAATTTAATTTACAAATCCTATTTTTAAATCATAAGAAATTTTTTAAAAAAGATCATTTTGCATTTAAATGAATAACATTCAATTTATTCACATAATTTAAGTTAATTCACAAATTCAAGGTAAATAAACTTGCTTGAACTTGATTTTTCTTTTTCGAATTCATCAATTTTTTAAATAAAGTTAATTGACTTTTTTAGTTGTTTAGATTAAAGGTGTGCAAAAATAAAAATATGGATCAAAATAAAAAATTAAGTAAGTAAGTAAGTTGATTACTTGAACAGGTTCTTGTTTCTATTTAGGCTTGCAGTCTGAGTAAAATTCTACCTTAATATTTCATATTTAAATTATGAATCATCAATAAAATATTTTTAAAGGTAATTTTACTTTAGAATTTCGTATGACAGGAGATTCTTAATTAAAATTTTGTATGTTTGTTAAAGAACTAGGAGATTTAGATTTCACAATTTGGATAGGAGGAGCACTTTAAATCTTTTTCTAATATTATTTATTCATAATTTATTAATATTAAAAGTAGTTGAATAATTTTTTTTACTTGTTTATCTAGTTAAAAGTTGGCTTCATCCTCACTTTCTTAGTAGCCTTAAATGTCTTCATTTTTTATTTATTCTTTTAGTATTTGCGATCCTTTGTTTTCCTCAGATGTTTCTTCATATTGAACCTTTTCTATATTTTTTGGTTCTTGTTATTCATCAATATTATTTTCAACATCGCCTGTAAGGCCTTTCATTGAATTTAAACGCTGTTTGTTTTATCTGAGAGGAAGGCTAAGCGATTATTGCCTAATAATTTCAGGTGATGGTATAGAATCAAAGCTTTCCTTTTCAGATTCTTTAGATTTCGCATCTTCATGAAGAGTTTATTCATTTTCTTACTAATTACGTTTCTATTTTTAGTGATTTTAATCATATTTTTTACTCGGAGAACGCAAATAACCAGAATTATAACATTCAAAATACTTAATTTTATCTCCTATATGGCAATCTTCATCACAAATTCCTATTGTCAAAAATTTTTTAAATATGTTTTGTGCTAACGATAAAGCAAAAGATGTAAACTAACATAGAATCAATTTAGTGAGCTCATTTATTTATTTTATCAAGAATTAAGATAAATTTACCTTGCGACTTAGAGTTTGTCATCTCATCTTACTCTTCGAACTTAATTTCTTTTCTTTCTGACTTTAATACCAATAATTATGCCATAATAAATAATGTTTCTCAATAAGACTTTGATAATATTTGGAAATGATGTAGAGAGTGCTATTAGCGGTAAGTGTGTTATCGCTTTTTAATAATAATATTAACTATTTCTATTAATAAGTTATGTTGCTTCTTTAAATATAAAATCTGCAAAATTCGATAATAAGTATAATTTTTGTTTGCTTTGACTTTGTTTTTTTTATGTAATTTATTCTTTATAAATTTATTAAAGCGACACTGAAAAATTAAAATATAAACAAAGAAATTGCTGCTGCTACTACTATTATTAGATAAAGAGAAAGGAATACTTACCAAGTGATTGATATTAACACACTTCCTCTATTTTAGTTGTTAGAAAAAAGTACTGAAGATTAACAAAATTAACTTAGTCTTTTAAAAATCTAATAAAAATTTGTGAATTTTAGCTCATTTACTACCTTGTGTTACTTTATTTTATTATTATTTTTCCCAAAGTTAATGTTAAATCAGCAACCAATTAATCTTTATATAGTTTATTTATTTATTTACTTATCTACAAGCATTTCAAATTGTTATTTAAAATTTAATTTCATTACAGTTCCAGTATTTTATATTCTAATATTCATTCTACTTCATCACTTTACTCAAATCTACTTTATATAAGTTATTTTCTGATAAATCTCTCTTATCTATTTTAAGTCAGTTGGTGCCGCCAAAGTATTTTATAGAGGATTAAATTTATAAAATGCTTTGCTTTATTTCTTTATAATAATAATATGCAAAGTGCATCTATGCATTACCTTGATTACATAATTTATTATATTTGCTAATTTTCTTTCTTATTAATCATAAAAAGAATTCTTTAAATAGTAAAAATCTTTCATATAAATTTATTTTTCATTTATTCTAAATTAAAAATATTTTATTAAAGTGCTAAGACAATTATGAAAAAGATTAATTATTTTTTTTATAAAAAATTTCATGAATTACAATGCAAATTAATGAAAAATTGAAAAAAATTATAAAAATTATAATTATTCAAAATGTTAAACAACATATATACCCTAAAATAGACTTAACACTAATCCTATAGAATTAATTTTAGCAGAAAAAGAACAAAAATAAATATTATTTAATTCAATATTAAAGCAGCTATCACAAAAATTAAATTTGTATTTGGTTTATTTAGCTCAGTATCTATAAATCAAAATAGTTCCAATAGAAATAGAACAAATGCAAAAGACAAGAATAATAAGTACATTTTATGTATATATTTTTAAGAAGGTTGTAAAAAACAATAGTAATCTTTAATAATTCTAATTATTGTGGTTGTTAACATTTAATCATGTTTAAAACATCTATTTTATGTAACAAAAGTATGTAATTAATATCCAGATTTCTTTCTAAAGCTGATTTGATTTATCACAATTTTCTTTTACACTAAAAAACTGATAAAATCTTAAAATTATTAAAAATAAATAATTTATTAATTTTATGGTTATTTATTTATATTTCCTATTTCCTATTTATTATTTATTATTCAAATAAAATTTAAACTTTCTCATTCACTATTCTCACATTAGACCAACAAGTTGATTCAACTATATGTAAATCCTATTAATAAAATTGATTCCTTTGTTTAAATCGATATAGTATTTTAAATAATTATTTAAATAAATAAATATCTATTCATAATGCTTTAGTAATAAAAATTATTCAAGATAATAGCATAATTTGATTCTAAATCCTTTAATAAATAAATATTTACCTTTTACGAGGTTATAATAAATTGAAATTTTTAAATAATTTTTTATAAGAAAATCAAAAAAAATTTATTCAGCCATATTCTAGAAATGTTTATTTGAACTAACCTAAATTATTTTTTTATTATTTAATTGTAACTATTTCAATTTTATGAAGTTTTACTTTAATTTTTAATGTTAAATATTAGAAATAAATTATTTAAAATAATTTTAATAGATTTCAAATCGACTAAATTATTTTTAATTTTTAAAATAATTTTAGTTAAATTAAAATTTTTTTAATACAAAAAGAGTTATGCTAACTTTAAAATAAAATTACAAATAATTTAGACGACATATTATTTTTTAGATTATTTAAGTATATTCTTCTTGAATTAAATTGTATAATATCAAAATAAATAATTAATTAACTATTAACGAATTATCTAAGTTAAAATAAAACTTTTTATTTACTTATGGGAATTTTATAAAATTAATATAATTTAATATTTAAAAATATTATTTAAACTTAAATAATTCATTTCATTGATCTGAATAGTGCTAAATTTTTTATTTAAATAATAAATTAAAATTTTAAATTTTGGTTACTTAATTGTTATATAAAAAATAAATAAAAATCTTAGTTATTTATATAATAATAAAAAAATAATTTATTTTTTTATTAATAAATTTGTAAAGCCAAATATTATCTTGACATGTAATAATTTTTAACATCCATTAAATAGATAATAAAATAGATATTATAATATTAACTCTTCATTATATAGCTTTTTAGTTATTATTTTCAAATTCTTACAAGAGATTGAGTAGGATAATCCAAATAATTTAATTGAATTATATATTGTTTGTTATCAATCTTTAACAACTATGTTTGAAAATATTAAAAAATTAATAGTTTTGCTTAAAAGAATCAAGAAATAATTAAATTTTAAAAGTTGAAAAAATACATAGATAGTCATTAGTCATTAATCGATTGCTTCAATTAATCAAACAATCAATAAAAATACTAAAGCATCAAATAATATAAACGAGTATTTTAAATAGAAGAGGGCACTACTAAATTTTCAGAGGTCAAATTTTAGTATCCTAAAAAGCAAATGTAGTTAGTAGTTCCTTAATTAGATTTTAATGGACTTAGAATATTTTTTAATGCTTATTATTTATAAGTTCAATACACTTACTTCATTTTAACTGCCTTTGCTATAATTAACTTTTACATTATTTCTTACCTAGTTTTAATTTTAATACAGGAAGATGAACTTTGATTCTAAACCAAATTAGGTAGCTCATAAATAAAACATGGAAAAACTTTAACCAAAAAATGATTTTTAAAACTTAAATGAAAGTGTGATGACTATGTCAATGTATAAAGAGGAAATGGTTTCAGGTATTTATTCTATTAATTATGTATGTTTATCATCGTTAATGAGATCTTAACTATCACATTAAAGTAAATTCAATAAATTAATAAATTAGTTCTAGATATACCCTACGAGGAGTCAGAAGTTATTTAAGAAACAGTGAGGTCATATGCAAAATAGGTCCCAAAAAGTCCTATTAAACGAAACTTGAATATAAATATAGGAGAAAAATCAATTAAAGAATTTAGCTTTGCAGACTAAAGTGGAGTGCTTAAAAATATTGGTAACAACAGCAATAGCAGCAAGAAATTTTGTAAAGAAGTTGGGGATGAGTATGATTAGATGAATATAAGTCCTAGATAAATAAAGAAGCAAGGCAAAGTAAATAAGTTCATATAATTGAATGAAAATGTAGAGCCAAAACCAGGAATTCACGCTTTACAGAAATAAACAAATTCTCGCTTATTTGATGATAGAGATGACTATTTTCATACCTTATAAAGCATCTCTCCAAGAAATGATTAAATTCTCAACACCTAATCTTAAGAAAGATCGTTTGTTAGCTAAATTTCTTATTATAGCTATACACAACCTTACAATTAATACGATAAAGAAAATGCACATTCAGGATATATTAGCTATTCTAATATAAGACCAAAAAAGTCACTTTTGAATTCTTTCCAAAGAATTTCTTAAAAATGGCTTGTAAATACAAAGCAATTATATAATGAAACATTTAACAATCGTAAGAGGTGCAAGTGTGATATTAATCTTACAGAAGGGGAAACTTGCTCATAAGCGATAGCATGGCTAAAATAGTAATATAGAAATAACGATTTTTAAAAAATGAAAGAGTAGTATAAATCTCTGCTATAAATGAAAGAAATATATCAGTAATACAAACATTAAATTGATTTGGATGCTGTGAGGACCTACCCATCAAGCGGCTTATTTCATGAAGGCGCTCCACTATGCTAATCCTTAAAAAATGTATTATACGCTTTTTCAGTTTACGATATATAAGTTGGTAATAAATTGATAATATTTAAACAAATACATTTTTTATCAAATTTACTAAGAAATGAGATTTAATTTATTATTTTTAAAAGATTTAATTTATTCTAAAATTTAATTATTGATAAAAAGATTTAACATAAAATTTAATCTTTTTTTATTATTTGAAATAGGTTATGTATAAGGTATAAATTTTATTGTTGGACTTATGCTTTATCATGCTGAAGAATATATAGCTTTTTGGTTAACATGCATGATATTTGAATCCCTAGAAATGAGAGACATTTATTTGCCATGTAAATACATTCATACATTTAATTAATTTTTTTTGAATTTATAAGGCAATATAAATTATTTTATTATTAAGAATTACCAGGAATCAAGAAACATACTTACCTAATTGAATTTTTAATGTGGAAGCATACACCATACATTCATCAAATATTTGTAAATCCTTATTGCAATTAAAGATAATTATTTAATAAAATTTTTAAAGTTTATCATTTGAAATATTCAAAATAACCAAGAAAACTTATTAAATTTAATACTAATTTTGGAATTTATTTATTGGGAATTGATCAAAGTTAAAGTTAAATTTACAAATAGAAGATTAAATTATGATAACTGAATTATTTATTATATTTTTAAATATATTATTGTAGTTTGATAATGACATAAAGATAGAATAAATATGTTAATCATGGATCATCTCATTATGTGGAATTCTAATTCCATTAGATTAAATGGTATTATAATAATAATAATTTTTTCATAAGTTGAACTATTTGCATTTAATTTAAAATATAGACTTAATTTGTAGACAAACTTTTGAAAGAAGGCTGGAGCTTCTTTTATAGATTTGTTATAACATATATTTTATTCCATGAAGATGATATACTTAAGTAAGAAGTACCTGAAGATGTAGTAGCACTTCTAACAAGTCAATCTTATCAGCTAGAATTTTAAACTAGAGAAGAAGGAATATAATGGGATTAGCTGATGAAATCAGCACTAAACATAAAGGTAAATGAATCTATAATTCGTGAGTTGCACGAAAAGTTTGACATCGAATTAAAAGATTTTAGGAGAGAGTGAGAGAATGACTAAAATTAGGTCAAAATTATGAAATAATAATGAATGATGTTAATAAATTTAATTATTTATTTTGATAATTTATTTAATTATTTGAATTATTTTAAAACCATAAATAAAACAATATAAATATATAACTAAATAAATAAATAATGGTTTTGAAATAATTTATTTTTTCTTATTAATTGATTCAATTTTCGTAGTATTTGTTTTACAATTATTATTTTATTTGCTTTGTATAAAATTGATTTATTAATATCATCAAAAATTTATATTTATATTTTTAATAAAAAAAATCTTATAATAGATCAAATCATATTTTATTTAACTTCAAAAAAATTATGTTCTAAGTAATTCTAAAAATAAATTTTTTGTTTTTATCTGTTTAATATTTATTTTTTTTTTGGTTTTTATAAAAATGCTTTTATTAAAATTATAAAAAATTTTAATTTAAATTTTTAATAAAATATTTCTTTGGAAAGATAAAAAATATCAAGAAGTCTAATTTAATAAAGTTTGTGTTTTTAATAATCCTACTATCAAAGATATAAGAAGCAAATTTATTTGAAATAATTGGAAAGACATAAAAAATGGTTTTTGATATATCTTGTATATGATTTTTAGGTAAACCTAACTCATATAAAAACGGTTAAATTGAAAAAGAAATTCTAAATTTTTAGATAATTTAATAAAAAATAAATAACTTATAATGTATGAGATTGGAAAAGTATCTAAGTAATTAGCTTAATCAAATAATAAAAATAAAATATATTTTAAAATAAATTTATTTTTTATTCATCATGCATTATTTATTAAAAAATAATTTACTTTGTTCATCAATTAACAGAATTTACAAATGAAAAACAATTTATTTATTGTTTTTATTTAAATAACAATATCAAAATTTTAAATTTAATTATATTTTAATGTTAAAATTTTAAGATTAATCTGTTTTAAGGTAATAATATGAAGAATTTAATTGTAAATAAAACATTTATTGTTTGTTAAAATATATTTTTAACAATTGATAAAATATAATTAGCTGAATATTAAAATTCACTCAATTAAATTACAGAATAATGCGCTATTATTAAATATTAATTAATTGCGATGAATTAAATAAGAAATTAGAAATATATACTTATATATAATCAAATCCAAAACGTATCAATCCTATTTTTATAAAAATAAACTTATTATTTATATGAAAAATAAAAGTATTTCGATTTATTTTTCTTAATTTAGAGGATATTTTGAAAACATTTTTGTTTCTTATGAGTTAGAATTAAGTATTTGAAAAAAATAGATTTTTAAAAAGTTATTTGATCTATATTATGAGATCATATCCAGAAATAAATCTATATATAATCTATTATCAAACAATTAAATAGCTTATAATTATAAAATGAAATATCTAATGAAGATATAAATGAAGTTATTTACTAAATAAATTTTTATTTTAACTATATTAAATATTCTTTGACTGCTAATAAATCTATCAAGCACCAATTTTATTTATTTGCTATAAAATTACTTCTTTTTCCATTCATTTGCCATTACTATGTTAAATTAGGTTAAATTTATTTATATATGTAGCCTGATAACATATTTAAAAAATAACATACTAAGCTATGATGAAAATCTCTCTAGCTTTACCCTCAGCATTTATTATTGATTCTAAGAATTATTTTTTATCCAACTTTTAAGTAAAATAATAAATCAAAATATGCAAAAAGATAACTCTCTCTCACTATTTGTATTTAGCGTTTTGAATATAAGAATAGAATTAAAATCTAAATAAAATAATGTATAATGATAAATATTTTATATTTTTTTTTTAAATAACCTTGCTTAAAAATAATGAAAAACAAATTAATAATATTTAGAATTTTAATTAATTTATTTTATTAAAATTATTATTTTCTAAATATTCTCTTTTTTATTTTTCTTTCTTCACTAAAGAATATAAAAAAAGCAATTTTTATTAGTAGTTTTAAATCATTTTAACTTATTATAAATATTAAATTAATTTTTTTATCAAAATTAAAATATTTCCAACAAAATTTTAAGGAATTAAAAAATAAATTGTATTTTAAATGCAAAAAATAAATTTTATACTTATAGAATAAGAAATATATTCTAACTAATTGCTTTAGGAAATTTAATGGATTCTGAGTAGAAGTATTAAATGATTCTTTTAAGTTGAGAAGATTACGAATTAACTTCAAATTCTTTTAGTTTGAGTATCTTTATTTCAATTTTTTAAAAATTAAAATGTTTTTTATCAGAATAATTTTTATTTGGAAATAAAAATACTGCTTAACAATAGGTATTTAATACAATTTTTATTGTATAAATTCATGTATTTATTTCTAAAATATTATTATATGCATCATGAAGAACGTTTTGTATTTCAGTAAAAATAAGAAATATCTAACTAATACTTGCCAATCATGTAATTGATTTAAATAAAAATCAATACTTTTAGAAATAGTGAGAGCGCCTTGGATCAAATATATTAGGTGTTAATAAAAATACATGAAATAGTTAGTATCTTTAAATTATTTAATCACTCTAAAATATATAAAAGAGTATGGATGAAAGGTTTAGTAGTAGATTTATAACAATTTTCTGTTTACTTTTTTATAAAAAAATGGGCAAACTTTGAATAGGCATGATGAAAAAAAATGAAGCTTGGCTGTCGAATTTTTTGTTTTTTTGCATTAACTCCTGTTTTGTTTTATATCATACATTTTATTTCAATGCGTAATTATAATAATGAATAGGAAAGAAAGAAACTAATAAATATATATTTTAAGAAACACTAGAGAGTAAAATATTTTGCCGCAAAATGTTAATTGCGCTGTCATCCGAAAAGAGAATTTTAAATTGTTTTTTCTTGGTTTTTGAATATTTTTTTATTATAGATTTTTAATAATTATTCTAAGTTTTTAATATCCTTTTCCATTTTTTCAGCAAAAAATTAATATATAAGACTTAAGAATTTTTTTTGATGTAAAAATAAACAACATTATTTTTTAAATATGAAAACGTTTATTTTTTGAAATGGATAATAAGCCAACTAAAAGCGAAAATAAAAAGTAAATGAGAAATTGGAGTTCTATTAACAAAAAGGAGGACTTTCAAAATGAAGAATAGCTAATTAGTTTTGGAAGAGTTATAAAATATTTCTTAGAATGATTTGGAATGTGTTTAATTAATATGATTTCATTATAAGATGCTATCAAAAATGAATGGAAAAGGGAATAAAATAAATGAAAGAGTGTATGAAAAAATGAATGAAAAGATTTGATATTGATTTATGAATGATTATTGAAATAAAAATTTTTATATGGAAACAAAAAAAAAGAAATTTACGTTAATCAAAAATGAAAGAATGGAAATATTCGTTTTTAATATACAAAGAGCTTTGCATTTCATTCAAATATATTGAAAAAATTTCAAAACAATATAAATATCGTTTTAAAAACGCCTAAATTGAATTAGTTTTTTAATGTTGAGTATTGATGAGAAATAAATGAAAAACATTAAGAAATAAGTGAAGGGATATTACAAAAAACAACTATTTTCAATCAAAAAGCAAAAACATATTCATTCTGAAAAGAAAAATTAAAAGGCATTGAGTTTTTGTTTTGCTTTAATTAATAGGGAAAAAAAAAAGGGAGAGGAAAAAACAATCAATTAAAGTCTTTTTGCAAAGTGATAATAAAAATTAAAAAACGAAAAAAAAATAATAATAATTAATATACAAAACATAAAAACTAAAAATTAAAAAGGAAAAAGCATTCATCCAGACAAATGAATAAGAAATTATTAGTTGTCCTTTTCGGATTCCTCGCTTTGGCTGCTGCTACCAACCAAAGTGAAGAAGAAGGTTCTTACACCATCGATCAAGCTGCAAATCTTTTAAATGACTTACTTGCAGATTCTCAACAAAATTTGAGCGATCTCCAAGCTGCATGGGCCAATAAGGAACCTCTTTTACAAGGTGTTATTGCTGGACTTGAAAGCGATCTTGCCAACAAGTAAGCTGAATGCGCTGATCTCTAAGGTACCCTTGATGCTGATTAAGCTTCCCTCGATGAAGCTGAAGCATACGTTGCCTGGTTATAAGACAGAATTGCTGCTAACCATAAGCAAATTGACGACTTACTCAACAGAAGATGTCAACAAAACGGTAACTACATTGAAGGTCTTAAGAACGACAAGCTCGCTCTTGCTCTCTTATAATTCCTTGAAGCCTAAATTCAAAACAAGGAATCCTTCTCTTTCCTCCAAAAGAAGAACTTCATGAAGAAACTCACCCGTTTCTTGAGCATCTACAAAACTGGTAACTATTAATAACTCGCTCTCCTTGAAAAGGAATACGTTAACGCTGATGACTACTCAGTTAATCCCGACTACTCTACTGGTGACAGAACTGGTAAATAAACTACATTATATATTAAATCTCATTTTAATAAATCCAAGATATAAATTTTATTTTTTCTAATTCAAATGCTCTCTCTAAAAATGAATATCTATCTAACATCCTAAATAAACAGTCTCAATTATCAATTAAAAATGTTCTCTACAAAATCAATGAAAGGAATGAATCAGTCAATTAATTAATTTGAATATTTTATATTGAGAACAAGCAAAATCTCTTAACAGTTACTGCATCATCATGCACACTAACATTGATACATACATATGATACATATGAAATTATTAAATTGAACATAGAATATAATATTTAAGATTCACTCAAACATATATAAATAAATAAATGCTTCAAGCAAATAATAAAAAGAATACTGACTGACGAATTTAAATATTTATTGAATGAATTATTGATTGATTAAACGATAATGAATAAATGATTTTGCAATTAATTTTTATTAAATGAATGAGATGACATTTGAAAAATGAAGAAAATCAATTATAATTAAAATCCATATTTTAAAATTTTCTTTTCAAAAATAAAGCTGACGAAATCGGATCTGGTCACATTGATAACGACAAGGGTGATATCGATGTTGCTGACTTCTAAGAAGGTGAAAGAAAGGGATGGTACTAAGTCAAATAAGAATTATTAGACCTCTTACACAACTTAGAATAAACTATTGAAGCCAAGATCTAATAAGCTTAAGAAGATGAAGTTAACTCCAACTCCGCTGCTGCTGACTTCAAGAGCAAACTTGAACACGAAATCCAAGTCTATGAAAGAGAACTTGCTAAGTGGTAATAAACCGTTGCTGCTTTGACTGCCACCGTTGCTTAAGACCACGAAAACGTTAACAACTGTCACTCCTAAGAAGCTGCCATCCAAGCTAACCTCGATGCTGCTAATTAAGACTATGCCAATGAAAAGGCTACCTTCGAACACAAGCAAGCCAACTTACAAGAAGAAATCGAAATCTTCATTGAAGTTATTGCTTACTATGACGATAACGTCCAAAATGCCGGTGAAGACTTAAAGGAAAGAGTCGAAGATTATAGTGATGGTAACTTCGATGATGCCGCCACCTACGAAAATAGATAAGTCCCCAATATTGACTTCATTAACTGAAAAATGATGTGATTTATGGTGATTGCTTGCAACTATGATTAAATAGTTGCAACACCCAAAAATATTACTATCGAATAAAACGATTTATTAAATATAGATACTTAAATTCTCTTCCTCAATTCATTTGTCTTTGTGAACAAATAATTGATTACTGTATGTTCTATGTGATTGGAAGTTATCATTTTTTATTGACCAAATCTTACTTTTATTATTTATTTATTTATTTCTATCTTTATTTTTTTTTATTTTTTTTAAATAAATATTTATGTGAAGTTAAAATTTGTTAATTTTTTAATTCTACTAAATAATAATATAAATAAATAAATAAATGTTAATAAAAAAGAAATTGTTAAAATTATTATTTATTCATAACAAAACAAATAAATTAAATTGATTCTATTTATTTTCTCATAATAATAATTTAAATTTTCGTCAATATAATATTGCTAACCTGATTTGTTGTTGAAGTTCTTTTGATCAAAGCAAAGCTACAACAAAATAAAAAAGATATCTTAAATAAAACTTCTTATTTAAAATGATTTAGATTTTCAGATAAATGCAAAAATGTTTTAAATTTCATTATAAATGTAAAAAATTGTTTGAAAAATAATAAAATTTATCTTAGATTTTAAATAAATATCAATTTCAACAAAAATAAAATTTTGATTATTTAAATAACTAAAAAGGAAACATTTACAAAATATAATAAACATTTTATTGAGTTAACATATATTTTTTGATAAATTGTAAAACTACATTCGATTTCCAAATTTAAATTTAGACAAAGCAAATGATTTTTATGTAAAACAACATAATTTAAAAAGCGTTTTTAAATTTTTTTATTTTTTACGTTTATCTAAAAATAAGATAAATTTATTTGACAATCACAAACAAACAAACTTTTATTTAATTTTCTTAAATTAATAACCAGTTGTTTATAAATAAATTAATAAAAAGTATTTTTAAAATAGAAAATTCATTTATAAATTTTAATAAAATAAAATATTAATAATTCGAATTCTATCTTAATAGTTAAAATAATAAGTTAATAAAAATAAATTCAATAATAAAATAAAATAAGTTAGTAAAAATAAATTGAATTATAAAAAATAAATAAAAATTAGTATTAACATTAAATCAAGATATTACAAAAGAATCTCTCTTTAATTTATATAGATAAAATCAACATTAAAAAGTTTTAAAATTTGAATAAATAATTTTATTATATTTTTTATAATAATTAAAATTATAAATTTTTAATTTTGAGAAGAGTATTTATCTTTCTATCGATCTATCTATCTATCCATCCATTAATTAAAACAAAGATATAATATGCACATTAATTTATTAATTAGTTTTTCATTTCAGTTTAGTTAATCATAAAGGTTATGAGAAAAAAACATGTTTCCAGCATTTAGTTGTGGGGGTTCTGTAAAATCATAGTTAAAAATATATGTGAGGACAGATCCAATAACTAAAATAGTGCAAAATCCAAAGAAATAATCTACATTATCCATTCCATGCTTTTTACGACTCATTACTAATGAAATTTAGTAAAAAATGGAAGCTATGATAAATTATGATAGTATTTAGCAAAAAAATAATAGATTAATTCTGTAATACCAGGCACTGTATGATTAGGCAAGTACTCCTTTACAGTCTTAATTAAGGCAAGCTGTTTAATAAAGTCTTTCTCCGACTTTCAAGTTGTAATTATCTTCCCAAACCAATGTTTGGTAGTCTAGATCACAGTGAAGAGAGTAAACATTTTCACCTTCTACATCTTTTGTAATATATTTATTACATTGCATTTCATTTTGCATATATTAATTTGATACATATGGCATTTATTAATACCATGTATTCATGTATCCTTCCAAAATATTCTATGCATCTCTATAAATTAAATGATTATATGCACTCAAGAAACAGCTTATAAATATTAAAACTGTTCCTATCCACATATATTCTTGTCTCTTTTTCCTCACAATCACAATATAATTAAAAATGCAAATAGCTAATTAACCTAAACTTATCATATAAACAATATTAAGGACATTTTTATTAGCATATTCACTCATTCCATATAGCGTAAAATAAGATTCTGCCTTTTTGCATGCATGTACGCAAGTAAGAGAGAAACCTGTGAGAAAGACATTAAAATAGTGAGCCAAAAGCCTTAAATCATAAAGGCCAATAGTAATAATGAATTCATAGTAAATGAAAGCAAGTAAAATTACTTAGTTAATGACTACAAGTGCCCATATCACCAACATACAAAGCTAATAATCTTTTAATGAAAAAATATTTATATTTAATAACTGATTTATCTATCTGGTAAAAAAATTGAATTGCAAGTTTTAATTAATTAATACTAACTAAATATTTTTTAATTTTAATTCGTTAAAAATTAGAAATTTTTATTTTTTGTAAAGATATGCATTTTTTTCATAATAAATTCTTTATTACTTGATCATATTTAAAACAATTTTAGCAGAGTATTTTTTATTTTATAAAATAATAAAAATCTCTCTATTATTTGGTAAAGTTTTATATGCATAAAATCCAATAATAAATATGCAAATTTAATCTTCACTGACTTATTATGAATATTTTGTTGCAAATTTAAATAAAAAATGAAGAAATTGACAGTTCAAGGATATAAAATTGTTTTAAAAATAAATTACTTTGTTTGAAGTTTTAAAACTAAGAAGGCCCAAACTAGGCAGTGTATATGCTTTGATTGATGACGACCCAGTTATAGAGATAGAGAATGATTATTGTGTTAAGCATAGCAATAGTAATGCTTGATATAAAGACATATTAAGAGAATCTATTAGAAGCTAATTAAGATTTTTGAATGCTATTTTGGTTTTTAAATATTCTCAAAGAAGTTGTTTTTCCCCATTCAAATACTGCTATACCTAATAAAATCATACAAGCTCCAGCTACTATTACAAAGATAAAGTAGTAGGATTTGATGATAGAGAAGTAATAAACTGATAGTCCTGTTATTGGGATGCTAAAAAGGAAAAAAATTACAGATAATATCTTAACTATTGACAGAAATGTTTGCTTTTCGCTATCACTAAAAGCTTCTCCCTTAAAATGTCTCAATTGCAAATCAACTGCAGTTTGAGAATTTAAAATCATAGAAATATCTTACTACTATTAATTTTTACTATACTACATGCCTAAAAAGTATATTTTTATTAACTTTTTTCTTATTAATATTTTCAAAAATTTTTTTATAATTTCAATATATTTCAAACTAAATAAAAAGCATTTATTAAACAATATCTTTGAAAATCTAAGCTTTTATATGAATATCTCTCGAAGATTAATTAAATTCTACTATCATTCATAATCAATAAATAATATAGAAAGTATCTCAGATTAATTTATCAACCAAACATTTTTTAAATGAAATGATGAATTTATTGTAAGAAAATTTTTATTTTTTGAATGTTATCTTTTATTTTTTTAATGAATCGTTATTCTACATATATTGAAATTAATTAATAAATTAGTCGTTTAAGTTTTTTATATTTTTAATAAATATGAATAAAAAATATATTTTTACATAAATTTCTCAAATATATTAATATGTATAATGATATAGCAAATTTCATTTTTTAAAAATAAGTTATTTAGATTCAATATTTCTGTAAAAACAAAAAAAAATAAATGTTATGAATATTCATCTATCATTCATAATCAATAAAAAATATATAAACGATCTCAGATTAATTTATCAACCAAACATTTATTAAATTAAATGATGAATTTATTTTAAGAAAACTTTCTTTTTTTTATGAATGTTATGTTTTATTTTTTTAATGAATTACTATTATTTATTGAAATTAATTAATGAATTAGTTGTTTAATTTTTTTATATTTTTAATGAATATGAATGAAATTATTATAAATTTTTACATAAATTTCTCAATTATTTTAATATATATAATCTTAGAGCAAATTTTATTTTTTAAAAATAAGTTATGAAGATTCAATATTTCTGTAAAAACAAATGAATATTCATCTATCATTCATAATCAATAAAAAATATAGAAAAGATCTCAGATTAATTTATCAACCAATCATTTATTAAATTAAATGATGAATTTATTTTAAGAAAACTTTCTTTTTTTTTGAATGTTATGTTTTATTTTTTTAATGAATCACTATTCTTTATTGAAATTAATGAATGAATTAGTTGTTTAATTTTTTTATATTTTTAATGAATATGAATAAAATTGTTATAAATTTTTACATAAATTTCTCAAATATTTTAATATATGTAATCTTAGACAAATTTAATTTTTTAAAAATAAGTTATTAAGATTCAATATTTATGTAAAAAAAAAAAAAATAAATGTTATGAATAGTCACTTTTAAATTAGATATAGTTTTTCTAAGATATCCTTGATAGTAAATTCATCAGTTCAATTAGGATCTTTTGTTTGTAAGATTAATAATGAGGAATCACATATCAGTTTTAATTTCAGATTTTTATTTTTTATTTTATTTGTGTGATGTTTCAGTTTGGCTGTTAGTGTCTTATTTAGGAGCATCATTAGATTTTTATTCTTTTGATTTCTTACCTAATTTAGGATCATAAATCAAAAGAAGCATATCTTTGTTGTTTTCTTTTAACTTATTTAGATCTCTTTTAATTTCAACATATTCCCCTTGTTGATAGAGCTTTAATTAGTCACTATAGTGAGTAGAAAGAACACTCTCTGATATACCTGTATCTATAACATAAAAACTTTTATCATTTCTATCAAGAGAGTAGACTGCTCTCATATTGGCAGAAAAGATACTATTTAAGTCACTTTCTTTGAAATTTTCAGCTTGAGCACCAACTGTTCTTTTATTTCCTGAAGCAGGATAAGATTTATTTAAAATACTACTAAAATAAGGCAAACTCTTAAATGAAATATGAGGAATCTATTTTTCATGAACCTTCTACCATTACCATTCAAAGATATTTTAACCTAATCTTCTCTAATAAAATAAAAGTTTAAAAATGTGTTTAAATTTCAATTCTTTAGTTATAATTTAATTTAAAATTCTTAAAAATACTATGAAAATTATAATTTTATGAAAAATTTAATTTAATTTTAATTAAAATTCAACTAACTTTTTTGCTCATGCAAAAGCACTTAATTTAGTCAAATTTTATAAATTTTGAGCAAAATTAAATAAATTTAAGAGAAAATTTTATTCATTAATTTTTTAATGAAGTAAAAACTTTCATTTTGTATTTGAAGAAAACATTTTCTTTTCATCTTGATTTAACTAAGGAAAATAAGAAATCAATAATTTTTTCAACTTTGCTTTTAATTTTATTCTATTAAAATTACTTGTAAGTAATTATATGTATCTTTTATAGCTTGGAAGAATAGCTTAACACATTTTTATTAGTGTTCAGAGCAGCATGAGTCATCACACCAAGCAGAGCTTTAGTCTTTGCCTTCTGACCATTAGATAATTTAGTTCATTATAAAGGGTTCCATGTGATAGTAAAAGACAGCTTCATTTCTTTACTTTTTGTCTGATGAGTATTTGTTAAATAACTTTTCACCAACTTTTAAGTAGAAAGTACTAAATATTGTACCACCTACTAATTCTTTTTCGTAAGAGAAAGTCCAATTCTTTAGGTGTATAATCATTTAATCTATTTTTTGAGTTTCGTTGACAGATTAAAATCTATTGTTAGATATCAAAAGAATTAAAAAAAATGTATTTTAGCAACAAAATAATTTGTACTGTTATTTTTATTTTTCATAAAGATTGATCACATAAGGTGCTACTTATCTTGCATAAACATCTACAGCATCATATTACATCTTTTTAACATCTTCAACTGATATTTTTTTCCCTTCTTTAATGTATTGTTCAATCATTTCTCTGATTCTTTGAGCACGTGCAGTTGGATGCATATTCACAGAAGCAAATCCCTTTGCACTGTTAGGACTTATTTTGTTATTGGCAGCAACTATGAAACCTTTAAACAAAATTATTTTCGTTATTTACCTAATCATTTTTAAATATTAACAAAATAAATACCTCTTTCAGGATCTATTAAATGAGGATTCTATGATTTAGGGAGATAACCTATCCAATCGTTATTTCTATCGGTACCATCTTATATAAAAGCAGACTTTTCAGGGTTATTTCTAAGTGGAATTATTCCTGTTGCAAAGAAACCTATGTGATTATCATTTGTAGCAAAAGATAAACCAAAGTTAACTTATAGATCTTGTAACTATTCTAAAGCTTGTTGCAAGTTAGTTGCTTCATAAAATCTGTACATAGAAGTTAAGCTATTTAAACTGTGTATTCTGTTAACCCAGCAAAGAGCTAGATTAGAATCTTTATATTAAGAACTGAGTATTGGACCGTGGTGTGTCTCCTTAACAGTAAGCTTATACTCAGGATATCCTTTAATTTTAATAGTTTCATTTCTGTATTTTAAATCCCTCCATTTACCATCGAAAAAATATTAAGTATTTTTATCATTGAGCTTTTCAGAGTACAAATCAGCAATATCATTGCTTAAAGCGGTAACACCCCATGCTAAGTAATCAGTTATGCCTAATAATGAACAAATATAAAGTTTACAAATCAAATGAAGCAATATGAATTTACCTGAGAATATACCTGGAATACCAGGAGTTGATGACCCACTAATTGTGATATTTCTTTCATTTTAATAAATAAGTTGTACTTGATACCAAAATGAAGGCATTTAGTTAAATAAGTGAGGGTCATTAGCAACAATTGGCTTTCCAGTATTAGTGTGATTACCATGAATTGCCCATGTATTTGATCCTCTTTAATGGTCCAAATATTCGCTTAATCCACTTTGTAATATTTTATCAATATAATCTTCAGCTACTTTGGGTGCTTATTGCTAATTGAAGCTAGAAGCCTTTTATAAAATTTATTTAATATCAATAAAATAATCTTCTTTAATAAAAAATCAATTGCAAAAACTTGCTAAAAATAGCTTAACATTTAAATAATTTTCTAATTGTTATTAATATTTTTCTATGCTTAAGATGCTTAAGGTGGATGGTCATGCATTTGAAAAAAGAAATTTAAATTCCTTATTCATTGTTTCTTTTAATATTCATTTTTATTCAAATGTCCCCCATCTAGCTAGCTTCTTAACTATTAAGCTTATCTTTTTTAAAGTTGATTTTTAAAGTATAAATTTTATTACATTGTAATTTTCAAAGAGCCCCATTTTTTTTACATCTTCTTCTGTCATAATTGTTTCAAGTGGGATATGGCCTTATTCCCAATGTATTCCTGAACTTACGCTAACATCGCTTGTATACTTTTTTGCTATCTTTTCTCTAATAAGCTCAGCAGGAAAATCTTAAGCCAAAAATAACTATATCTACATAAGGATTGAAACTGAGTCTTCAATGGTCCACTCTTGGAATTCAGATCTTGTGATAAGATATTCTAAAGATCTTGCTTTTTTGTTAATATTGCACTCGTTAACACCATCAGTAAACGCTTATAAATGCTCCCTAGTTTCTTCGTCTATTTTCATGCTTTTAACTATGCTCAGAAGACCAAACTCTCTTTGCTAAATATCCATATCTAATGTCTTATTTCCAAATATTTCACTTAACCTTCCCTAAGCGAATCTCCTAGAAAAATCCATATGCCATTATCTATCTTAACACTATGCATAACCTTTAAATAGTATTTAATTAATTAACTTAAAAAGAGTCCAAGCTTTTTCGTATTTTACCTAATCCAAAAATAGCATCTCTAAGTTTATTTCCTTTAATAGTAGGTATTCCGTATTCATCTCTTCTAACGTAAACTGCACCATATTTAAGATGGCTGTGGGTTACATAACCATTATAAACTGGGCTTGAGAGATATATGTAGACAAAAGTGCAAAATATTACTAATGACAGTCCGTAAGAAAAAAATTTTAAACCTTTTCCCATTTTCTAACAAACTTTATATTATTCAATTTATTAATTTTTGATATTGTTTATAAATCAATTAAGTTTTACTCTGATTTTATTGATTAATTTAATAGTGATTTGCTTAATTATTGTAAATAAAAGATGCAATCAATCAGATAGATTTTATTATGATATGTATCTATTTTATCAGAATTAAAGTTGAAAATTTTTTTGTTACCATATATTCATTCCTCTTTTGCTTTAACAAAAAACATCTCTAGCTTCAAATAAAAATTTGCTTATCAATTAAAAATAGTAATCATAAAAAAATAAATGAAATAATACTAGATTGATCTAATTCTACATAATTTACTTACTTCTTATTTCAGTAAATTAATCATTTAATAATTTTTTACATTCATAAAAGCCAAAACATTACATTATCAAAAATAAATTGAGTTTTATAAAGAAATAAATAAAAAAAATAAAAAGAAAATTTAACCACAATAAAATTGATGGCTCTATATTAACCAAGATAATAATTATTTTAATAAATAAATAAAGATTTATTTATTCTATGACATTAAAAATATAAAGTCTAATTTCATAAATAACCAATATAAATTTTAAAAAATTTATCAATTTTTTTAATAAAAATAATAATTAAAAATATTTTCAAATAGAGGACATAAAATAATGATGCCTTGATATATAAAACTATTAGATAAAAAATTTAAATAAATAATTATTAAACTAAATAATAAAATAATATATTTATTTATTGAAATAATAATAATTTACCATGGTATCTAAGTATTTGATGTATCCTTCTTCAATTTTAGTATAATTTATATCATGGATTTACTTATTTAGCTTAGCCTTTAAGAATTGAAGACAATATCCTATAATCAATCTCACTTACTGAATCACTATTTAAGCATTTAGATAAAAATTTTTTGATATACTTTTATTGTAATTCTTCGGATAAGGAAATAGCAAGTTATTACTCAAAATAGTTTTTTTTCACTTCATTTTCTGTGGGTCATTTAAATAAATAAATAAACAAAATATTTAAATTAATGAAACAAATAAAATTTTTTAAATAAATGAAATAATTAAAGTAATTTACATTCTTAGTACTTCTTTTTTTCTATTTCAAACAATTCTTTGCTTAAAAAGTAAGGTGAACAACCTACTAAAGAAATAGCTGCTAACTAATCTTTTGTCAGTAAAATCATCATAGCTTTCTTTATAAATATAATTTCTTTATACACCTGCAAAATATCTAGGCTTTTATTAACTTAAGTAGCTATAAGCTTTTTCACAGATGAGTCTAAATCTTGAAATTCCTTACTTTATTTACCTTTACACATCCTTTTTTTTTCATTAAATTAAAAATTTTGGTTTAGAAGAAAAGAGGTAAATTGTTAAATATCTATTTATTTATTTATTTATTTACTTCGTTCTGAAAAGAGCATTCTTAATGTTCTCTGAAATTTTTTAGTCTTAAAGTAATTTTAATTTTTAATTAAGGTGTTAAGCGATTTAGTTGACATCTTAATTTTTATTTTTCTATGTCTAAGAGCTATTTGAAAGAGATTTTAATCCAAATTAAGATTTACTTACTGAGACGCTAAGTACTCTTTTTTTTATATCCATCGAATTAGAAGAACTTTTCTTGTCTAATTATTTACTTTTTTCAGTAAATGGTGATGCTTTAGGAGCGCTTTAATTGGGAGGATGCAATTATGGAATCTTTGATAAATTAACGAGCTTATCTCCTTAATTTAATGAAAATTAACTTAATTTACGAAAAAGTTAATTTGCTTATTATTTTTACTTATCATCCTCTTGAAATTGGTTTTAAACTAACTTTGATAATTATTAATCAACATTGGAATTAAGTTTATTTTATTAAAGAACTAAATCATCTTTCGTTAATTAATGAACAGAATTTTATTTATTTTACTCGCGATCAGTATCAGTATTAACTTAAGTAATAACAGAATCAAGTTTTTTTAATTATGTTTAGTTTGCTTAATTATCTTCCTATTTTTTTTCCAATGTACTTTTTAATTATAAATGTGAATTATCTTAAGATGAAATCTCTATCAACTATTTTGATTTTGCCTAAAATTTTGGAACTATTAAATTTAATGAGTCTTAAGCTTCAAAGTACTCATATGCATTTTCATTATATTTCTTACTTTAAGTATCTAAACAAATTCTTATTTTTTATTCAAAAGTTTTGTTTGATTAAATCAGCTGCTCGTAAGTGTCATGATACATATTTTACAAAAAGAGTAAATATATATCTTCTTTAATATACTTCATAGAAATAAATCTTGCTATTATACCTAGAGTCATGAGCAGTGCAAATGTTCCATTAACAATAGATACAATTTCTGGAAAAGTGGGATACTAAATCTAAAACTACTAGATAATTTCATCCATCTATAGCGTAATTTGAATGTAAGGATCAATATTTGCATATAATAATGAAAAATTTCTATCAAAGCCTTGATTTGATAACTAATACTCAATAGGTGACGAAAATGTACTATCTGACTATACTAAAAAACCGGATTTAACATTTGTCATTTACTTTTAAGCTTTTAATGTTGTTAAAGTAAATTGATCAGATAATAAGATTACATAAACATTCCTGTAATTAACTTAGACCTACTAAGATGTAGTATTATATTATGAAGTATATAACTTAACACGAAACTAAGCATATTCTCCATTTATCATATTATCAATATCAGTTTGATTTGCGCAATTATTAGGGACATCACTCTTAACACCATCTATATCATAGCAACCATAAGTGTAAATGAGTATTTGAGAAAGAATGTTCTATTTTGTGTTTAGCAACAAGGTATAGTTTGATATAGAAGAAAAGTCTAAGCAATTATACCCTTCTAACTCTTCATTAGTGCATTTTATTATATTTATAGGAACCTCAATATATTGAGATTAATTCTAGTAGAATATATAAGCATAATACTTTAAATAGGTTAAATTTTGCTATGCTTACAAAGAATCAATGCTAGCATTTGTGTCATACTCAAATCTAAATCCTATAAGGTCATTATGCAATGTGACTTCTGTGGTATCTTCAGTTATAAAGCTTTAGGCTCTAAATTTTGGATCAATTTAGTTACTATAATACTGATATGAAAGGTAAGCAAAATAAACTAGCGTGGACAGCAAAATAATAAAAGAAAGACAGGTACCTGTTTTTGTTCCTCTTCTAATTTGTTAGCCACCAAAATTAAATTAGAAGGGCTAGGAGAATAAATCAATTTTTCTTAGATCCATGTTTTACAAAGCAAAGAATTTCTTATTTCGGTGATTTTAGTGTTCTTTTTATTAAAGAATTTTTAATAATGATCAAATTGTGTTCGTTTTCAGTTTGCTTTTATAGAAATATAAACTAATTTAATAATTTATAAAAGTAGAATTTTAGTAATCGTGTATGTTAAAAAAAATTTAATTAAATGCAATAAATTTAAATAAGTACGTAATCAATTCATAAATTTAAAATTTACAATACTGGACAGATTTTTATTTCAAAATAGCAATCAAACAGTCATTTTTCTCTTCATAAAAATTACACAGACACTTAATAAATTTTAAATACCTTTTATATCTTTTTGAAATTTGAAATCAATAAATTTAATTAAGTTTTTAATCAACTCATAAATAAAAATTTTAAATAGTTTGGCTGATTTTTATTTCAAAAAGCAATCTAATAGTAATTTTTTCTCTTCGTTAAAATTTTACAGAAGACTATTTTTAGAAATGAAAATAACTTTTAAACAGCATTTATATCTTGCTGAAATTTGAAATCAATAAATTTAATTAAGTACTTAATCACTCATAAATAAAAATTTTACATAACTGGGCTGATTTTTATTTCAAAAAAGCAATCTAACAATAGTTTTTTCTCTTCATAAAAATTTTACAGAAGACTATTTTTAGAAATGAAAATAAATTTTAACAATAAATTTTAAATAGTTTTTATCTCTTGTTTAAACGTGCAAGTTATTTAAAAAAAAAAGAGTTTTTGTTGGTTCTTCAATTTATTTAATCTCTTTATTGCTAAAAAACATTTTATAAATTTGACAATTCCTATTTAATATATAAATAGTTTAAAATAAATACCTTAATTAACATGAAAAGATTTCAGTTATTATATAGATTAGAGGATTTTTGGTTATTTTATAGCACTAAAATTTAGTAGATTTATTATCATAAAATTAAAAGATATTTCATATTAAAAGAGTTTGTAAATTGTTTATGTATTTGATTGGTATTTTATTAATTTGTGAAATAATAAGCAATTTACAATTATTTTGAAATTTTTTGCTCAATTTTATCAAAAATACTCAAAATTTATCAAAACAATTAAGTTATTGTAATATATTAAATTTTTATCTCAAAAACGCATAAATTTATAAAAGAAATTTTGTTTGTTTGTTTTTAAGGATAGAAAAATAAATACATTTTCAAAATAAAGAACTTATAACTTTAATTTCTCAATATATATAAAACTCAATAGATAAAAAATCAAAATAAATAAATAATTATTAAAATGAATAATATATTTATTCAATTAATAATAATGAATTATGATATGTAAGTATTTTATATATCCTTCTTCAATTTTAATATAAACTTGTATCATTTATTTATTTATTTAGATTAACCTTTAAGAATAGAAGACAATATCCTATAATCAATCTCACTTACTGAATCACTGTTTAAGCATTTAGATAAAAATTTTTTGATATACTTTTATTGTAATTCTTCGGATAAGGAAATAGCAAGTTATTATTCAAAATAATTTTTTTTCTCTTCATTCTCTATAGATTATTTAAATAAATAAAACATTTAAATAAACAAAATAATTAAAAATATTTAAATAAATTAAATAATTTAAGTAATTTACATTCTTAGTACTTCTTTTTTTCTATTTCAAACAATTCTTTGCTTAAGAAATAAGGTGAACAACCTACTAAAGAAATAGCTGCTAACTAATCTTTTGTCAGTAAAATCATCATAGCTTTCTTTATAAATATAATCTCTTTATACACCTGCAAAATATCTAGGCTTTTATTCACTTAAGAATCTATAAGCTTTTTCACAGATGAGTCTAACTCTTTAAATTCGTTACTTTATTTATCTTTCCATATCCTTTTTTAATTAAATTAAAAATTTTAGTTAAGAAGAAAAGAGGTAAATTGTTAAATATCTATTTATAAATTACTTCATTCTGAATATAGCATTCTTAATGCTCTCTGAAATTTTTTAGTCTTAAAGTAATTTTAACTTTTAATTAAGATGTTAAGCGATTTAGTTGACATCTTAGTTTTTATTCTACTATGTCTAAGGGCTATTTGAAAGAGATTTTAATCCAAATTAAGATTTCCTTACTGAGACGCTAAGCTTTCTTTTTTTTATATCCATCGAATTAGAAGAACTTTTCATGTCTAATTATTTCATTTTTTCAGTTAATTATGCAGCTTTAGGAAGGCTTTTATTGGGAGGAGGTGATTATGGAATCTTTGATAAATTAAAGTTTTTATCTTCTTAATTTAATGAAAATAAACTAAATTTTCTAAAAAGTTATTAATTTTAAACTTCTTATTATTTTTACTTATCATCCTCTTGAACTTGGCTTTAAACTAACTTTGATAATTATTAATCAACATCGGAATTAGGTTTATTTTATTAAGGAACTAAATCAAGTTTCATAAACTAACGAGCAGAATTTAATTTATTTTAATCGCACTCAGTATCATTATTAACAGAACTAATAACAGAATCAAATTTTTTTAATTATGTTTAGTATGCTTAATTATCTTACTATTCTGTTTCCAACGTATTTTTCAATTATAAATGTGAACATTCTTTATATTAAGGTGAAGACTCTACCCACTATTTAGATTTTGTCAAAAAATTTGGAACTGCTAAATTTGGTGAGTCTAAAGTTTCGAAGTTCTCATCTGCATTTTCATTAAATTTCTTACTTTAAGTATCTAAACAAATTCTTTCTTTTTATTCAAAAGTTTTGTTTGATTAAATCAGCTGCTCGTAAGTGTCATGATACATATTTTACAAAAAGAGTAAATATATATCTTCTTTAATATACTTCATAGAAAGAAATCTTGCTATTATACCTAGGGTCATGAGCAGTGCAAATGTTCCATTAACAATAGATACAATTTCTGGAAAAGTGGGATACTAAATCTAAAACTACTAGATAATTTCATCCATCACCAGCGTAATTTGAATATAAGGATCAAAATATGTTTCTGATAATGAAAAATTTCTATCAAAGCCTTGATTTGATAACGAATACTAGATAGGTGACGAAAATGTACTATCTGACTAAACTAAAAAGCCTGACTTAACATTTGTCATTTACTTTTAAGCTTTTAATGTTGTTAAAGCAAATTGGTCAGATAATAAGATTATATAAACATTCCTGTAATTAACTTAGACCTCCTAAGATGTAGTATTATATTATGAAGTATATAACTTAACACGAAATTAAGCCTATTCTCCATTAATCATATTATCAATATCAGTTTGATTTGCGCAATTATTTGGAACATCATCCTTAACAGCATCTATATCATAGCAACCATAAGTGTAAATGAGTATTTGAGAAAGGATGTCCTATTTTGTGTTTAGCATCAAGGTATAATTTGATATAGAAGAAAAGTCTAAGCAATTATACCCTTCTAACTCTTAATTAGTGCATTTTATTATTTTTACAGGAATCTGTTTCAAATGAGATTTATTCTAGTACAAAAAATAAGCATAATGCACTAAATAAGTTAAATTCTGCTATGCCTACAAAGAATCAATGCTAGTATTTACGTCATACTCAAATCTAAATCCTATAAGATCATTATGCAATTCGACTTCTGTGGTATCTTCAGTAATAAAGCTTTAAGCTCTAAATTTTGGATCAATTTAGTTACTATAATACTGATATGAAAGGTAAGTAAAATAAACTAGCGTGGACAGCAAAATAACAATAGTAAGACAAGCACCTGTTTTTGTTCCTTTTCTAATTTGTTAACCACCAACATTAAATTAGAAGGACTAGGAGAATAAATCAATTTTTCTTAAATCCATGTTTTACAAAGCAAAGAATTTCTTATTTCAATAATTTTAGTGTTCTTTTTTATTAAATAATTTTTAATAATTATCAAATTGTGTTCGTTTTCAGTTTGCTTTTATAGCAATAAAGTTTTCTCAACTAATTTAATAATTTACAAAGTAGAGTTTTAGTAATCATCTATGTTAAAAAAACTTAATTAAAAGCAATAAATTTAAAAAAGTTTTTAATCAACTCATCAATTTAAATTTTACATAACTGGGCAGATTTTATTTCAAAAAAGCAATCAAACAATAATTTTTCACTTCATAAAAATTACACAAACTATTTATAGGAATGAAAATAAATTTTAAATAGCTTTTATCTCTTGTTGAACTTTGTAATCAATAAAATTAATTAAGTTTTTAATCAACTCATAAATTTAAATTTTTCAAAATTGGGCAGATGTTTATATCAAAAAATCAATCAAACAGTAGTTTGTTTTTTCATTTTGTAAAAATTTCACAGATTATTTTTAGAAATGAAAATATATTTTAAATAGCTTTTATCTCTTGTTGAACTTTTAAATCAATAAATTTAATTAAGTATTTAATTAACTCATAAATTTAACTTTTACATAACTTTACAGATTTTTATTTCAAAAAAGTAATCAAACAGTAATTTTACTCTTCATAAAAATTACACAGACTATTTTTAGAAATGAAAATAAATTTTAAATAGCATTTATCTCTTGTTGAAGAAGTTTTTCCTCTTTATAAAAATTTCACAGACTATTTTTAGAAATGAAAATAAATTTTAACAATAAATTTTAAATAGTTTTTATCTCTTGTTGAAAGTTGAAATCAATACATTTAATTAAGTATTTGATCAACTCATAAATTTAGATTTTACATAATTGGGCTGATTTTTATTTCAAAAAAGAAATAGAACAGTAGTTTTTTCTCTTCATAAATATTTAACAGACTATTTTTAGAAATGAAAATAAATTTTAAATAGCATTTATCTCTTGTTGAACTTTGTATTCAATAAATTTAATTAAGTTTTTAATCAACTCATAAATTTAAATTTATTTTACTTATTTGGGCTGATTTTTATTTCAAAAAAGCAAACAAACAGAAGTTTTTCCTCTTTATAAAAATTTCACAGACTATTTTTAGAAATGAAAATAAATTTTAACAATAAATTTTAAATAGTTTTTATCTCTTGTTGAAAGTTGAAATCAATAAATTTAATTAAGTATTTGATCAACTCATAAATTTAGATTTTACATAATTGGGCTGATTTTTATTTCTAAAAAGAAATAGTAGTTTTTTCTCTTCATAAATATTTAACAGATTATTTTTAGTAAATGAAAATAAATTTTAAATGGTATTTATCTCTTGTTTAAATTTGTAATCAATAAATTTAATTAAGTTTTTAATCAACTCATAAATTTAAATTTTACTTATTTGGGCTGATTTTTATTTTAAAAAAGCAATCAATCACTAGTTTTTTCACTTCATAAAAATTTCACAGACTATTTTTAGAAATGAAAATAAATTTTAACATAAAATTTTAAATAGATTTTATCTCTTGTTGAAAAATGTAAGTTAATTTTTTAAAAAAAGAGTTTTTGTTGTTTCTTCAATTAATAATTCTTTCTTTATTGCTAAAAAATATTTTATAAATTTTACAATTCATATCTAATATATAAATATTTTAAAATACATTAATTAAAATGTAAGGATTTCAGTTATTATCTGGATTAGAGAATTTTTGGTTATTTTATAGCACTATAATTTATATAATTTAGTAGATTTATAATCATAAAATTAAAAGATATTTCATATTAAAAAAGTTTTTAAATTGTTTAAGTATTTGACTGGATTTTATTAATTTGTGAAATAATAAGCAACTTACAATTTTTTTGAAATTAGCTCAATAAAATCAAAAATATTAAAAACTTATCAAAACAATTATCTTATTGTAATATATTAAATTTTTATCTATAAAACGCATAAATTTATAAAAGAAATTTAGTTTTTAAGGATAGAAAACTCATGAAATTTTCAAAATAAAGAACTTATAACTTTGATTTCTCAATATATAGAAAACTTTTAGGTAAAAAATCATAATAAATAATTATTAAAATGAATAATAGAATAATATATTTATTAAATTTATAATAATAAATTATGATATGTAAGTATTTTATATCCTTCTTCAATTTTAGTATAAACTTGTATCATTAATTTATTTATTTAGATTAGCCTTTAAGAATAGAAGATAATATCCTATAATCAATCTCACTTACTGAATCGCTATTTAAGCATTTAGATAAAAATTTTTTGATATACTTTTATTGTAATTCTTCGGATAAGGAAATAGCAAGTTATTATTCAAAATAATTTTTTTTCTCTTCATTTTCTAAGGTTTATTTAAATAAAATAAATATTTAAAATGAAATAAATTATCTAATTTACATTCTTAATACTTCTTTTTTTCTATTTCAAGCAATTCTTTGCTTAAGAAATAAGGTGAACAACCTACTAAAGAAATAGCTGCTAACTAATCTTTTGTCAGTAAAATCATCATAGCTTTCTTTATAAATATAATCTCTTTATACACCTGCAAAATATCTAGGCTTTTATTCACTTAAGAATCTATCAGCTTTTTTACAGATAAATCCAAATCTTTAAATTCATTACTTTATTTCTTTTTCAATATTCTTTTATAATTAAGTTAAAAAAATTTGTTTTATGAAGAAAAATGGTAAAATATTAAACATCTATTTATTTATTTACTTCATTCTGAATATAGTATTCTTAATCTTCTCTGAAATTTTTTAATCTGAAAGTAATTTTAACTTTTGTTTAAAGTGTTCAGCAATTTCGTTGACATCTTAGTTTTTGTTCCTCTATATCTTAGTACTATTCGAAAGAGATTTTTATCCAAATTAAGATTTCTTTACTGAGATGCTAAGTACTCTTTTTTTTGTATCCATTGAATTAGAAGTGCTACTTATGTCTAATTTATTACTTTTTTCCATAAATAGCGAAGCTTTAGGAGCACTTTTATTGATGCCTTTATCTTCTTAATTGAGTGAAAATAAACTAAATTTTCTTAAAACTTATTAATTTTAATCTTTTTATTGATTTTACTTATCACCTTCTTGGAATTAGCTATAAATTAACTATTATGATTATTAATCTACAATTGAATCACGTTTACTTGATTAAGGATCAGTATCAAGTTTAAACTAACGAACAAAATTTTATTTATTTAGATCTTATTCATTTTCAGTATTAGCAAAACTAAAAACAGAATTAGTTTTTTTTAATTATGTTTAGAATATTTAATTTTCTTAAAATTCTGTTTCTAACTTCTTTTTAAATAGTTAATCTGAAAACTCATTAATTTTAGGTGAAGCCTCTACACTCTATTTTAATTTTGTTGAAAATTTTCGAGCTGCTAAATTTGGTGAATCTATAGTATCTATGTACTCTTCAACGTTTTCATTATATTTCTTACTTTAAGTATCTAAACAAATTCTTTCTTTTTATTCAAAAATTTTGTTTGCTTAAATCAGCTACTCATAAGTGTCATTATACATATTTTACAAAAACATTAAATATATTTCTTCTTTTAATTATTTCTTAGCAAGAAATCTTCCAATTATTCCTAGAGTCATGAGTAGCGCAAATGTTCCATTAACAAGAGATATAATTTCTGGAAAAGTGGGATACTAAATCTAAAACTACTAGATAATTTCATCCATCACCAACGTAATTTGAATGTAAGGATCATAATATGTTTCTGATAATGAAAAATTTCTATCAAAGCCTTGATTTGATAACGAATACTCAATAGGTGATGAAAATTCCTTTTCTGACTATATTAAAAATCCCTCCTTAATGTTTGTCATTTACTTTTAAGCTTTTAAAGTTATCAAAGTAAATTGATCAGATAATAAGATTATATAAGCATTCCTGTAATTAACTTAGACCTATTAAGATGTAGTATTATATTATGAAGTGAATAACTTCACACGAAATTAAGCCTATTCTCCATTAATCATATTATCAATATCAGTTTGATTAGCGCAATTATTTGGGACAGTAGACTTAACAGAATCTATATCATAGCAACCATAAGTGTAAATGAGTATTTGAGAAAGAATGTTCTATCTTGTGTTAAGCATCAAGGTATAGTTTGATATAGAAGAAAAGTCTAAGCAATTATACCCTTCTAACTCTTAATTAGTGCATTTTATTATATTTACAGGAATCTGTTACAATTGAGATTAATTTTAGTACAAAAAATAAGCATAATACACTAAATATGTTAAATTTTGCTATGCTTATAAAGAATCAATGCTAGTATTTACGTTATACTCAAATCTAAATCCTACAAGATCATTACGCAATTCGACTTCTGTGGTATCTTCAGTTATGAAGCTTTAAGCTCTAAATTTTGGATCAATTTAGTTACTATAATACTGATATGAAAGGTAAATAAAATAAATTAGTGTGGAAAACAAAATAGCAATAGTAAGAAGAGCACCCGCTTTTGTTCCTTTTTTAACTTATTAGCCACCAACATTAAATTAGAAGGACTAGGAGAATAAATCAATTTTTCTTAGATCCATGTTTTGCAAAGTAAAAATTTCTTATTTTCTTTTTTATTAAAAAACTTTTAATAATTATCGAATTATACAATTTTTAGATTAGCTTTTATAACAATAATGCTTTCTAAAATTACTTAATAACTTATAAATGTAGAGTTTTTAATAATCCTTATGTTGAAAAAAAATTTATTTTGTACAATAAATTCAATTAAGTTTTTAATCAACTCATAAATTTATGTTTTACATAATTGGGCTCCTTTTTATTTCAAAAAACAATCAAATAGTTTTTCCTCTTTATAAAAATTGCACAGCTTATTTTATGTTAAAACAAATTTTCTAAATAAATTTTAAAATAGCATAAATCTCTAGCTACTCTTATGTAATTTAGTTTTTTAAAAAAGAGTTTTTTATATCTTCTTCAACTTACGTTATCTCTTTATTGCTAAAAAACAATTTATTTATTTTGATAATCATATCTAGAGTGAAATGCCTATTTAATTTACAAAAGGCGAAATGTAATATATCTTAATAACATAAATACAGCTAAATAAGGTTAAAACAGCTTTATTTTTGAGTTTTTAGAAAGTTATAAATTAGCAAAATGTAAAATTTGAAATAATAGATACATTATATTCTTATAACATGTCATTTTTTTTGAAAAAAAAAAATTTTGAAAATTTTTTCGAACATCATAATAAATAATTATTAAAATGAAAAATATATTTATTCAATTTATAATAATAAATTATGATATGTAAGTATTTTATATCCTTCTTCAATTTTAGTATAAACTTGTATCATTAATTTATTTATTTAGATTAGCCTTTAAGAATAGAAGATAATATCCTATAATCAATCTCACTTACTGAATCGCTATTTAAGCATTTAGATAAAAATTTTTTGATATACTTTTATTGTAATTCTTCGGATAAGGAAATAGCAAGTTATTATTCAAAATAATTTTTTTTCTCTTCATTTTCTAAGGGTTATTTAAATAAATAAATAAAATAAATAAACCAATTTACATTCTTAATACTTCTTTTTTTCTATATCAAACAATTCTTTGCTTAAAAAATAAGGTGAACAACCTACTAAAGAAATAGCAGCTAACTAATCTTTTGTCAGTAAAATCATTAGAGCTTTCTTTATAAATATAATCTCTTTATACACCTGCAAAATATCTAGGCTTTTATTCACTTAAGAATCAATAAGCTTTTTTATAGATGAGTCCAAATCTTTAAATTCGTTACTTTGTTTCTTTTTCAATATTCTTTTTAATTAAGTTAAAAAAATTTGTTTTATGAAGAAAAGAGGTAAATTGTTAAATATCTATTTATTTATTTACTTCATACTGAATATTATATTCTTAATCTTCTCTGAAATTTTTTAATCTGAAAGTAATTTTAACTTTTGTTTAAAGTGTTCAGCAATTTCGTTGACATCTTAGTTTTTGTTCCTCTATATCTTAGTACTATTCGAAAGAGATTTTTATCCAAATTAAGATTTCTTTACTGAGATACTAAGTACTCTTTTTTTTTTATCTATTGAATTAGAAGTGCTACTTATGTCTAATTTATTACTTTTTTCCATAAATAGCGAAGCTTTAGGAGCACTTTTATTGATACCTTTATCTTCTTAATTGAGTGAAAATAAACTAAATTTTCTTAAAACTTATTAATTTTAATCTTTTTATTGTTTTTACTTATTACCTTCTTGAAATTTGCTTAAAATTAGCTATTATAATTATTTATCTGCCATTTAATCACTTTTACTTGATTAAGGAACAAAATCAAGTTTAAACTAATGAACAAAATTTGATTTATCTTGATCTTATTCAATATCAGCATTAGTAAAACTAAAAACAGAATTAGTATTGTTTAATTTTGTTTAAATTATTTAATTATCTTAATATTCTGTTTCTAACGTTTTTTTAAGTAGTTAATCTGAAAAATCATTAATTTTAGATGAAGTATCTACCCACTATTTTAATTTTGTCGAAAAATTTGGAACTGCTAAATTTGGTGAATCTATAGTATCTACGCACTCTTCTATATTTTTATTATTATTTTTACTCTATGTATTTAAACAAATTCTTTCTTTTTATTCAAAAATTTTATTTGCTGAAATCAGCTATTCATAAGTGTCATGATACATATTTTATAAAAACAGTAAATATATCTCTTCATTTAATTATTTCTTAGAAAGAAATCTTCCTAATAGACCTAGAGTCATGAGTAGTGCAAATGTTCCATTTACAATAGATATAATTTCTGGAAAAGTGGGATATTAAATCTAAAACTACTAGATAATTTCATCCATTAGCAAATTAACTTGAATGTAAGGATCAAATTATGCATTTGATAATGAAAAATTTCTATCAAAATTTTGATTTGAAAGTTAATACTCAATAGGTGATGAAAATTCTTTTTCTGACTATATTAAAAATCCCTACTTAATGTTTGTTATTTACTTTTAAGCCTTTAATATTGTTAAAGCAAATTGATCCGATAATAAAATTATTTAAGCATTCCTGTAATTAACTTAGACCTTCTAAGATGTAGTATTATATTATGAAGTAAATAACTTCAAACTGAATTAAGCCTATTCTCCATTGATCATATTATCAATATCAGTTTGGTTAGCGCAATTATTTGGAATAGTAGACTTAACAGAATCTATATCATAGCAACCATAAGTGTAAATGAGTATTTGAGAAAGTATATTCTATTTTGTGTTTAGCATCAAATTATTGTTTGATATAGAAGAAAAGTCTAAACAATTAAACCCTTCTAATTCTTAATTAGTGCATTTTATTATCTTTACAGGAATCTGTTTCAAATGAGATTAATTCTAGTACAAAAAATAAGCGTAATGCACTAAATAGGTTAAATTTTGCTATGCTTACAAAGAATCAATGCTAGTATTTACGTCATACTCAAATCTAAATCCTATAAGATCATTACGCAATGCGATTTCAGTGGTATCTTCAGTTATAAATCTTTAAGCTCTGAATTTTGGATCGATTTAGTTAGTGAAATATTGATAAGAAAGGTAAATAAAATAAACTATAGTGATCAACAAAATAACAAGAGAAAGGAAAGCACCTGTTTTTGTTCCTTATCTAATTTATTAGCCACCAACATTGAATTAGAAGGACTAAGAGAATAAATCAATTTTTCTCAGATCCATGTTTTGCTAAGCAAAAATTTCTTATTTTCTTATTATTAAACAAGTTTTGATAATTATCAAGTTATGTTATTTTTTAGTTTAGCTTTTATAACAAAAATGTTTTCTAAAATAATTTAATAATTTACAAAAGTAGAGTTTTTAATGATCCTGTACGTCATAAAAAATTTAATTAGTATAATAAATTCAAATAAGTTTTTAATCAACTCTTAATTTTAAATTTTACATAATTTGGCTGATATTTATTTCGAAAAACCAATCAAACAGTTTTTTTTCTTTATAAAAATTACATAGATTATTTTAATAAATAAATTTTAAAATAGCTTTTATTTCTAGCTGCACATTGTAAGCAAAAATAATTTATTTATTTTTCTATTCATATTTATTTTATTTAAGTTCTTGTTTCTGTCCAACAATTGTAATGATTATTTTCTTCTAAAATATAGCTTAAATCACTCATAAACTTGCCTAATCTTACTGCTTAAAATAAGGAAATTTAAAAACCAACCTGAAAAAACAAAAAAATAAATAATGTTTAGTCGAAAATTTAAATTCATGAAGAAATCTTAATTTTAATCAATCATTTAATTTTTAGAGTTAAAAATTTTTTTCATTCATTTTATATGTAAAAAAAAATTAAATTAGGTTAAATGCTTGATAAAAAAAAAAATTTAAATTTCTTTATCAAAAAATTTAATTTTTGGTTAAACATTTTTATTTTTTCTTCTATCAGGTTTGAAACCTTTTTTTATTTATTTTTAATTTTTTTAAATTTTATTAAAAGATATTTATTACTTTACTAAATGAATATTTCTTACTCAAGAAATTATTATTTGGAAATATAGTTGATATCAGATATATTCTTCTTATTCTAACACATAATATAAAAATAATTATTAAATTATTTTGAATTTATTTTCTTTAATTTTTAAATATCAAATTTTTAATAATAACATAATATTTAAATATTTATGTATTATGAATAAAAAAATTATCAGTATTTTTTATGACACAACAAGCAGCTTTAAGATATCTATCCAGTGATAAATATTAATAATGAAGTAATGTAAAATTAATTGATTGAATCAGTTAATAAAATATTTAAAATCTGGTTTTTTTTTTTTTTGCATAAATTAGATCAAGGAAAAGTTTTTATTATATTTATTTTTATATAAAGACATTCTTTCAAATATAAGATTCAAACTGAAGTCATTTTAATTAAGCAAATGTAGCCATAGCCTATAGCTATTATAATTAGGAGTAACTAAACGTCATAGTTTTAAGAAACAACGGGGCTTCTTTATTTGACTAAGCAAGTGAGAGATATTTAACTTTTTGAATTCATTTTTATAAATAAATTTATAATAAACTAAATTAAAATTTATTTATTCTTATTATAGGCTGATAATACTTACTATACTGCTATTGTGGAAAAAGAAAATATTAATGCTGCGCCTTTTTAGGTTCTAGATAACAACAAGTCTCCTCTATAGCTTATCATAGAACAGCAAGAAAAAACTAGAAAAAAAGCAGAGATGATTGCTGATAAAATAATAGAAGAAATTATTCTGCAAAAGCAAAAACAATAAATGTAATAAAAGCTTATTAAAGAATAGAGTGAAGAAATATAAAAATTAACTGATGATTTAACCTAAAACTTGGAATCTAGAAGCATGATTGGCTTCCCTAGAATGCCAAGCACTTCTAGTTTAGATTTTAATTTGAAAAGATCAAATTCTCATAATTAAATATATAACACGAATCAATATGTCCAAAAAAAGAATGAGCTTATACTACAAATTGATAAGTAGATAGAAAAAAATATAAAAGAAGAATAAAATAACATGCATTCATATGATAACATATCATAAAGTAGTCGCCTTTCACCTAGAGGAGGGTCTCCCAAATTAAATGAAATCCGCTAATTAAATAAGAGTAGAAATCAATTTTCACCTGATAAGAGAATATCTCTAAATAAAGTTATGTAAATAAGCAATATAAATATCTATTTAATTAAGAAATAAAAATGCTAATATTTGTTAAGAAATATAAATGCTAAAATGTGTTTTTTAATACTAACAATTAGGAACACTCAAGGCGAAAGAGTAGAAACAGATGTAAGTAATACAAGCAATAATGCAAGAGTTTTCCCCTTCTTGAATCTGTAATAGACAAATGGAAACTAGTTTGACTTGAAAGAATATATGAAATAAGCAATACTGTAAGGAAAAATGTCCAACAAGTCTGCTAGTTAATACCCAAACCATGATAATGCTGAAAATACACCAGCTTTTAACTTAAATAAGCAGGCTAGAACACATTCTTAATTTGTATCTACACTTAGTCATATTGAAGACTAAGGAGGAGATTCTAACAAACATGTGCAAAATAAGCAAAGAGAAGATATATCAAATTTAACTAATTCTTAAAGATAATCAATAAATTAAGGGGAATAATAAGTTTACTATAATAATTTAGATAGTTTTAGTGTAAACAATCCATAATCAGGTATTTATTTTTTAAATACAATTTTTATTTAAACAAAAATAATTTTTAAATATAGATAATATTTCTGTCGTTTCTAATACAATACCTGTAAATTAAAAACTGAATAGTATTTAATCTTAAGGAAAATCTTAAACTAGACTTAGTTTGGCTAAAAGAAATGTTGAAAGAGATAAATTAAAGATGGCTCATGCTGACGTTGAAAATAAAACATCATAATTTAAGAAAATTAGTGATTAATAAACTGCAGTTAATAATAAATCTAACACTTTAGAAATAAATATATAAGATTTAGCTTCAAAAAAAGAAGAAAGAGTCAAATAGTCTAGCAAAAAAAGTGAATAAGATTTAGGCCAAAATAGTGCATCACAGATTAATGATTTTATAACCAAAATAAACTTAATGCTTTAAAAATCTGCTAATATTAATGCATAGATAGAATAAAGTATGATAGACTCTGAAAAAAATTTAAAGCAGCTTGAGAGTTTAAATAGCTTTACTACAAGCAAACAGTGATAAAAATTTTGATGCTATTTATATTCTTTTTATAATAATTATAATAAATTGTAAATAAAGTTATATAAATATTATATTTATTATATTTTAATACGATATTTTAATAAAATAAATAGACTATTTTATATTTTTTAATTTATAAGAATTAGGCAAAATAATGAAATATGAGCAACTTACAAATATTATGATTTTAATCATTATTAAATGTTTGAGTTTTTTTAATCTTGGAAATTTATGATAAATTTCTTAGAATTTTAGGTTTAATTCTATCTCAAATAATTTGAAAAAATAGATATTTGAAATAGTGCAAATTAATAAAATTAAATTCAAATCAGAAAATGTGATTAAATAGAAATTATTTTATATTTTAATTCTATTACTCTATTTTCTTAAATAAATAACTACTTTTTGGGTTTTTATTTATAATAAAATTTTAAAATTAAATAATCATCCCATTAAATTTAAATTCTTTGAAAATGTTAAAAATTAAATTATTTTGAAAAAAAGTTATTATTTAGAATATATTTTAAATGTTTAAATAGAAATACTCTAAAAAAAAAATAAATAGACAGTAAGCAATTAAATTAATTTTGAATATCTATTTTAATTTCTTTTTTCGTTCATTTATTTCTAAAAATGGTTTAAATCCATAAATTATTATTTCATTTGATATTTATAATCATGCATGCTTCATTAGCAATATCAATAATATACCAATTTTCTTGTTACATTTTTACCTTGGATTAAAAAACTTTATTAACAGATATGTTTATCTGATAGAATATTAGGTGTAATATTTGGTTAAAAAAATATAATACATTATATTCATTTTATATTCCTAATCGGCATTACTACAAAGATCAAGAAAAAGATAAGATTATTCTCATCTTATGGTTATATATTTTTTCAGAAAACATTTTCTATCTAATGTTAATGACCTACTTTATTACTAAACAATAAAATTTAAATTTAGATAAAAATTATTTATCCAATTTTTCTTATCAAGCTCTTAATAATTAAATTATAGCTAGAAGATAATTTGCCTAATAATCTAATAATCTGTAAACTTAGCTTTTTTAAAAAACTTTTGAAATTGAAATTTCAATGTTAAAAAATGTTATAAATTATTTTAATCTTGAATAATAAAATATAAATAGATTATATTATTGAATAAAAATGGATATATTGTATAATATTACTATTTATATATTTATTTTATAAGATTACAATTTATTTGTTCTTTCTTTAGAAATATTAATTTTTTGTTTTTATTTCAAGCCACATAATATATTTTTAATCAAAATATAAGTTGGATGGTTAATAAGTATCAAAATTTAGGGATAGTGGATGTTAGAATGAGGTTCTAATTAGATTTTTAATCTCTTTTGAAATATCTATAATTATTTATTTAATTATTTAGCTAAACTGTAATTTTATTTATTTTCAAACGGATCCTAAAATCTAATTAATTACTGCACCAACACTAAATTTTTATCAAAACAAAATTTTTAGTTTTTTAGTTTTACAAACAATAATAAAATGAATACTAATGCTTAGCAGAGATTATAATAACAGCATTCTATTAATTTACAATAACAGTAATCGTAGTAATAAAATCGCATTGATGATTAGCAAATTCCATAAGGCTTTTAGCTTGAAACTAAAATTAGATTATTGATATAAGAAATCGTTGATCCAGCTTTAAAGAAGTATGAAATTGTTTTTAAAACCAATATAAAAATTCCAAGTTAAATAAATAAATAATTTATTTTTATAGGACTGAAGAATGTGTAAAACAAACTGAGTATTTTAGCTAAGTTTTAGATGAGAACAACAAAAAATTTGATCATTGCTATGATGTTTATGAAATACTTAATGAAAAGATAAAAATTAGATTCAACGAACTAGATGCATTAACTTAAAAAGTTGCTTAAATAGTAAAATTTATAGCTTCGTAAAACGTGGAAAAAATTATTTAACATTTAATATATAGGATAGCGACTAAATTATTAATAATGGCCTTAATAAGCAGGAGTAAAAAGAATTAAGATAAGAAATATCAGAGTTAAAAGAAAGCATTTCTTAAAAATCTGAATAAATATAATAACTAGTATTTATTTATATTTTTACTTTAAAATTAACATTGTAAATTTGTAAAAAAAAATAGTAAATAGCAAATGAGAAACTATCAGATGAATTGATCAAGGCTAACAACAAAATTTTAGACAATAAAGGAGAATATTAAGAAAAAATGGGAGAGTTTATCAAAAATCATTTCTCAGGATTTACAAACATATAAAAGGAGTTTTCTAAAGTAAATGAAGATTAAAGAAATTTACAATAATTTAAATATATTTTTATCAATTTTTTTAAAAGATAAAAGAAGAGTTTATTATGTCAAGTAGGGGCATGGAGTATTACAAACAAGTGTTTGATGAATTACAAAGTACTTTGGATTTATATAAAGTAGAAAGAGTTGATTTGAAGAAAAAGATAGAGTCTATTATTAATTAAATTGATGATAAAGTTAAACAAGAAGAATTTAACAATTTTTGTGAAAGAATAGAGCATTCTTTGGTTAATGGAAATGATGAATTAAGACTTTAGTTATAAAAATTCTAAAAAGAAACAGAATCTTAAATTATGAGTCATAAAACAGTTATTAGTAGCATTAAGCAAAACGAATAAGTTTATACCTAATCTATCAAAGATCTTCACAATTTGATTAATGAAGCAAGAGTTAAGGCAGATTCTTCTATTCATGCAATTTAATGTGAGAGCACAGAAATGAAAAATGAATAAAAATTTATATAGAAATCCATAGAAGATATTAATACCACTTTGGTAGCACAATCTAACATTACAAATGAGATTAAATAAAATATTAGAAAAGAACTACTTAAATTTGACTAACTTGTGGGAGATTTATCTAGAAACCAGCAGCAATCAATTGATGAAACTGTTAGTAATTCTATCAAAAATCTTAAATCTGAGATTAATAAAGATCTTGAGGAATTAACAAAGTATGTTATTTGAATATTTAATTTGTCAAATTATATTTTGTTGATTTATTTGCTAATTTGTGTTTATTTAATTTAAAATTAATATATTAGATAGATCAAGAAAGATATTAAAAATTCTGTTAAAGTTGAAAAGGAAACAATTGCCTAAAACTCAATAGAAAGGAATGATGTATCATTTTAAAATGGGAATGGTGATTTGAGCAACGAAGCAACATTAGTTGAATCTGCACGCGGTAAAGAAAAAATAGATACAGAGATGCCATAATTACACTCAGTATCATAAGAACAAATAGAATAAATAGCACAATTATAAATAGAAAAATTAGTGCCTTAAATGATTTAAAGTGAAATTAACAAAGATGCAAATCTAAAAAAAGATTTTGAATAAATGATACAAAGATCACAAGCTCTATTGATGAATTAAATTGAACAATATATAAAAAAAAATATGGTAACTGAAAGTTCTCTAAATGATATTAAAAGAGATATCCTAAAAATAGAGGAGTAAATTTAGTTTAATTTAAATTGATAACATAACATAATATAAACAAAATATATAAACAGCCTAAAGAGTTAAATGTTGAACATATTTAATATGATGAAAACAGAACATGAAGAAATGAATGAAAAAGTAGAAAAAATGACTTACAAGCTTACAACTTTATAGTCTGATATCACTATCGAAAATGAATTTATAAATGGATAAATTAAAAAAGTCATTAAAGACAAAGATAGCATATTTAAGAGTTTAAGATCTCTTTGCCAACTTAGTTCTACACTCTCCGAAAATCAAAACATCCTGAACTCCATCTTTCTTCAATAGGAATTTGAGAAAAGGTTATCTTAAGATATGTTTGATAACTTTAATAATACTGTTCCAGCAAGATATTATTCTCATGTAGATGGTAAATAATTAATTTATCTTCAAAAATAAACAACTAATAAAAAATAAATAAATATTCTCTCCTAATTAATCTTCTTTATAAAAAGATTTTTCAAGTAAAATATATCAAATAATAAATCAATCTAAAGTTAAAACAAATTTAAAAATATTTTTTATAAAAAATAAATGATTATTTTAAATTCAGGAAAGTTAAATAAATTTTTCTTATAAAAATAAGGACTCATTTTTGAAATAGGGAATGAATAAAGTAGGACACATCCATGTAAGATAAACTATAGATAATTAACTTTGGAAAAATATGACTTGATTAGACATAGCATGGGATGCATATAAAATGTTTGGGAATAAATTTTGCAAAATAATGGTGAAGATTTTATTGATATTACTCCAGGCAAAATATTTAAATCATAAATGATGCCTAAAATAAAATACGATTTAAAACCTGTTAGAGCTTAAACCTCTGGAAAACAAAATCCCAGAGCAAATAATTCTGATATGATGAATAAGTCTTTATTACTTGAGAGCAATAACAATCATAATATGAATAAAACTTTTAATGCGCCTTAAATTACAAATACAAGTAACTAATTTTAGAGTATTCCAAGTGTAAAGCCCTCTGATGTAGACTAAATAGGTAAAATTTCAACTATTTTTTTATTTTTTGAAATAATTTCATTATTTTTTTTAGATGGAAAAAAGAAAAAAAATAACCCTATCTCACTAAACCATAGAAAATTGCTTAAAAATCTAAAAGATTTCAACTAAGCCCATTTAATAAACTTATAAAAGTAAATTACAAAACCTTAAACAGTTGAAAAGCAGTTTAGAAAATAATCTAGTAGTACTATTTAACAAGAAATGCACAAAGTAAATCTAACATTTTTAAATAATAATAATGATACATTAAAAAATAATTATACTGAAAATTGATTGATTGATTTATTTATTTTCTAGACTTTATAATAAAAATGAATTGAGTGAGTGAGTGAATTAATATTTGTATATAAATTTTATATGTAATTATAACTTTGAAACATACTTACTTGGCTTGTAAATATATTTTCAAATTAAAATTTAATCTAAAAATAAAAAACTAAAATACCCATTGAGCTAATCAAAATTCATAATTAATAAAAATCAATTATTTTAAATACTTAACAATCTAATAAAGAAAGTCATGAAAGCAAAAAATACTTTACATCTTAAAATTTATTAAATATTTAATAATTCAAAAATAAAATGCTATTAAAAACATTATCTATAAAAGTGGTTAACGTTATAAAGTTTTTCATAAAAAAGTAGTCCAACAAAATTAAAAAAAACAAAGTTTTATTTTGTTAAGATTTATTTTTAAAAAAATTAATAATTCAAAAATTAAATGTTATTAGAATTTATTATTTACAAAAATAATTTAAATTATAAAGTTTGTAATAATAAAGTAAGAACAAAATACCGTAATTACTTTATTTAACTCTTCTGGTAGGGGGTTCGGTACTATTGAGATGTATTAATATTCAGCCTCCTAAATAGTAATAACATTATTTGATTAGAAAAACCTTATTTTTAGAGTAGTTACATTATAAAGTATTGTTTTTTTATGTAATTAATATATTATTAAATTTTATTAAAAATTATTATTTACGAAACTCAATTAAATAATATGGTTTTATAAGATAAATAATACAACAACAAAAAAATATTTATAGAGATTTCTTATTTTATAATTAATAAAAAACTAAATTTTCAAATATTAAAAACAACTTTATTACTCATTAAAAAAATAATTTATAATCTAATTGGTGATTATTGTAAAAAAAAAAAATTTACTTTGCACTTTAATCTAAGAGATATTTATTGATTGTAAGATGTTATTTTTTTGATAAAACATTTATCATCGAAATAAAAACTAAAAGTGTAAATTTTATGAAATTATAAAGGGTAAAAATAAAAAATTTTTTTAATACAGCAAATTATGAATAAAAATTTTCTGCTTGCTGAGAAAATAAAAAATATTTTATATTTTATTTCTTAAATTTCATTAGAATTAGAAAAAAATATTTAAATTTAAATGTCGACAGCAGCAATATATCAAACTTAACATTTCTATTAAATTAAAATTTATTTAGAACATTTTTTAAAGTCAAAACATTTTAAGATTTTCAAAAGAACTTGGATGAGCTTTTATCAAAATTTATAGAAACATAACTATCGAAAATAAATAGGAAACACATTTTGATATAATATTTTAGTTATATAATAGTATTTATATAATGTATTAATTTGTCATAAACCATTTTTAAGAATTTCTTCAGCCGTTTCAATGATTGTGTTATAGATTCCAACATATTACATTCCTAGTTCTTACAAACTAGTTGCATTATCCATAACAAAGTACTAGCCACTTTATCTTAGGGTTTCTTTGTAAATTGGTACAACTTAAGCTTTTGCTTCAAATTCTTCATGAGTAAGCTCTTTGGTGTTAATTTTTAATTCAGGTCTCTTATGCTTGTAATAATCACAGAGTAAGGCTGCAATATCTTTTATCCACATAGACTAGCTACAAATGATGTACCTCTTACCTCTAGTTACTTCACTTAGTTTATCTTACATAGTAATAATATGAGCTGCAGCAACATCTCTGACATCTACAATTCCTAAAGTAATTGGTTAAGGCACTAACTTGCCATTTAATAAGCTTTTTTATTTTAGAATTATTATTATTATATATATTTTTTAATTAAGTTTTTACTTTGTTATTATTCCTTAACTTGCAGATAATTTTGTTGACAAAGAAGGACCTAGAATTAAAGTAGGATTTATAACAGTAAGGTTTAGTTTATCTTTATTTTCTTCATAAATTTTCCAAGCTTCCTTCTCGGCATAATATTTTGATTATCCTAAAAATAAATGTTTGATTAATATTTAAGTTTAAATATTTGCTTATTTTAATTACCGTAGAAACCAGCGTTTTAATAATTTTGCCAGTTTGTCTCATCAAAATGAACTTTTTGTGTATTTCCTTCAAAAATAGCTTTACCAGAGCTAGTTACAACAACTTTTTTGATATTTCTTGAGTATTTAACACATGCATTTAGAACAAATTAAGTTCCTTTAACAGCTGGTGTAATCATTTCATCTGCTGTTTTAGCTTCGTAATTAAAAGGAGATGCTACATGAAGGACATATTGACAATTTTTAACAGCCTCATCCCATCCGTTTTCTGAAGTTAGATCTGCTTATACGAAAGAAATTTTACTACGATATTTCTATGGAATAATATCATAAATATGCTGGTATTTTTATTTATCAGCAAGATTTCTTACAGTTCCTTTCACTTTGTAGTTTAATTGAAGCAAATACTTAATAATATAACTGCTAAGGAAACCGTTAGCACCAGTTACTAAAACAGTGTACTACTCATTTAGTGCTAATTAATGAGCCTAAATTTATTTTTTCAAAATATATATTATTTTAAATGATAATTTCAAGTTACATCTAAGGCCAATTTTCTTATATTTAAATTATCTATTTTCCAACTTTCAACATTTTCTACATTAGAAACTTCTTGTGCCATAGCTGATGAACCTGAGCAACCCATTTTATTTTATTTTTTTGTTTTATTTTTATTTTTTAATTTATTAATTACAACATATTTTTGTAATTTTATGATGACTTTTTAAATCTATTTTTATCATTCTACTTCTAAAAAAGTTGAAGATAAAAATTAAATAGAAATTTTCTGGAAAAATAATTATTCTATTAAATTAGAAGCAAGAGCAAAGACTTACTCAATTTAATTAAAAAATAATATGAAGACTTACAGGATTTAATTTTAAAAACAGATTATAAAATTTGTAAAACAAATAGAAATGTTCTATTTAATTATATTTTACCGTATTTAATAAGATAATAAAAGTATTAATTTTTATTCGTTTTTATCTAATTTAAATTAAAGTTTACCAAAATATAAGAAATGCAATAATAATAATAATAAAAAGATATATATTTTTTTTTAACAGGATTTGGAGAGTTTTATGGAGTTAAAGATAATCCAACAAAAACTCTAATTGAATCCTTAAAAAACGAAGAAAAAGAGTAACTTTCAGTCCTTCACGCAGAAGTTTTAGAAGTTTCTATCTAAGGAGTTGATGAATACATCAATTAGATTGGAGATAATATTTAAAAAAGAAATGATAATAATTCTATTTATGTGCTTCTTCACTTTGGAGTTGATGCAAATTCAAAAAATTTTGTTTTAGAATAAACAGGGTATAATTAAAAGCATTTTATCTGTCCTGATATGAGAAACAACACTCCTTGCTAACAACTTATATCAAAAGACTTCAATATAGATCATGGATTAAAAACAAATTTAGATTTAGAAGAAGTTAAAAATTTAATTTTGAGTGAATCGATAAAGGTTACAGCCAATAAAGATGTATTTAAATTAGGTAACGATCCTGGCAGATATATTTGCAATTATATTTACTTTAGAAGTTTGCACTGCTTCTAGCATTAAATATAAAATACAGGAAGCTAAATATATAGTCTTTTTATTCACTGCCCTCCTTTTAAAGAAATCAATTAAGAAACACAAAAAGATCTTGTTTTCATTCTGATAAAATCAATATAAAAATCACTTTTAAATGAAAAACAGTAATGATCTTTAATTTCAATAATAAATAAATTCTGAAAAACTAATACACACATGCTACATAATAAAATATTTAAAATAGTTACTTAAATTTTGTAAATTTGTGAATTTTAATAAAATACTCTTTTACTACTCAAGTTAATTTATTATTTTATTGCTAAAATAAAAAAAATTTTGTTTGATTTTTTTCTTTAAATTTATGATTAAAATTATTATTTTATTTAAAAAAAGATCATATTCATTCAAATTCTTATCTACATTTAAATTTAAAATTATTTTTTATGTCTAATTAATTAATTAATTAAAAATAAAAATATTTTTATTAGATTATAATAAAATAGATATTAAGATTAACTCTACCAATTTGAGTATTGAATGAAAATTTATCTTTTTTGAAATTAAATTTGTATATTTATGTATTTTTATTGAAAACGTAGTCTGAAATTATTAAAAATATAGACGTACATCTCAGACAGTTGAATAAGTGAATACCTCTAATATTTTTTTATAATTCATACAATTTTATTTTTCTATTATTTAAAATTTGAAAAATAAATTTCAAAAAATATTTAGAAATTCTTTCAATAAAATATCAATGAAAAATAACGAATTTAAATATATTTTTAATTGCTAATCAAAATATTTTTCTCATCAAAATTTATAAGGTTCTTTTAAAATATATGTTTGAAATGTGTAAAATACGTTGTTAACAAAAATATAAATCATATAAAAATATATTAAACATCAAAAAAATTTTTTTAATTTCATTTAATGTATTTCGATATTTAGTTCTCTTGTATCATGTATTAGCAATAGCTGTAATCCTTTTAAATTAATTTATTAAAATTTTTTGAGAGTTAAGTTTCTTAATTATTAAGCAGTAAAAGATATAGACTTTACGATAATTAGTATTTTCCTTATGCCTAGAAAATCTTAGCTTTGAGGTAAGTTTTTTATGGGCTTTAAAATTAAAGATTCTCAATTTGCTATAGAATTATAATAGCTTGTTCATAATTTTAGCTGTTTACTAGCAAATTTAGAGTTTATAGCATGCTCTTGCAATGGAATGGGTCTAGTTTTAAAACTAAACTAAAGCATTACAATGATTATTATTCTTATCCTAATAAATCATAATAGCATTTCCCTATCATATACATGCACTCTATTTTTCGATAGTTGTGATTATAGCATTCTTAGAATAATTATATCAAACTTTTGCAATCGAGTTAATTTTTTATAAAGTCTGTGTTGAAAATATCAGTTTATTGCTCTTAATAATAAAAAATTATCAAATTAATATATTCGTTGTATTTTTAAACTGCAAAATCAAACAAAAACTCCAAATAACTAATAAAAGCATTTCTAGATAAATTTATTACAAAAATTTACTCTCTTTCATGATAAAAACCTATACCATTATTTAGGAATATTAATTTTTTAAGTACTCTAATTTATTTTTATAATTTGTTTTGAACTTAATTATTACAGAGAATTTCCCAAGCTTACTAATATTACTATTTAGATTAATTAGTATCCTATACATGATACATGTAAATAAAACCTCTTAATATATGGCATTCTATTTTGATTGACAGATTTTAACACTCAGAGATAATTTAAAGTTAATTTAAAGCTGATTAATAATCATCTAGTTTAAAATTAATGAGGGCATTCAAATAAGAAGCTACATCTAAATTTTCGATTGGGTTTTATTCAAAGAAATTATTTAGAAGATATTTAGATATTTCTAAGTTACCAATTCTATAATTTAACAAAGAATAATCTAAAATAAGCTAAGTCAAATATTAACTACTAATTGATTCAAACAAATTATTATTTTTAATGAATTAAAAGCCTTATTTGAAAAGAATTAAAGCCATATTATAATCATTTAAATTATGATAGTAAATATACCCAACTTAAAATAGTAAAAAAAATGATAATTGAACGAATTTTAAATTCATTGAAACTTGATAATGATAAAGTGCTTTCCTATTGTTCTCAAAAATATATTAAAACAAAAAGCCTAGCTAGGCATGAATAAACCATTAACTTCTATTCTAGCTTAGTTTAATAGAATTAATAAAATTTTAAATGGAGCAATCAGCTTGTTTATTAAAGAATTGAATGAATCCTAGCTAATTAAGCCGTTGAGGGTCGTTAAAATTGAATTTTAGTTATTTTTCTAAAAATAGCTTAGAAAGCTGCAATTTATCTAGATGAAAATAACACGAAGCAGAAAAAAAACTCATGAGTTAAGAATTCATTTCTTTTTTGCTTAGAGTCTAAGTCATTATTTGCTTATATCTTTTACAAAGCTCAACTAATTACTCTTCATTCAAGCTATTAAACAGTCTGAGAAAACTCTCTTAATCAAAAGGATCTTCGCACAAATTTTTACATAAATTTTCCATAGAATAAGTTTCATCTTCTTCTTTAACTTAATTTTATAAAGAATCTTGTACTTTGCCATTTTTAGAAATATCCTATACCTCTATTTGTTACAATTCAATTTTTTTTATTTGATACTTAGGCAAAGCAAATTAAACTTATAGTTCTTACTAACATTTTAATTACTCCAACTACGAGTCTTAAAAAGAATCTATTTCAAATTCTTTTTTTACTATTTACTTTTATTTTTTTATTTTTTTTGATTGTTTAATTTTTTTAAACTAGTTTTTATTTTCATTACAAAGTTCGTTGTTTTATTTATTTTAGCTCTTTAAATCTTCTTATTTATATTATATATCTTAACTTTCATTTTCTTCATTCATGGCATCTTAAATTTTATTATCATTTTAACAGTTTTGTTAGGATTGGTCAATTAATTAAGAATCGGATATGATTTGTTTACTAACTAAAAAAAGAGAATTTTGAATACAATTTATTTAGTGCTCATGCTCTTATTGAGTATTTTCAAGAATATGATCAATTGAATGCTTTTCATCTTAACTATTTTTAGATATTTATTCTATTGTTTCTTGCTAAGAATTACTCTAAGTTGAATCTGTTTATAATAAGAAACCAAGTAAATTTCTTCTTTATTTGGCTAATTACCTGAAATTTTCAAATTTTTTTTCTTGATTATTACGTCTATTTTTCCTTTCTAAAGCTTTTTCTTGCTCTAATTTCTTTTTCTCAATTTCTTTTTGGAGATTTTTTTCTTTTCTCTCAGCTTATTTTTGCAATGTGTATGAAAAAATATCTTTTATATTTATTGAATCATTTAATATTTTTTCAGAGGGGATTCCTTTAATAAAGTAATTATTTTTATATAAACTTAAAAAGCTCAAAAAAAATGTTTAAATTAACAAATTTATACAGTTAGAGTTTAATAATTGTTGCAGTAAAGAGCTCAATTGTTAATCGTTTAATTCGTTTTAAAATACTTTTTAAAGTTCATAGAATATTTTCTTTTAATCAGGCTGATCTGATAATTATTAAATTTTATCAACTAAATTATTTTTATTCTAAAATGTAGGAAAGAGTTTGTCTATAAATTCCTCTAAAATTTCTTTATCTTTAGAAAAAGTTAATAGGCCTAAAGTTTAAACTGACCTTTCTTAATAATTTAAATCAAATTTTTTAAGAGTTTTAATCATTAAATCAAAAATATCTTTATTGTAAATTTCTAATGAATAAACTTCATAAAAGCATTAAAAAGTTGATTATATATCATATTAGGAAGAGAAAGAATCAACAAGAAAAAGAAGAGACTCTATTAATTTGCTTTTAAAATCCTCTAAAAGCTTTAATTCTCTGCTATAATTTTGTTTTTAATTCAAATTCTATAAATATTTTAAAACCTATTACTCTTAATTACAAATAATTGTTAATTTTTGTAAGTATTTCAAGCAATATTAATTTGTATTAGAATCTTAATTCAATTAAATGTATTCTTACAATAAATTGCTAATTAATTCTGATCTCATTTCTATGATTTAACTGCACTTTTATTCAAAATATATTTTGAATTATTCCATGTTTTCATCATTAAATGATTTTATTTCATCTGAATTAAAATATAATTTAAATTGATCCATTACTTTTTCAAATACTCTTTTTTCTAAGATATGGTCAATAGAAATTATTTAATTAATTTGCATTAAAATTGATTTTTTATTCTCTTTATCTGAGTCATACTATCTTATTAAATTAATAACTTTCATTTCTATAAAATCTCTATCAAAACTTTGATAGTATTAACTTATTTTTAAGCATTGCTTAATCATAAAATGATGAATATCATTTTAATTCTTTTAGTAGATTTAAAATTTTTAAAGACTACTCTATGTTGTTAGCAAAAGATATGTGAAATCTGATAATTTTTTTTTAAATTTACTAAAAACATCTAAAAAAGACTATTTTTTTTCTATTATATCAGAAAATCTAACTATGTAGCTTTCATCTTGCTTATGCAAACTAATCTGATTTATCTATTATTCTATAATAATTCTATCAGTATCTTCGCACCAAGGGCTAAAGCAAACTTTTTAAATCATCTAAACTCAAATTAATTTTTTTTCTCAATAATTAATTAAAAATATTAAGTTAGCAGAGAATTTTAAAATATAGAAAATTAAATTCTAATTATTTTCATTTTGTTAAATTAATTAAAATTTAATTAATTTTATTAAATTTCTAATTATTTTCATATTATTAACTAACTAAAGCATGCTATATACAATAAATTAAAAATATAACAATAATTATCTTAAATTTAATATTGATTAATTGCAATTCATAAAGCAAAAATAGTTAGTCAATATTGGTTTAATAAAATGATCACTAAAAATAAAAAATCTTTGTTAACATTGCTACAATATTTTTTTAATTGAAATATTAAGTTGTTTTAGTTTTTTTATATTTCAAAAAAATTTATGAATCATAATAAAATTACTAAATAATATTAAGAGGTATTTAATTATTTTAATTTTATATTCTATGCAATCATAATATTTTATAAATAATTTGATTTTTTTAAAATTACATTTATGGATAGAAATATAATTAATAAAAATCTAGTTGTAATAAAAATAAAAGTGTCTTCTTATTGAAGCATATCTTTTTAAAGCATAAATCAAATAAATAAATAAGTAATTGATAAAGTTAAAAATTGATTATATTTATAAATTTATAAGTAGGAAAATATATAGAACTTAATTTAATCATGAATAAGTGCAAACTTGTTAGAGATTCTTGCTCAAAAGTCCTTTAAAATGCTAAACATGCAAAAATTAATTAAGAAAAGTTGAAAGAATTTGGAAATAATTTACTCAACGAATTTAAAAATGGCTATAAATATATTGAGTTCGACGAATACTCCTGCCATTACAATGAATTTAAGAGTCCTGAATCAATTGTTGATTATATCTTTGTTTTGGACACTCTTAACTTTTGTTTCTGGCCTTGCGAAGTAGAATTTGAATATGATGATTTAGCTGCAGGTGTCAAATCTATTATTATTGAAAATCCTGAACTCTTGAAGCCTAAAAACATTATTAATATTGAAAGAGACTTTGTGAAGTAAAAAATATTTAAAGGTATTGAGTTTCCATTATTAGATGAAAGAGTTAGACTCTTAAAGGAAATAGGTGTTAGAACTCTTGAATATTTTGATGGAGAGTTCGTTAATGTAGTTAAAAGAGCTAATCATTCAGCAGTTAAAGTAATTAAAAAGTTTTTATTTTTACAAATTTTGATAAATTTTATAAAATTAGATGCTTGACTTACTTAGTAGCTTCTACAATAATTTCTAAGATGTTGCCATTTATAGAGGAGAATAGATTTGTTTTTACAAAAGATCTCAAATCATGATCGGCGATTTATATGGTGCTTTTAAAGGAAAAGATTATGGTAGATTTGATGACATAGAAGAAGTTACTACTTTCCCAGACTACAGAGTACCTTAAATTCTTAACCATTATGATGTTATTTAATACTCTGAAGAGTTAACAAAAATCATTGAATCCAAGACTGAAATACCTCATGGAGGTGAATACGAAGTAAAATTTATCAAATTTAGTATTGATAAGCTAAAAATTCTATTTTATTTAGGTTGAAATTAGAGCTGCTACAGTCCATTCAGTTGAAGAACTTAAAAAGTACTTGAAGGAGCAAGGCAAGAACTTACACTCTATTGAAGTTGATTGGATTTTATGGTAAAAAGGAGAAGAAGCTAGAAAAACTATAAAAAATCATCATCGTGTCCTCTCAATTTTCTATTGAGCTTAACTAAATTATAATAATTTATATTAAAATATGCAAACGTTTAAAATCTTTATTTTAACTACACTTTATCTTCAATAAATTTAGAATGTTAATTTTAAAAAGCAATCAAATATATTTGATATTGTCAAAAAAATAATAAATTAGTTATCAATAAATTTATAAAAATATTCTAATCAAGCCACCAACTAATTATTAATTAATTTATTTATATTTTAAGTTTATTATTTTATTATCATAAAAAAATAGTAATTTTTTAAATAATCAAATCAAACCAATTTATGTAAATTAAGTAAAAATAAAAAAATTATTTTTGAAATGAATATTTTTAATTTTCATTTTATTATGACATTACACATAGTAAATAATTAATTATTTGAGGTAGCTATTTTTTAATTATTTGTTATTTTATGACTTTTTAAAATAAATTTCGATTTATAATATTATGAATTTCATTTAATAAATTTTTTTGATTTGTTATCTAATATTATTTTTAAGATAGAACTAAATCATAGCTGCTAAAATTTTAATTAATTGAAATATAAAATTATGAATGAACATTTTGAATTTATTTGTTATAAAAAATTTCTTAACATTTTCAAAAATATTTTGAAAATAAATAAAAAATAGTTTATTTAAATTTAAGATATTTTTTTTTTCTTTTTGTATAATTTCAAATATATTTGAGATGACAATCAATTTTTGTTATAAAACTAAATTTTCTGTTTTGACTATTTTATAGGAAGTATATAAGTATCTTATTTTAATTTTTGCCAAACTATTTGAATATTTTTCAAAAATCTAATTAATACACTTTTGGATTATAAGTTAATATTAGATATTAAAAGAAAGTATAAGTGATTAGAAAACCTATAAAAAAACTATTTCATTACTTGAAAAAATTAAAATCAATTTAGTTTTAAAATTTTTTTTGTTAGAAGTTGAGTTTTTATTTAATTTTTAGTTTGTTGATAAATTATTTGCTATTTAATGAATATTAATAAAAATATGATATAATATCGATTCTCATTATCTGAGGTAATCTTCTTCACCATTATTCTTCAAAATATTTACCTTAACCTTGAAATATTTTTAAATATAATTAAGAATGAATGGAGATATAAAAATTAATGGGATGGGATATTTTATTTTGAATTAGTATTGAAAAGAATTAATACAGTAAAGAGATGTTGAACCTTATAAATTATATATAAACACAAGAAAAATAAATTGTTTTAATTGATAAAATTAATTATTTATTCTTATTTGAAGATGAATAGAAAAATTGAATTTATGGGTTTATATTTTTTGTTTAAAAAAGAGAGAACAATTTTTTTTAGTTATTATTCATTTGAATTAATTTTAGTTTCCAAATTTAATGTAATCAAATAGATCTTCATTTAGTCTAACTTTATTATGATTTGATGTATTTTGATTTTAAACAGCAGAAATTACAGAAATTCTATTTAGTTATCTTTTTTGTCTTATCTATGCAGACTGATAATTCAGAACTTCAGTACTATTTATATTTTAATCTCCTCCTATTGATACTTTTTTCTTTATTGATGAAGATCTTGTAGGGTTATTATTACGGATAAGTAGTTTTTTATGTTATTTATTTATTTCATCTATGATGTAAGTTTCTGTCTCTACTCTATTTTGAGTATGGAGAGTTACTAATTCACTTGGTTCTGTGTTCAGATAACTATTGTTATTGTTGTTAATATTATTACAACTCAAGGGTTGAACTATTTAATTTTGCTAGTTAAATGAGTATTTTTTTCTTAATTTGTTTGGAGATTTAGAGCTAAATTAATGATTTTAAAGGATTGCTGAGCTCTCCAGAGATTTATTATTCTGGTTTATTGGTGTTATATTGTTATAATTCTAAGGGCTATAAATAAGTTCGTCTTCAAGTCTCAGGTTTTGAGAAAAGTTTCTTTATTATTAATTGTTATTAATTTAAGCACCATTATTGAGCATTTAAAAATTTTAGGCTTATTATTAATTTGGATTAGTTTTAGCTTAAATTATTGGTGTTGTTGCTTCCTTTTAAACATTATTGTTCTTTATTGATGGAAAATAGTTTGGTCTTTGCTAATTTGCAAAATGTCTATTGCTACCATTATAATTATTGTTATTGTGGGATAAATTACTACTTAAATTTCTTTAGTTGCTAATATTATTACTATTACTGCTTCCAGAGTTTTAATTGTATCCATTTAAGTTATAGTTTAATAGTTAATCTAATCTGGTAGGAACCATTTTAGTGGGAGTTAGACTGCGCTTATTGTTTATTATATTATTTATTTCGTTTTCAAGGTTTCTTTTGAGATTACCAAGCTCACTTGCTTTGATTTTTATCTTAGGCTAAACACTCTCATAATAATCATAAAGGGGATTTCTTTTGAATATTAAAGTACTTTTTAAATTTACTGTTTCTTCTTATTAAAACCCTTCTTATTGGTCTCCAATTTTTCTTTAAGGAGATTTTTCCTAATCTTTTATGTTGTTGCTGTAGTTATGAGTAAGAATTGAATTAGGTATTGTTAAGTCTTTCTTATTTTGAATATTTTTTGGAAAAGGGTTAACTTTTTGTTTAAATTTGGATGTGAGATTATTTCTTGGAGAAATAGAATTTATATTTCCTTGAGCGTTAAGGTCTTCATTTAAAATTAAACGACTTTTGCATGGCACCTCTAGTCTTTTAATTAAAGCTACTGGCTTAAGATATTCTTTTTCAGTGTCTTTACTTGTACTGCTGTTAAATCCAATAGGTCGTTGAGGCGGTAAGAAATTTAAGAGATTGGTTTTTGTTGTTTCATTAGTTTTTTTGGCAAGTTTTTTAATTGATTTTTTTGGCTGAGGAGATTTACTAGTTTCTTATTTGGGCTCTTCAATATTTACAGGTTATTTAAGAACATTTTAAATTTCATCTTCTGATGGACAGCTATCAGACCCATCCGAATCATTCATTCCCATTTAAATTAAATCTTCATTCAAAAGATCTTTTTATATTTAATCTTTGTTGATATTAAATTAGCTCATTAAGTTACTAATTTGGTTTATTTGCTACTTTTACAGCAAATTAAAATCCTCTTTGTATATTGTATTTCTTTTTGAGGATAGATTTTTATCAGCTGCTTCTTCTGTTTACTCTTTGGAACCTCTTCTTGAGGTATTATTACCTTGCTTTAATTATGACGGCTAAAAATAAATCATAAATGCCTAACAGAGAGCTTTGCCAACGTTTTAAAGATCTTATAATCTAAAGTGGACATCATCATAAGAAGGACCACAAAAGCTGCTTTCTAAAGTAAAAATATTAGGGATTCTAAGAGATTTCCAAAGCACAACTCTCGCAGTACCTTATTTTTAGGTCTAAACTTTAAAATTGCAATCCTTAAATGAAAAAGGCTAGTAAATTTTTGAAATTATGTATGGTAATTCTCTGCAAGCAGAAGGCTAGCTATAGTCATGGCATCCATAAACAAATATATTTTTTTTAATTGAGTGTCCATGCAAGTCACAAAAAAGCACTAACCTCTTAGTATTAAGTATGAGTTTTTTCAAAGAATGGATTTCAGCATAAATTCCTTTACTTGGTTTCTTCCATTATCTATTCAAGTCTCTCCCTGATAGAGAGCATCTATTTTATTTAAATTTCAATTTTTAATAAAGATAATTTGTGTGGTTAAAAACTTATTCAAAAATATTTCTAATTTTTATTGTTTGTAGACTTATTGTATTAAAAAATTCTATTTAGGATTTCAAATAAAGATTCTAAAGTGATTAACAAGTATAATTTTTTATTAAAAAACTTCAAATGAAAATAATTAATTGCTTTTATTAGTAATTAGTTATTTATTGATAATTTTAATTTTATTCACAAAAAATACTAAAATTAAAAATATTTATTTAGAGAATTATTAATTGCTTTTGAAAGAAAGACTATACTTTATAAAAGATTTGATCGTTTAAAATTTGATTATTTTTATGCTTGTGATATTGGTTTTTGATGTTTACGCATTAAAAAATTGCGATATTTGCGTAGTATTTTCTCTCTTTTGTTTGTGAAGTTTATTTTAAAAGCTTGAAAGCTGAAATTTTAAATAATAAAAAAATAATAGTAATGTTACCTGTAATTTCCATGAATAACTCCGTCAGGGTTTAGCATAGGAATTATTTTAAAAATAAAATTATTTCTCAAATATTTTGATTCAGGAGTGTCTTCAAGTATATAATCAATGAGACCCTTTACCATAAAAGAAGAAACTGTTTCACCAGGATGAACTCTAGCCGAAACGACAATTTATTGCTTACTAACATGATAGTTACTGGATCCATCTGTGATTGTTAGCAAATCAACTCTATTATCTGCCAAGGTTCTGCAAAGCACCTTCCTATTTACAAATTGTCTTTTGAAGGTATCATTTTCAATAGATTCTAAATAATTCTAAAGATCTGAATAAGAATATGGATAGTTGTAAGCGAAAAATATTTCATCTTCTTCCTCTTAAAAATCATATGTAAATTCTAAAGTGTAATATGTTGAGATAGGAATATTTTACGTTTATCTTTTATATTCATTTTTGTAATAATTTATGTTAGAGCAAGATCTATGCCAACCTAAATTCTATTTTTCCCTCTTTTTTTTGCTATAAACAAGTATTTTCATGCCTTAGTTGAATAAGCTGTATGGCTTTTAGTAATTTAAAATACTTAAAGTAACCTAGCCTATTGCTTTTTTATTTGTAACACGAAAGTAAAACCACTGTGTATTTCCTTTTGTATTTATATCATTTTACAAAACCAAAAAGTACTATCTTTCATTTTTGATGAAAGCATAGGAAAGGTTACCACACTCAAACTTAGATTCAAAACTAAGCAATTAGTTGTTTTATTACTTCTTTATGCTCGAATTACTCAGTTATTAATTTTATTTTACCAAGTTAACAGATGCATTAAAATTTTTACTATCTTTATCAAAGATATCATCTATTTAATCATCAAGAGCTCCTCCAGATTTAACCCCATTATTTGAAGAGCTAACCCAGAAAGTATTTTCTTTTTATTTTGTAAGTTTTCTTTCATAAACATTATTTTAATTTTCATCAATTGACTTTTTTTTATCCCTTACATCTACAGATTAGCTTTCAGTTTTTTATCTTCCTTTTTTACTATCATATTGGCATGATTTAGTAAATTAAAGATCTATATTCTGCTAATTTTCGTTAATATTCTAAATATTAGATTGCAAATTATCTAAGGCAGAGTTATCGTTTTAAAAATATGAAACCGTCTTATTATCTTAACTGAATGAATGCTCATCTTTACCTTCTTTCCGGAATTCTTTTTAAACATCTTAATCAATTTTAGTCTTTTTTAAGCCTATATTTTCTTGTATCTTTTTGAGATCACATTGTATAATATTAAACGATGTGTACATATTTTAAGGATATTTTTAGTAAACAACTGAATACTCTCTGAGCAGGCTGCTAAGATCTTTAAGAGGTTGTTAAGAATATGGTTGCTATTAAATTTATATTGGATTACAACTTTTATTTTCCTATGTTTTACTATTTTATTCTAGTTGTAAATTTCCCTAATTTTACTTTTAAAATCCTAATTTAGCATTTCCTTTTTATAAGTAAGACTAAAGCCGCTCCTCTTCAGGATGTTAGCCATCTAAATTAACAATACTGACATATTAAGTACCAATAACATAATTAGGAACTTCTTTCTTTGATGCTGATTTAGGAAGGATATCATTTGCTTAAGGAAGCTCTGGAAGTTTAATTTTTCCCACCTTCGCTACTAAAGATTTCATTTGATTATTTGGTGGAATAATATCTTAGAAACTAATATCGATGCTGTTATGTAGAGACTACTACTTCTTTTGTTGTTTTATGCTCCATTACTATGTAAATGATTCGCTTTTATGTCTCTCCGTGTACTCAATAAATTCCCTTTCTTCTTTTTCCTCTTCGTCAGCATCTTATTTCTACTATTCCTACTGACTTCCTTTTTTCATTAGTAATAATAGCTTTCACTTATTACTAAAATTTTGATTATTTTCAAAGAATGGCCAAAGAAATTAGTTAATATTTTTTACTTTTTGATTTTTATTAATTTTATTATCGATTAATACTAAAACCAATAGAAAGAAAGATTGATTGATAGATAGATAACTAAATGAGTATTGCTTACTTACTATGAAAAAATTATAAAAACAAACAACCAAAACAATTTAAAATCTAAATATTCAAGTAATTAAGTAATTGAAGAAAATACATGGAATTTTTCACAATTACAAGTTGAATCGAAGCAGGTATATATTTATTATAAAATAGTATTTTTATATTTTTAGAATCAAAACTATAGTATCCAGTTGATAGAAAATTTTAAGAATATTATTTCTTTATCCTTTTATATTAAGGGAATAAAATTCCTCTTAATCATTATTTAGATTTTAATTCAAAATACTAAGCTTGCAAAAAAATTGATTGATTTATTCTTTACTTATATTAGTAATATTTATTTGATCTCATTTATTAATAAATTACTAAAAATATACTAAATTTTAACCTTTAAAATAATTATCAATTTTCTATTAATAGAAGAAGAACAAATAAAATATTTTTTTTTTTGAAATTTTAATGTTTAGTTTTTATAATAAAACTAATTCTATAAGTAATCTAGGAAAAGTTAAAACCATAAAATTAAAATATAAGTTGATATTAATGTAAGTCTATTATTTAACAGCTATTGAATAGTTTTGAACAAACAATTAAATGACTGTTTAAATGGCATATAAAATGTAATTCAAAATATTTTTCACTAAATATTTTATATTTCAATATAAAATACCACTTAATTTATTACAATTAAATGGGTTGCCTATTTATACCTTTATTTGAGTAAGTACTTAATTAGATAATTAATAAAAAAGATATATAAAGAAACAACTAATTTAGATACTTAAAATAAAAACAAAATATACAATTTGTTCATAATTCTATTTAATTATTAAAAAATAAGAAAGATTCTATCAAAATAGATAGATTAACTCCATTTTTGAATAGATAAAAAAAATTTTTTGAAAAATTTTAATCCAATTAATAAAAATTTTCAAATATTATTTAAACTAAGAATGCAATTATTTTTGAATGAAATTATTTTAGTAAAATAAAAAAAATTCAATAATGAGTTAATCACCTGACCTGATAAAATACCTATTATTTTAATAAAATGAATAGACTTGATTTCTTTTTATATTAATAAATGATTTATTTCATTTGTGTTAAAAATGATGGTGGTGGTGGTGCTTCGCTTTTTATTTAAATCTTTCATGGCTTTTGTTGTATGGATAGTTATTGAAAGAATGTTTTAAAAAGAGTTCTGTATTTTTTAGATTTAATTGTTCTACTAATTAAAAATCTTTTTGAGGTTACTTTAATTCAATTTATTATAAGTTGTTTGAAGGAATAGATACAGTTGATTTAGATTCTTATTAACTTAGATTACTATTAAGAGAAATAGAAGAAGTAGAAGAAGAGATATTGAAGGACTTAATTGAATCCTCTACATAAATAAAATTAGTAAAATACTCTAGCAATTTTATGTTTCTGCTGAACTAACTTTTAGAGTAGATTAAGTTATACATAATATTTGAAATTTGAGTTGAAGAATGAAGTAGAGCAAAGCACAAAATATTCATAAAACAACATTTCAACTCAATAAAAATAGTCTGTTAAATTGATTGCAAAAAATTCTGGAGTGATTCCTCACTACCTTCGTTTTTGTACATTACCCATGAAATTATTGATTCGATTAAATTCGAAATCGTCACAATTAAAATATATTGGGAAAAAGAAGCACTTTTCAAGGTGCTTTAAACCAAATATATCATAACTTCAGCGGAACCAAAAGCATCAAGTGTATTGATGATGTTGCCACTGAAACGATGATTTCGCAATTATTACCAATACTTAAAGGGGATCATGTAAAAAAAAGATGCGAAGATAGTCACATCTACAACACTTTCATACAATTAAACAATATTAAATTCTTTAAAGTAAACTTAAAAGACAATAGGTTTAGTTAGCCTGAAAATCAGGACAGATAGAAATTAAAGTTTTTTAGAAGAAGGAGTTTTTCTCTCAAGACTAGCTTCAGCTCTATCAGCGAAGAGGTTAAATAGGTAAGGAAGTTCAAGCAAATAGTAAGGCATTTCGTCACTATACAAATTCAGAATTACAGAGCAGGTTAGGACAGCAGCAGAGCAAGTCCATAGGTTCAAAATCACACTCATTTTTTCATAATCTAATTATTTATTTATGTTTGATACCGAAGAATTTAGGCAGTAGTTTTTTGATTTTTTGATTATTTGTTTATTTATTTTTTAATTTATTATGATGATAATTGAATTTTTCGATCTAGTATTTAGTATTTTTGTTATTGTTAGTTATCACACGAGTATTTTTGATTACATAGTAATTTAGTGAGGGGGACAATTGTAACTTTTCCTCATAGACTTTACTTCCTTTAAAACTTGTGCTTTTATTTTGGAAGGGGTTGTTCCATTAATTTTTCTATTTATCTTGCTTTAATTGTATTTCAGAATAACAATAATATCTATTTCAAGGAATTTTTCTTTCGCTATCAATAATTTTTAATGAAACTAAAAATTTTTAAAATAAAAAAAATGACATACAAATACATATTTAATTAAATTTGCCATCAAAATATCAAATTTTTAATTATAAAAGAAAAAATCTTAGTAAGCATGAAAAATAAAATAAAGCTTACTCAATGCATACGAATAAAATTGATTAAATAACAATTCTATTTATAAAATAAATTTGGAGTTTTTATAGAAAAATAGGAGTTTTATAAATATCTAATTGAAATAAAATAATAAATTTAGATTTTTTTCATTTTCTTCATTTAAATTTTCAAAATTTATTTAATCTTTTAAAGGTGACTTTGCCAGAAGATAGCTATTTGGTGATATTATGTGTTACCAAAATATTTAATAAAATTTATATCTAAAATACTTTTGTTCTTTCCACTATAACTATTTATTTCCTTTTATGTTTTCTACCTTTATTTTTCCACCCTTTAAGTCTTGAAGCAAGATTTTAAGATTGATTATTTTTATGAATTATATTAAATTATAAAAGACTAGTAAACAAAAAATTTATTTCCATTTACTTTAAGCTACAAAAATATTTAATGATAAATTTGTTTAATTTAGCAAAAATAGTCAAAAATTTTTTAATTTAATAAAAAAATGAAAAGGTTTATGATTATATATTTAGAAGATAATTGAAATCATACTTTTTACTAATTAACTTAAAAAAAAATACTTTTTATTATATTGAAATAGATTAAATTTAATTATATGGAATAGATATTTTAAAAGTATGCTATAATTTTAATAAATTTATAAATGGCGATAATCATTAAGAATCGCTTTTAACCAATTTAGCTATCTAATTAATACCTACTAACTTTTCTGATTCTTTTGGAATGTTTGCATTTGCAGTTGTACTAGTTTTAAAATTATTATCGTTTATTTCTTAGGATGAGAGATTATCTAACATTTATTATTATTATTCGTTTTTATCGTATTTTTCAAGATTGTTGATTTAATTTTAAGACTTTTTCATAGATTCTTCACCTACTTAATAAATTTCACATGAATCTAAACTTTCATCTTATTTTATAATTTTTTCTTCTTTTGAGGATTTGAAATCAGAATTCTCTAAATTAGAAAAATTAAAAACCTCGATAGGTTTCTATTAATTAGGAAGGTTAGTAAATAGAGGTATTTATTATATTTGGTTGTTTATTTTTAGATCTTAAAATGTTTTTTCTGTATAAAAACTTTCATTGTGATCATACTCATTTTACCTTCTAAAAGAATCATCTTTTAAGGTTTTAGATTTTATGTATTAACCAGGGCTCATTATAACTGACATTTAAGTTTAGCAATAATTTTATAGTGGAATGTTACATTTAATTTATTCTTAATTTGCTATGGAAAAAAATGATTTTTATTTTACAAAACTTTTTATCTTTTCTTATTGACTATTATCACTTTTAGGTGTTTCTTAAATTTCATTTTACAATATTTTTGGTATTTCTTATTCTCTCAAAGAAAATTTTTTACCTTTTATTCTGTTATTGATAATTGTTTTTTGTATATAGTTTTTCTTTTGAGATCTAGGGGTTTGATTCTGTTTACAATTAAGTTTATCAACAGACTTTTGAGAGAGAAAGTTACTGCAGCTTTGAAAGCTATTTGAACTTTAATTTACACTTTATGGGACTTTATAAACACTATTATTGCTAAAAACATTTGTTGAGGCTAGCTTTTTATTTTCACATTAATGAATATCTGAATCAGAGTCAGAATTTTTAGCACTTTATGAGTTTTGTTATATTTATTTAAACATTTTATTTATTTTTTATGTTGGAGAATCTTAATTTAAAATTAGACCATTCATATTATAAATACTCACCATCTATTTATTGAATTAAAATTTAGGATAGTTGTGATCTAAAGGTTCTTGCATTGATAATTCCATTTAAGAAAAGCTGCTATTTTACGAAACTCCACATCCTTTACCTTTACTTGCTTAAATTAACGAATTAAAATAATAATCATTGCTTGTCTAATCAATTTGATGAAGCTTTTTTGCTGTGCTTATATTCTACTTAAGATTGTTATAATAAATAAGGTTGTTATTGAGAGAACTTTACTCATTTTATAAATTATTTTGTGATATAGAAGAAATTATTGATTTATAATCTTTAAGCATTTCTTTTTTATTCATGACATGCTTAGAGAGAGTTTGCCATAGAAGCAATATTTTAAATGAATTTTACTTCTGTAGGTTTATGCAATTAAAAAACTTGGGGAAGATTCTTTTTAACACCAATAAAAGCTTCTAAATAAATGATCTATGGTTTTAGCTATACTATACTATAATACCTGAGAAATATGTTTTAAAGAGCCTTAAAACATACAAGGAATTCATAATAACAATAATGGAAAAGCAAATATAAGTTACTGATTCAAAAGGACTTGAAATAGATATCAGAATGATAACAATTGTGAAATTGCAAACTAGATGTGCCATTAAATCAAGCTGATTAAATTCATACATAACGTAAGGCTTTACTCTCAAGTGAATAAAAATATAGATCATGATTAAAACTAATGATATCAATAATTTATTAAATAAGTATGAGTGAAGTAGAGTATTTGATACTATTATTAATGCCTTAAGTTGAAGCTTTAATATTTCCCAGTAATAGGCATTTTATTTATAATCATAAAACAGAAAACTAAAGGATTTAAGCAGTGAAATTCTTAAAGGATTCTTTATAATGCGTCGGATACGCAATAAGTAAACCAAAGGAATTACTAAAACTAGGATAAAAAATAGAGGAAGAACAAAGTAATAAGAAATCTTTTTATAGCTGCTTTCATCACAAGAAAATTGCAAATCAGCTAAAGAGTAAGAACCTTTATCAAAAGTTACACAAGTTATTGTTTTTGTTATTTAACTAAGTAAGCCTGGGAAAGTATAAATTAAAACCATTTTTATAGCCATTGAACAAAAAGAAAGATAGTACTTTAATTATTTTTGCTAAGACTTATTTAACAAATAATGCAAAAAACAAAAGAATGTTCCTGCTAATCCCAAAAATATAACGAATATGATAAGCCAAATAATTCTTGCAAATACAATCTAAATACCAAATAGTTATATGATGCAGTCAACTGAGTAATAAACATTTAGAACAGGATCACCACCTACTTATAGTATGCTAAAAATAGAAGGAATTTAAAGCTGGGAACCATTCAGCACAATAAGAAAAATTTAAACATAGTGCATCAAGATTTTACTCAAAATTGAGTTTCTTTCAAACTATGCACTCTTTCCGAATCTTATAATTCCTAAAATTTTCAAATACTGTGCTTGAATTTTCTTAGTTGCACAGCTCATATTTTGTTTCATTAAAAACAATAAATATGAAACAGTTAAAATTAAAAATCCAATAAACATTCCAATTTATATTCCGTATAGTTTACAACTACTACAATAAACACCAGAAACTCTTGCATATCTGCTTCCCCATATTTTACCTTCGATATCACAGGAGCTACACAGAGGACCAACATATCCCTATTTACAGTATTTAATAGAAGTAGATTCTTCTGCTCTACAATTATCTTAATACTATTCACAAAAATATACTACATCAGACTCATCGTTTTGCCTCCAATATCCATTTTTTAATTTCATGATATCTCCAATGCAAGATTTAGCAAAAGGAGGACATATCTTACACTAATTAGTTTCTAGTACATCTAATTATGGTTAAGTAAATGAGTATTTTCCTTCTGGGCAAGGTTCACATATACTTATTTCGTTCTATTTAGAATATATTTCTCCTTTCTTGCAAAGCCTAGAAATAATAGTTATTTGTGTATTTAGTTGCTTTTTGTTAAAAATATTTAAATATTAATAAAAAAATTTATTTATGCAATTAAACTAAAAAAAACTTTTATTCCAAATTTTTGATTTTTAGAAAAAATGAGTAAAAAAGGGGAGGGAAATATTTATTATAGATATTTAAAATTTATTTAGAAATTAATTTTTAAAAAGTTAAATAAAAAAATACTAATTTTACTTTATTCGTTATATTAATTTTTTAATTTTATTTGTCTAAAACAAGGAATGGAAAAAGCTGCTTGGTACTAATTGTGATCTACTCCTTTGATAAAGGTTAAGAAACAATTGTTGCATTTAAGGAATATGTTCTTGAGCCTTAGCTAATATATAACTAATAATTAGGAATAAATATGTTATCTGCCTAAATTTCTAAAGAATATGATAATAGTTTATCTACGCTTTCTATACTTTTCTTTGATAAATCTTACAGGTAAACATTTTAATCTTCATAATCTATGAATTTAATCTAGATATCCTTCAAGCTATCTCCACTTCTGAAATTTTCTACAGTTAATTAAGGAGTATATTACTCATTTCTATATACTCTAATTTCTTTTGGATAGAATGCTATGTTATTACCATAAAAATTAGCTGTATTATTCTAAAATTGGATTGATTTTTAAACTAAATGTTTCATATAAAATAATGGAATAACATTAGCTGAAATAATTCTAATGGCGCCTCCAATTTAAGCATAATTATTAATAAATTAGCAGCTTTTAATATCCATATCAGCATTGTTTATAAAGAGAGCTCCAGCAAAGTTATTTGGTGAACTATTATTTAAAAATTTACTATTTGTTATATTTGACTAAGATTAAGAATTTAAGATATCATAAAAGTCTTGATCGTTTTAAATTGTAATAGCTCCACCAGACGTATTATTAGCACTATTAGAAATAAATTCAGATTCATTTATAATAAATTACTGGATATTATCTAGTAATAAGAATGACTTTTGTGAGAAATTTGGATAATTTTCTATTAAATCTAAATTTTGAATTCTTAAATTGGTTATTTTAGAGATATAAAGTATAGAAACACTTAAATATATTGCTTATGATGTCACTAGCTTATTTTATAAAATATTAAAGTTTTATATATTAACTAGCATTGAGTTGATAATGTTTGTGCATAAATTAGTGTTATTCGTGTAAATTATTTGTTTCATTTCTAAGTAATTTTATATTTATAGCTGAATACACTAAGGATTTCTATATCTTAGAGACTGCTAGAATTATGTTATATTCAAATTATTAAAATTTGCTAGATTAGATTAAATGTTCATTAGAGAAGAATCAAATTTGGTATCTTTAAATAAAATTTAAATTAGTGCAACATTTTTACAAACTAATTTTAAAAAGGAACTAAATGGAATTTAATAGTCTAAAATGTCTACACTGGGTAAAATTAGGTAAGTTGCATTAATAATTTATAAGTTTTATAAAGTAAAATTCTAATTTCCCACTATCACTTCATTTTAAGGAAGGTTTAATACATCTCCTTACAAGAAAAAAGTATTTTAGGTATTTTAAACATAAAAATCCTAAATTTTAGCTATGATAACTCCATACGAATAGATTAAGTAGTTTTTATTAAAAAATGCTTTGTAAGTAACTATTTATTGGAGATTAAAAATGCTTACATTCTTAATAGATAAATTTTATATATTCTGAAAAGTGAATAGATTAAATGTGCTTAAATTCATATTTCTTACTGTTATATTTTAGATAATCAGTGAATTAATCTACCTAAATGATAATAATTTTAGAAAATCTGTATTGATGTTCTATACAGTTATATTACTTATCACTACTTGGTTAATATTCTCTATGTGAAATAAAAATGTTCTGGGGTAAATACATGTAGCATTATCAATTAATAAATTAGATATTTTTAGCATCCCTATCTGATTGAAAGAAATAAATGATTAAGTTTAATTATAATATAAAACCCAGCTTTATTAAGGAGAAAACGATGGAAATATGAGTGTTCCATTTGGTTTAGGTGGTAATTATGTAGTACTAATATTCTAATAACTAAATATATAATTTTAAAAAGATATATCATCAATAGTTGATAGGCTTATATTTTAAATATTAATCTAAAATTATTAATTTGATTTGATAAATCGAATGCTCTATAAATTAAGACGACTTTTATTTGCAACAGTTATTTACTTAATGACTGAACTATTACCATACTGTTAAGAAAATGAGTTAGTTTTGTTAAAATTTGTAGATTATGATTAAAATTAGCTATCTATTAAAAATGTTAGATTGTAAAAGACTAAGCTTGAACCTTGTCTTTAATTTAACTTTGTGTTTTGGTTGAGTGATATTGTAGAGTTCATCTTGTTTTCTGAATAAATCAAAATCTAATTATCTTATGTATTTGTTAAGCTAGAAAATATGTCTAAACTCTAAGGCTTTATTGATTCTTAAACCTTGATTTTAATTGTCATGGGAGTGTATTTTTGGATGCTCTTGTAGTTGGTTTGTAATATAGATAAATATAAATTTTTGATATAATTATAGTTTTTAGTTGTATATTCTAAATTAAATGATAGTAAACAGTCATAAGTTCGAGATTAACTTATTATACTATTGCTTTAACTATTGTCTTATTGGAATAAATTTAAAATACTTGCTTTTTCTTAATTAGATAAAGTAGCTTGAGCCGTCACTTATTGCTTGATTTCATATAGTTCAGATCTTTAGCAATTAGGCTCAGGAAATTATGCTAAATACAAATTTCTTAATCGTTGTGATTAGTCTATTTTAGTTATATCAATAGGCAATTAGAGTCTAGTGAATCCTTACTAAGATTATAAGTATAGTTCTAAATTCAAAATAGGAGAGTCTTCGCTTGATCTATCAATTGTGAAGTGATACAAATGAGGGTAAGTAAAACAAATATTATGAGAGATAAAATAAAAAGGATAAACATCTTAAAGAATATATATAAGTATTTCTGTTTGAGCCTAGACATATAGAATATTCTAAGAGAGAATTTTAACATATTATATTTCAGACTAACAATAAATTTACATTATTTCAGTTTTTAATTTGAAGTCTTGGGCATAATAAACTTTTATGTATAGTGAAGAAAAAATAATATAGTACTATCCTGTATTGCTTATTAAAAATTTGTTTAAATTATTTGATAGCTAAGTCATGTTAATTTTATAAAACAGTGTACTAGGTTCTGGAGATGGATATATATCATCTGTATATGGTAAATAGTTCAATAGATAAATGAATTCATTAATTGAACTGAATACTAGCAATCTTTATCTTTCAGCATCAAATTCAATATCATTAAACTAAATATTAGGTAGACTAAATGTTTTGACTATCACCAATTTTGAATCTCCAGCAGAGTCTGTTTATGGAGTATATTATAAAAGCAAGATCTCACTTAAATTATTTAGTAAAACTATGAATTGGCTGTTGATTTGCATGCATGAAATTATGTTTCTTGTTGAAGTGTTATTGAGATCAAAGAACTGAATAATTTCGTAGTTTTCTGTAGTTGAAAATGGATCAGCTCTGTAATCTATAACTCCTATTTAACCACTTTCGAGAACAAGAAATACTTATTAATTAACTTCAGATCCCTAGAAATTTTTAAAACTTGTATACATATTAGCTGAAAATTTATTGACAATAATTTCATTCTAGTTTTTATAAAGATAATTTTCAATTATTTAAAAGTTTTATCTAATTTTGAAAATAGGTTTAATAATTTTGGTGCTTATTTAACAGGCATAGAGATTATTTTTTTGAGATAAAAAGTACATATTCCCATTAGAAAACCCTAATATTTATTTAAAAGAGGATAGGTTTACAGCATTTCCAACATTTTGTGCCTCTTAATTAAAAAATAAGAAATCGTTTCCAAGCGAGATAACTAATATAGCCTTATTATTTTCATCTGATTATTGATTGCTTGAGAAATACCCTTACTTACCATTTAACATCTACCAACTATTATTTGAATAATAGTTTTGTGTATAAACTTCTTACTGAATTTATATTCTTTTTTAAATTTCTGCTTTTTGTTTATCAACAATAAACAACTAACCTTTTTCTTAATTATAGAATGTAAACGAAGATTCTTATTATACGTAATTAGAATTATAAACTAAATTTTACAAGCTCCTCATTGTTAAATCCAAAAATTTATATTTAATTATTTCTTCTATACTCCATAGGTATACACCTGTACTATCACCTGAGAGTAACAACAAATCATTAACTACCAAGAGCTTGATGATTGGTTGCGCATGGTATCTAATTATGAATACGATTTATTTTTTTGAAATGCTATATGTATATATGTTGTTTAAAAAAGAAATAAAAAAAATATCTTGCTGATAATATAAAACTAGTGATAAGTTATCATACAACATAGGATTTTCTTATCCATTAGAGTTGACTAAATCTTCTAATAGTTCATGAAGACTGAATGATAAATACTCTTTTAGTGAGTTTACTTATGGGATATCATCCTCCTCATCGATATCATACTCATTTTAATTTTTGAATTAATTTGAGTTTTATTCTTCATCTTAATCATTTAATTAAAAATCATTTACTTCTGTTGAATTTACTTTCTATTTATTTTATGATGAATCATTTGCTATTGTTTCATTTATTTAACTCAAATCTATAAAGTGAATAACTGAGTCTACAGTTAAAATACTCATGATTTAATTTTTTGTATCTACATATTAAGTATAAATACTATACAGAACATCTGTTTTGTAAATTTAAATTGTACTAGCCTTTATGTCAGATACAGGAAGCTTAAAAAAGTAAGTAATAGAAGAAGAAACTGGTATTAATAAAATAAGATTTAATTATCTTATGATATTTGGATTAAAAAACTCTGGCTATGATTGGAATCTACGGTACTCTAATTCTTGAGTATTCATTTTGAGTATTATTATATCCATTTAATTTAATAGTATCAAAAAATTATCATTTGGGTCAACATACATTTAGCTAAAGTAAACAAATTAATTAAATTTTATCGAGTTCATTACAATATGAGATATAATCTCACCAGTTTTGAAACTAAATTTATATACTGATTGATAAATTTAAAAATAAAGATATTCATCATTGTAGTCAATCAATTTTTTAGATTTATCATTCTAATTTGCTAAAGATTAAGTCTCAATTATTACTTTACCTTGTACAAAATCAAAGCATATAAGGCTTTTGGTTTAAGGAAGCCAAAATAGTAAATAGTTCTTTTTAGCAATCAATCCCATACATAAAATTTAGCTTCTTTTGAAACTGTACATAAAATCAAATTACTAACCATCCTCGCTAACTTTGTAAGCAGAGACAATTGAGTTTTGTTAAAGTTAAATAAAAATACTGGTCACTTCATCGTAGTAATATCCACTAAAAAGATCTTATTCAGGCTAAGATACATAATCACCGAAATAACTAAACTAGATGTCATATGTTTGAAAAAAATTTATTTCTTTCTTTGTGTTGAGAAAAAATGATTTAAATTTTTTGTATGAAGACTTCATTATTATTAATTGTTTATGAGGAAGATAAGTAAAATGATCTACCTTTCTGTTGTATGAGAAATCACCTTAGTCTAAAAAATTATATTTTATCAAAAATGGAGATTTATAAAGAGGAAATAAGTAAGATTCTTTTAAACCACCATTTTTACATATTAATTCATTAAGCAAAAATCCTATGCTCATACAGGAAATTTAACTATAAAAATAAAGTTAAAAATTGTCAAATTCATCTTCTCGAGAGTAAAGATAAGTAGAGCTGAGTCCTTTAATAGCAATTATATCAGCTTTTAGAAGTTTAATTCCTTCATTTTAATCAAATGATTCTTATCTCTTTAAAATATTTATACCATTTATATAAACTTTTGATGCTATCCTATTTTGAAGAGTAAATTCAACTCCTTATAAATTAACAATACAAATAAGTTAACCATCTGATTTTACATAAAGAAAATTTTAAATAGTTCCTGAGTCATCTGTAGCAAGCTCATCATCTGTTGGATAAATAACTTCTTTTTTACCTATACAAGACATTATTTGTTCCTACTAAAAATCCAAAATTAAATCTTGCTCATCATCTTTATACCAACTGAAAAGAACGATTTCAGTATCAGTTAGAACTATTAAAAGGCTTTAATAGCTATATCTTTACATTATAATAAAATTTTAAACAGATAATTATTTTTTTAACTTATAAGAGAACGTTTAGTTAGAGTTATCTAGTCTTTGAAAATAGAAAGTTGAATTAAAGTAACTGCCTATTAATTAAGTTGATGGTGAAAGTGTTAATAAAGTTTAATTTTAAATTAGTTAATCTTGAATAACTATCTTAGTTTTTTCTGTTTAGGTTTCAATATCATAAGTGTATATCAAATTAGTATTATAAATCAAAGCTATTTTCTAGTTTTCAATATAAATAGAGTTATAATTTATATAGAACTACTTTAATTCATCAGGCTCTTAGTTACTTTAATCAAATTATAGAAAAGTAAATAAAGCATTTTAGTTAGTTTAATCAATCATTATAATTGTTAGATATTTATAGTTGGAAGATAACAAAATCCTGAAAGAATTAGGTTATGTTATACCCTATATATCATACATCTAAGATTGATATATCAAGTTCAATGAAATAGAATCTATTATTTAAAATATCTAAGTATACCAAAGAATAACTATCTGGAGTTATTATATGTAGCTACTGTCTAATACAGCTCCTAAATCATTTCTCAGTCTTACAACTGACTAAGAGTAGCTTTTATTTCCTTATAAATAAATTGCTTTGATATTAAAACTTTCAATTATAATTAAAAATTTAAAAACTCTTTTCATTTCAGTGTTTTCCAAATCTTAAACTTTTATGATAAAATGGCTACCTACTACTTTACTTTGATTGATTACATTAACGTATCCTATTTAATTAATAATTTCATATGTAGGAAAAGACAAAAAATTTTTTAAGATATCTGCTTTGCTTATTGTATTATTCATTGTTTGATTTTATTATGTATTATTATATGATAAGAGGTTTATTACTAAGACTTCTTATTAATTCACTACAATTAGCTCAGGAAACTTGTATATAATATCATGTAGGAAAATCCCAGAAAAATCCCACAAACTTTAGCTTATAAGAGTATTTGAAAAGTCAAATTAATTAGGAACTTGTTATTAATCTTATTATTAAGATGCCTGTTTCAAACAATAGACTTACATCAATCCTTAACTAACTATATAAAATAAGCATCCATCAGTAAAATAGTATGACTGAACTATATATTCAGTTCTATTAAAAATAAGATTAAAATTTTTCCATCCTAATTTTAAATCAAATACAAATAACGTGGAATAGATCTGACTGTATGTTATCAATATATTTTCTTTACTAAAATATTACTTAGAACTGGTTGAAATTATTTAAAATTAAGATGGTAGTAAGGACATATTTAGAGCTTAGCAAGAAGAGAAAGATATGTTTCTAATTTTTTGATCTAATAAACTCCAATAACAATAATATTGTTCGCTGCCAAAAATATAAAAATTGGTGTCTTCAACTACAAAAATATCAAAAAATATAGAAATATTAGGGATTAATTAACTAAATTTATCACTTGAAATTTAGATATCAGTATTGTTTTGATTTATTTAAGTAGAGTTTAAGAAATATAAAACTTAAGTAGTTACTTCATAACAAAATTATAATTGTTTTACTTCCAAGTAACGGTATAACTTACCTGCAGGAAGACTTATAGTTTAAGTAGAATTATTATTGATGTCCAATACTTTAATAAAAGTTTATCCTATAGTTGGAATTCTTCCACTTTACCAATTTAGTAAAATTGAGCCAAGATAATTAATAAAAACAGCCTTCCCTTAAAACTAATAAATATTAAGTTAAAACATTAATAAAAAATAATGTAATAATTAATTAATATATAAATAAATAAATGAATGAATGAAGTTACCTAATATTATATTGTACCTAATAAAGAATCTCTTTTATACTTTACAATTATGTTTTATCCATAGCTACAATAGAAATAAGCTTGATCACTATTAACAAAACCACATGAATTGATTAGCATGTTGGGTAATATATTTTTTCCCTCAAAAAGCAAATTGAGTTATGGGTAGTTATATGTCTATATTTTGTATTAAGTAAATAAATATAATCTTTAATTTACTTCATCTACCAAGCTATTCAAGTAAAATTAGTCTTCGTTATTTAACTAATTATTTATAACAGGACATGTAATTAAATCATCGTAACAAATTTGTTACTCATTTAATTTGTTTTAGTTATTATCTTAATCATCATTTATTCCTTTTTAGGTATTGCTTTATCCTTTACAAACCTTGTCCTTCAATAATATGCTTAGATATCTCTCAAAAACTAAATCTTCCTGTCCTTAGTATATACATTAGTTATTGGTTAATAAAAAGTTATCATTACATTTAGAACATAATGCTATATCATCCTAACACTACGCACAGTCTTAAACAGAGCATTTTTCACAAATATTCAGAAAATAATTTATTCTTTTTCCTTCTCCACATTTAGGAGAGCACACCATTTTTACTAAATCATAATAATAGTTTTTAGCACACTTAGTACAATGCTAGTTAATTAAATTAAATTAATCGTATGTGCATTATGAACAACTTTGATCACATTAACTACACTAATAATCTGAATTTAAATATTAGTTGTCACCACATTTAACTAAAAATGGCGAGTCATCGCGAGATTAGGCATTAATAAATAAATTTTTGCTAGATAAAAAAGCGAAAATAAAAATGAACTTGGCAGAAACTGTATTTTACATCACCTTATTTATATTAACTTACTATTTGATTGTTTTTAATTATCTAAAAAGAGTTTACTTTAATTAAACTATACAATTAAAAGAAAACAAGAAAATGCTTTTTAATAATTAATAGAGAAAACATTTGTTTTATGATAAATGCTAACTAAACATGAAAATTATAAATGAAATAATTAATACTGAACAAATAATATTACCAAATAAAAGTAAGGGATGATCATTTTTAAATACAGTCATCAGTAATTACATAATAAATATTTTCTCACTGTAAATATTTTTGTAAAAATAGAAAACTAATTTAACAAATTTTATTACTTTTAAATTTATTTTAAATAATTTGTAAAAAATAAAATTATTATTTAAAATGATCAATAAAATCATAAATTAGTAAAAGAATTTAGATTTTATTAAATGTGGAGAATAAAAATTAATTACATTAATTAAATTACAAATTAGACTTCCCTCTTTCATAAAATAATCATACTTACTTAGATAAATACTATTTTAATGAATGTAATACTTGTTTTTCTTAAGTAACATTAGCCTGTTCTATTTTTCGTTCTATTTCAAAAAATTCTATCCTCTAACATCAAAATTAAAAAGTATATAAATATTAACACAATGAACAATTTTTTTCTTAAGCCTTAATATGAGCTGAGGTTAAATTTCTTTAATTGTATATTAAATACTTTTAATATTCTTATTTAATTTTATGAACAACTTAAATCACCAAATGTTAAAAAATTATCATGATTGTTTATTGAAACCATATACTTTTATTATTATTTTTTTTTCTAACTATAAAATAATTAAATTTCTCATAATCATTTGAAATATATTGATTATTAATTTTTATCTATAGAGAGATCTTAAATTATTTAGTTATTGAAATGTGTTAAGATACTACTAAAAATTTGAAATTTGTGCTTTTGAAAAATATGTTTAATATTTCTTGTTGCTTTTGCTAATTTAATTAAGGAAAAATATAATTTTAATCTAAAATAGCTTCTAAGAAAATTAGTAACTTGAAAAATTGACATAAAATAAAATAATAATTATTAATTACCAAAAGAGAATAGCTTATGTTTTAATTTTAAAAAAATTTTATTCTTATTTAATAAAAATAATAAATATTCATTTTTATAAATATTAAAATTTATAAATATGATTAATTAAAAAATAAAAAGAAAAACAATATATCTACAATTAATATTTATTATATATCAATAAATACCAAGTAAAAAATAAAAAATTTTATTTCCTTTGAAAGTAAATTTTATTCAAAAAATATTAAAATTAATTAAAATAAAATAATTTAATTTACTATTTATTAAATAATAAATATATTTAATAAAGAAGAAAAATGAAATTATAACTAATTCAAGCAAAAATAAAGTAAATTAAAAAGAAAATTTTTGTTTACTTTTTATTTAAAATTAAAAATTCTGAGTTAATCATTCCTATTTGAGCTTAAAAAACAAAATAAAAGGTTTTATATTTATATAAATTTTAATATTGTAATTGAAATTTAAAATTTCAACATGAAAGTTTTATTGAATTTAAAAGTAATTAATAAATTTATTAACCATTTTATATATTTTTAATCATAAAAATCAATAAATTGAGGTAAAATTTTAATTCAATTTAATAGAAGAAACTAAATGTAAAATTTTTAAATAGATGCTTATTATTCATATTTAATCTATCACTTTTTCATTTAGTTTTTGAATGCTATAAACTTAATTTGAAGAAATAGGCAAATTATGAATCTAAATATTCGTAGATCTTTCAATAGTGTAAGAATCCATTGTGATTTTATTTAAATCTACATCGTTTTCGTCTTTTTCTTAGCTATATTAATCTTCGATTTGCACTGATCCTTAATTTTATTTATTTATTTTTTCTTAATCTTTTTACTAATTCTGTTAGGTTTCGATTTATAAAAATTATTAATCTTTATTTAATTGTTATTAAAAAAATGGTGAAGGAGCATCACTATTATAAAAAAATAATTTAGAGTCTTACTCAACATTTTCTTAAGGAGTAACTAAACTACTCCAGAAATGTTATTAAATCTATGGTAATTCTAATAATTTTAACTAAATTTATTATTATATCTAAGACTTTACCATATTTGGTTCATTTTATAAATTTAATATTTTACTACTATCTTGAAATTAGGAATTAGATTAAAAACTGTCTTTTTGCAAACATTTAGATGGCATCTACTTTAATGAAAAATTTTTTTTTTTCTTTCTATTTATTTTTATTTGATTTTAGATATAACTTGTTGAAGGATTTATTTTAAAATTAAAAGAGTTATTATTATAAGTTTCGTTAGAATTCATGTTGCTTTTGTAGCTTAGCATGCTATTATTCACAGACAAGTTTCTTCCTGCAGCAATACTTAATAGCTTGCTAGGACTTGTTAAATCAATTTAGGAATCTTAATCAATATTCATTTTAATAATAGATTTTTCAAATGTGGGGTCCTGATTATCTATAACGAAATTAACGCGAGATTGAGTCTCAGTATGCAATCTTAAATTATGGAAATTATTTTATTAACCTATATCTTCTATGATTCTGATCTTTTTGATACCATTTTATTTATCTCCAATTTTTAGTAAACCTTTCTAACTATGAGGAGTACTATGCTGCTCATTACTTTTTAAAAATAAAAACTTATTATCTTATATATCAGAAGTTTAACATTTTTAAATTTTAATTTTATCTAAGTTTTATTTTATTTCAGAATATGAACTTGCAGCACTATGAGAAACTAATTCTTCCTTTTTTTGCTAAATATGTAAGGACAATTTATGCCATAACAAAAGAATTTTAAAAGAATATTCTTTTTAGACTTAAACCCAAGAAAAGAAATAAGGAATGTATTTGCTAGTAAAAAATAAAATATGCTCAAGAAGATTTCTGTTCTTAGGATTTAGTGGTATTTTATATCCATGAAAGTAGTGTGACACGAGACTTATAACAAAAAATAAATTAGATATTACAATAATCAGAATGGAGAGATATATTTGCCATTCAACATCAGTAGTTAAATTTATCATGATAGAAATTAAAGTTAAGGAGCAAACTAAATGCGATTAAAATTCTAGTTAATTAAATTCTTAATTCTCATAAGGCTTTACTTTCTATTAAATCTGCATATATATAATTAAAACAATTAAAACTAACAAAAACTTAGTTAAGTGTAGTTCATGGTACATAGTTATTAAAATTATTTATATCCCCTTAAATCCTAGCTTTAAAATCTCCCAGTAATAAGCGTTAGGTTTGTAACCATAAAATAGAAATCCGAAAGACTTTAGTATCCGTATATCCTAATTCATTCTTGTGTAAATTCTTTTAGCTCTCCAAAAGAAAAATAAAGGTAAAGCTACTATAAATGCAAGTAATGGTATTATCATTACCCTTTGATAGTGTATAAATTGAGGTTCACTACAATCAAATTACAAATCTGAAAGACAATATGTCTTTGTGCCATATTTGATGCAGGTAAGCACCTTCACCAACTAGTTAAGAATACTTGGAAATGAGTATATAAGGACTATCTTAGAAGCCATGTGAAAGTAAGGAATATACTAGCTTATTTCTCTCGACTTAGACTTTGCTGTTAAATATTAGAAGATAAACAAACTGTTTGATGCAATTAGGATACAAAAAGTAAAAAAAAAGACCCAAATAATCCTCAAAAATACAATTTAAACATTGTACATAGATAGCATACAATCTAGAGAGTAAAAAACATTTATCACAGGATCTCCACTAAATTACAAAACTCTCAAAGCATTAGGAATCTAGAAGCGTTAACTACTTGTTACAATTATAAGTAAAATTTAAATGTAGCTCATTAAAATTTTGGAAATCACTGAACTCCTTTCAAATTAAGAACTTTTACCTGTTTATAAAGACAATAAATATAATTCTAGTCAGCAAAAATAAAGCTAAAACTTTACCCATACTGATGATTCTCATTTTTTTCAAAAATATTACTGTTATTTTCTTTACTGTACAAGTTTAACTTTGTTTAACAATAAAGATGAAATAAACCAAAGAGAGTAAAACAAATAACACTAAAACCACTATATGCTATGTTCCTTAATCGCATTTAGAACAAACACCTTCAAACTATCGAGCATATTTATTTCCCCATAAAATACCTTTATTGTCGCAAGAACTACATAGAGGTCCAATATAACCCTAAGAGCAATATTATTAGGAATGCTTGTCTTCAGCCAAACAATTTTAGGAATTATAATGGCACTAGTATATTTCTTCACTGTATTGATCTTCTTTCCAAAAACCATTTTTTATATTTACTTAATCTAGCTAGCATGATACAGCTTCCTAAGGGCAAACCTTACAGATATTTGATTAGCTTTCATTTTTTAATGGATAATTAAAAGAATATTTTCCTTCGGGGCACTACTCGCAAAAGAATATACCATTTATTTTAGAATATATCTCTCCTCTTATACACTACCTAGCAAATATAGTAATTTCAGCTTTTAAGATCTATTTATTAAATAAAAATAATAAATGATTAATAATAACTTACAAAAATTAAATAAAAATAAATTTAAAAATATTTTGCTATTAAAAATTTTTAGATTTCATTTCAAATAACGAAATGTCATTTCTAAATTTTTTCATTCAAAATTAAAATAATAATATGACTTTACCTCTTTTGTTATAAAAGCTGGTTCTGATGAATTTAATTTTTTTACAAAATAAAATTCAGCTTATGAGTAGAGAACTAATTTTCCTCTTGAATTTGGTTCTATAGCCAAAGATGCATTTACTGTAATAGAATTTTATGCTTGTGGATGTAGAAGCGAAAAAGTCAGTACAGATGTATTTGGTGAAGCATCTTATTGGTAGCTGATTACTTGATATTATTTTATTTCTTAAGCAATTTCTTAAGAAATTAAGGAATTTGAGTTTGGAAAGACAACAGCATTACCTTCGTTATCTAAGTATTGTAAATGTATTAATGGCAAATAGCTTCCACTTCTAAAATCAAAAACTTCCTTATTTTCTAAAAGCTAATTAACTTCTTTATTTAAAAATATTAGTTTCTGAGGAGAAAATCCAATATTTTGACCATAAATATATGCTTAATTATTAATAAAAGTATTGTTTGAAATGTTAGACATAAAATCATGATATTATTCTGGAGGGATAACAGTTGATTTAATTCTAATAGCGCCTCCAATTTAAGCTTTGTTTTCAATAAAAGTAGAATTTTATATTTTTAAGTTTGTATCTTAAATAAAGAGAGCTCCCCCTGAGCCCTAAGGAGCTTAATTATTTATAAATGTGCAATTATTTATGTTAAAGGAATTTTCTTAATTGTTGTATAATTCAAGAAAGGAAATCTATTGAGTAACTTTGATTACACCACCCGATGATAAATTAGATAAATTATTTACAAATTCACTATTTAAGAAAATAATTTCAAATATATTTTTAAGTATAAACAGCGATGAACGCTCATCAGATAATATGTTATTATAGAACTTAGATTCATTTAAAATAATTTATTGAGATTCTAGAATGTTAAAAATACCTCTTTATGCATCTTAAGTATATTTATTATACTTGGTTATGATTTAAGTAGCTTAAAAATGTTTTATCCCATATAAATCAATAAAAATATTTGTATTATTTATTATTTACAAATTTTGTAAATATACATTTGAACTTTAGATTAATATTTATAAGTATTTCGGCTAAACCCAGTTATTAGAAGTTATAAACAAATCTGTAATTTCAACATTTTAGCTACCCAATTGCATTAGAAAACCTTAAAATAAACTGTTTTATACTTCCATATTTAAAAAATGAATAGTTTCTGATTCGATTCTGAAGATCTGCAAGTTCTACATTTAGCTAACAAACTCAATATCACCATTTTTATTATTTACTTGCTTTTATGACTGTTTATTATCAATTATCTTAAAATTATTAAAAATAATTTATTTATTAGCTTTGATTAAAGTTTAATCTTAAGATTTATGCATATTTGTATAAATAAAAAACAAATTTTTATTAGACTCTAGCAATATTTGTTCAAAAAATTAAGTAAATATTCCTTTAGTAATAAAAATGTAAGCATTTACGCTTGGTTATTTTATCATAAAATGTCTTATTGTTAAATTTCTAATTTCTAAATATTCTATTTTTTCTATTTCAGCAAGATTGAAACTTTCAAGCTGGATATTTTCTATTAAAACATCAGAAATAATAAGCTTATCAACATCTCTAATAACTAGAATCTGCAAATAAGAACCATATATTTCTCTGATTTACAAGTTTTTAATTTCAGCCTCTTTAGATTCTTCAATAGTTATTAAGTTGATTTTATCATTTTCACAAGTTACATTTTAGAAAGAAATGTTATTAATCTATACGAATTAAGCTTTTTTAATATAGATAAAAGAATTCGTTTGAGGTGATTCTTAATCTGATTGCTATTCAGTCTAGTTACTAGATAGAGCATGAAAGTTTATAAATTAAGCTTAGTTTACATAAAAAATTTCAGTTATGTTAAAATAAACTATACTGAATCCTTCTGTACTTCCTATAAATTGTATTTCATTAAAAGACAATGTTGTTTTATCATACACAAAAAGGATTTAGTTGGAGATTAGAATATCATCTGATTGTTATTATTAAGATTAGTTGTTCTAATCTTCAAATATAAAAGTTACATTCAGTACTCTGATGCACATTCCATTTAAATTACCCAGAGCTGTTTTGTTATCAATTAATAATTGTCCTTTTTGTTTATTCTTAGATGATATAACAACAGACTCATAATTTATTAAATTTGCATCCTTTTTTGAAGAATTTAGTTTGTTTATATAATTAGGATCATCAGATGGTAAGTTTATTTTCAAATGGGTAATTTAGTAATTAAGCGAGCTTAACTGATTGAAAAAGTTAATTGATGAAACCAATTTTTATATTATTTGCTTATTTTGTGCAGTATAAAATAAGTCAAACTATAGAATACAATCAGAATTTTGCTTATTTTTTTCATTAAAAACTCCAGTTTTAAAAGTTTGGCAATCTATTTTCGAGGGGTCAACTTCAAACTGAGCAATCGTATATCCTTTACCAGAGAGGATGTGAAGTTTAATTGATATTATTTTTCTTGGATATTACTATAAATAGCTTTACTCAGAGAATACTATTTATGGCATTGAAAAAGGAAGTCTAAATAAAACAAACGATTATGATAGATGAATTACTGAAATAATAACTTCAGTATCTGAGGCTATCATTAAAAGATCATTTCCTATCATATCAACTTACTTTATAAGACTATAACCTAAAACCTATCTAATCTTTGTTCTTAGCTGCATATTTTTAGCAATATAAACATCTATTGCCCAATCTGAGAAAACTATATAGTATTATGAGTCTTGAGTTATATAAAATTGATTATTAACATAAGATGGCAAAGAATATTAAGGAAAGGTAATAGAAAAAGCAGATGCTTCTGTTAAGTTTGCATATGAAGCCAAATAAAATGAAGAGCTACTAAAAGAGAGTATGAATATTCTTTAGTAATAGTCATCATAATAAAAAGTATCAAATTTTAAATTAAAATCTAAATAGAATACTTTTATCAAAAAATCAGTCTGATTTTACTGGCTTTGCTTTAAAAATATAATTTCATTTTTATTTGTTATAATGGTATAAATATTTGGAGCTATTTAATAGTTCTAAGTGATAAGCATTAGAGAATCTTTCTAAATCTTGTTATTTAAAGGAATTGAATAGATTTTCTTTGTCATCATATCAAATGTTTAAATGCTATTATTTTCAAAATCTAAAAAATTGATAAATGGATGTGATTCATAGTATTCTTGATTTATATTACTTAATAGAAGAACCTAGGGATTGAATTTAATTATTAGCTTGAATTGAGAAGATCCTATACTGATTGAAACAAAAGAGTATAAATGAGTTAGAAAGTAAGCTGTTTAATTATATTATGCAATCATTTGGGTAAGAATACTTGGAACTTCAATTGTTTTAATCAATTCAAGATTTCTGTTAAAAACTAGTAAGCTATATCCTTGTTTTACAAATAAAAATTGCTCTCCTTATGTGCATGTTTAACTTTATTGTTCCCCTTTGCAATTGAAAGAAGGGAATTAAATTCTTCGACTAGGGTTTTCATATCTTTACCTTGTATATTTTGTGTCATAAAAATAATTTACAAACAAAACATCTAGCTTTAACTGTATCCTCTTTAACACATCTCCACTATAGCTGTTGACTAAAAAAAGCTAATTAGATTGGTAATCAAAATAAGAAAATGTGCTATCCTTTCCTTATTTTTCATTAATATATGCAATAAAGTTATTTGAAATAACTCTACTTGCAATTCGTGTTTGAAGATAGCAGTATTTAATGATATTTTCTAAACTCCAAAAATAGAAAGTCTGCTAATTATATCCCACAATTAACTATTAATTGACAATCATTATTTTTTTTAATTTTGATGGAGAATTTCGAGCTATATATATGCATCTTTTCTTAGATATTGAATAAACATACAGGTTATTAGAAAAAGCTATAATTATTATATCTTATGAATAAACCATTTCTAAAATAATCTTATCGCTCCTAAGGGTTTATTCATCATCTTCTTCTGGAGCCTTGACAATATCTTCAAGAAGTTCAGTTAAGTTAAACTAATCTTGTGTATGTTCTTCATGTAAATAAAATAATGTCTATTTTTTATCATCATCAAGGTTGATGTCGTTTTGATTTTCATTACGTCTTTCAAGAGGACTATTGATGGGAGGTTTTTGTTAACTCCTTAAAATTAGATTCTTTTGATAATACTATTGCTAATTACTACAATATGATGCCACAAAGTCAAAATTTATTATTTGCAGCATGCTATTTTGAGTAACTACTGCAATTTTCAGTAATGAGTAATCTACTTTTATGTTATAAATATTATATTGTAAATTTACAACTGAAATTGTGTAATTGTCTGTTTCCCACATTTTATCAACTCCAGCACAAAATTTTAGAATATATAAGCTACTTTAGCTCAATGGAGATAAAATAAAGGTAGAATACTACTCCAGAAAGAACACTTAGAATGTATCCATGTATTCTTAAAATCTAACATAATCGAAAAAAATCATATCTGTATTAAGTATTATTATATCCATTTGATTAAAGAGAATAATTTATTTGTCATTATCTCTAACAAAAATGCTGTAAAAAAATAAATTTTGATTATACTGTGAAGGTGTGAATTCAATTTGATTTTCTAACCCTGTTTTATAGTTAAATTTATATACAAACCACCCAATCTATATGTAAAAATGCTAACTATTTTAATGAATTAAGGAACTCTCCTTTAACAATGCATTTTTATGAAAAAATTTAGTGGTAAATACAAATTTGCATTTATTATAATCGAAATATCTAAGTATACCATTATTCGGATTATGAAATAGAATACCATTTTGATCTTAAAAAACTGATATTAAGTTATAATTATCATTAAATAAACCTAAAATCTCTATAGGCTCACCATTTATATCAAATTAAATTATCAATTTGATATTGTCTTTACCTACAAGAATGAGTTTATTCAAATTTTGATCATAATAGTATCCATTGAAGCTATCTTGTTTGATTAAATCAATTTTATGGTCTTCATTCTTATTGAAAGCACCTCTATTAAAATTTTAAGTTTTCTATTGATCATCTGGAATATTCATATCTCTCTTTTTGGCTTCTTCTTCTTCCTCTTCTTCAGATTCACTTTCACTATGCTGTAAATCTGAATCATCAATTATACCAACATCTATCTAATATTTTTCTATATCACTATTTGTATAGTTTATTTCATCATGTTAGTTATTAATATTTACTTTTCTCACTATTACTTTTTCATTCAATTTAAATATCAGCAAATTATTTTCAGGCAAATGAACTACATCATTAATTATTTATTCAAATTTCAATTCATTCTTTAAAATTTATTTCTAGAGAGGAAACTTATATGCTTTTCCATTAAACTATTAGCAAACAAGTTCTCTATCACTCAAATACTTTACTTTATCACAAATATATTATGTAAAAAAGAACTGTTAGTACATATTATTAATATTTTCAAACAAATAAGTTCCTAAATTACAGATAACTGCAATAACATCTATGTCTTGATTTACAGCAATGCCTTAAGCATTTTAGTCTTTCTTAAAATAAAAAAAATCTATGTTTTACACATTCAATTTTAAGGATATTTTTTATAATTTGACAGCATCTGATGATTTATCAAATATGCATATTTGTTACTGATTTGTTATCAAAAAATCATAATTCTAATTTTTATTTTTGCTTGAATCTAATTTTTTTTCTCCTTCGCATGCAAATTTTTTAGGAATATTTTGTTATTCCTTTAGTAAATCATGGACAAAAACATAATCTTGAAAGTATAAATACAAAAGTACTTTATTTTGCTAACCTCTATAAGAACTAAATTAAATACTTTGGTCTTAAATGTTGTAATTTAATTCTCTTTTAAACAAAGTTTAATTTTAATAAGAAAATAAGAATACAGTATTTTATTTGGTGTAAGCTATCACCTTTTATTCAGGCACAATTTAAACATATTTGATACTTTGTTTCTTTTCTTTGAAAATTCCTTTTTTAATTTTAAAATCAACAAAATTTAACCATCTGTATGAGTATTCATTATCAATATTCATCTTTATCATAGTGAATTCTTCTTCGTTCAGCACAAAATCAATGTAATCTTTATCTTTGTAGAAACCTATTTATTAAACACTACTTTAGTCTATTTATAATAGCAAAGTGAAAGCATACTTTTAAGTCTTATCATAAAGTGTTACAGCATAAGTATCTTATCTTATTTTTTATTTCTTTGTTTTAGTAAAAGTATAGTTTGGATATAGATCACGGATATCATATTTAAATATAGTTATGTATTAAACAAGTTCTATAGCAATTAAGCCAGTTTAATGAAACAGAAATAGCATATCTTGTTCTTAAATATACTCACAATCAATAACAAAACCTCCTGATTGATCTAATCTGCTAATCATTATTTATTTTTGAATATTGTATTTATATTAAGCTCGTATCAAATATTTTTGAATGACAAGCTTAGTTTCTTTTTCCTTTTATAAAGTATATTCAAATAAAGGGGAATCCAAAGTTGTATAATCTGTTAACCCAATTTACTTTTCAATGAAAAAAAAATTAGATTTTATAAACCTTGAAATATCTTAGTCATGTCTATTTATCGAGTTATCATTTAAACTTGTATTTTCAATGTAATAGGCTTGATTTGTCATATTTATTAAGATTATTTCTTAAACATTTACTATTAATATTAAACTACTGCAGTGTAATTTATCTTAAGGATTTAAAACACATGTTTAAAGATTTGTTCTATCAACAAAATTAATACCTAAAAATTAGGTATTTAAACCAGATATACCTATACTGTAGGATTCCTCTATTAATTTTAAATTATATGATGAGAAAACTTTGCAAACTTAGTATTTTTATATTACTCCATTACTTTGTAAAATAATCAGATAGTTATCATATATTTGTATGCCAGAAATATTTCCTGGGAACTCATAAACAATCTAAAAATTATCCAATAAACTAAATATCATAATTTTCTACGATTAGCGAGATTATAAAATATACAAATCAGCTTAGTTTTACCATTAAAATAGCTATGAAAAAAAGGAATATTGCTAGAAAGTAGGTATATTCAAATCTTAACAACTATTAATTTATATCGAAGTAATATTTTAAAAGTTCCAAATACAAAGCTAAAATTTCAAATATCCTGCTAAAATATACTTTTCGTTTTAAACATGTAAGATATTCTAAATATATCCACAAGTTTGAATCGTATAATTTTAAGAAACAAGAAGTACATCCTCCTTTTAATTTTTATCTTCGTAATTGAAAATAAAAAGTCTATTTACAGCTATACTACCAGTATATAAAAATAAATAGCTACCTCTACCTATAAATGCATTCATAAAATTATCCCTAACAATACTGAAAGTTGTATTAGTTTTTAAGTCAAATAGACTAATTCCATTATTAGAACCTAAAATGGCACAAATTTTACCTTATTCCCAATCCTACATATAGTCTCCTGAAAAAAACGAATCTTCAAACTTTTATTTTAAAACAAAAAATTTTGTTATTTAATTTACTACTATCATTTTATTTGTTTTTAAATAAAACAATTCATTTTTAATTGAAAATGTTTTATTTTTTAAAATAAGGAAATAGTTTATTCATAATAAGGCATAATGATTTTAGTTAAGCAATTTTAATATTTTTGTCAAGAAATACTTGCTATCAAAGTATTATTTAGTTTAATGTTAGCTTTTTTAAAAAAAGAAAAAACTCAAAAATCGTTTACTAATCATAATTTAAATTTTCTTTAAAGTTTTCTATCAAGCTAATAGCATAAAAGTAAATATTAATTAGTGTAGATATCTTAAAGCATTAATTAGTTCAGTATAATACCAAAATATTTGTTAAAATTACTTACTGAAAATTATTAAAATATGTTAATAGTTAAAAATAAAAATTGATTAATATACTTTGTAAACTAAATTTATAGCTAGTGTTTCTCTGTCAATTTAAATAATGCTACTTTGATTCATTGTACAGAATAAAAATTAATTGATTTCTAGTAATGCTCCGCAGGAAGGAATAATTTCCCTTCTTTAAAATTATTTTTCTTTAATCAAGACTAATTCTGGAAAGCTGTATTTTTACACAGAATTAGTTGTGAATATATAAATGGAGTTTCCTTCCTGATCTAAAAAGTACATTTAATATTTTTAATCTTGATTGTATAGCGAGTTCTAAAGTATTGGACAATTTTGAACTTCTGAAAAGCAATTACCATTTGAATTTTAGCCTTAAAATTCTTAGCACTCCTGACTGTTTTCATAATAATTTAAAATCTATCTTTCTTATATGATAAGTTGTTCCTGATTTGGTATACATTAAGATCCTTACTTGATGTAGGATTAATTGCATAAATCACATTAATTAACGTCAGAATTACAATTAGAACAATGTTCAATTTTGCATAATTCACAAATCTTTGCTATTTTATTTAGCCTCATCCCTTCTTTACATTATCCTACACATTTTTAATTTAAGTAATCATAGAAAAAATTGTTTTTGCACTTCACACAATACACTTATTCTACTTAATAGCCTTACATATATAAATCATTATTTTAATCATGAGAAATTTCTTGTAGTGCCCCATAGCAAATTTCGCAATTCGATGGACAAGCCTTACACTCTCCTTAGATATTTTAATACATTTACAATTCGCATTAAATATTACCAGCTGCTGAAAATGATTTTAGAAAATACTATAAAAACTATATCAATAAAATTGTTCTGATCATAGCAATAGATAGTGTTGTGTAATTTTTATAAACTTTTAATTTCTAAAAGGCTAAGAAAGTTTTTTTAATTAAATAAATCAGTAATTAAAATGTAAATTATAAGTATCTTTAATCTGATTATTACACTAAATTTTCCAAAAATTACTAAAATAATCTAGATTCAAGTATTTAAATGAAAATAATTCAAATAATAAAGTAATTTAGTTATTAAAGCCACAAATGTTTTATGATATTTAGCAAATATCTACTTCAATCATGAAATCATGAAGAATACACTCATTGATTAATAATCTAAAAATTAAAATTTTTTATTTAATAAATAAATACTACTTTCTACATAAAAGCTTTTTTCTTAAAGAAATTAAGAAGTTTTTAATTGATATTAAATTCATCTCAAATTATTTTTTTATATTATATCCTAATTTATGATTAACACCATAAATTGATTAAAAATATATGAATATTTATTTTTAATTTGGTAGGAATAACTATTTTTGTAAAAAGGTAGCATAAAATGAGTTCGGTAAGCATATCATATATTGAATATGAGCTAAAAGATGATTGTTTTTGTTGTTATAATTACAAGGATAACATTAAATCCCCTAACTATCCATAATTTCCTGAGTCTATAGTAGGAATAAGAAATTATAACTAAAATATTGAAACAAATTGGGATAATTATAAGAAATACATAACAAATAAGTATTATGATTTCTAAATTATAAATTTTACAATGTTTTATGCAGAGTAGAATTAGAAAAGCGATAAATTTTCTGTTATGTTTTAGCTTATTAATCCTTCTAACAATTATTCTGTTTATATTCTTAGCTATTACAGCGCTGATAATATTAATATTGAATTCTACACGTCAATCGAAGGTATTTATGCCTAAGAAAATTGGAAAGTCGAAAAGTTCATTGGTAAAATAGTATTAATTAATATTTTATTCTAAAATAAAATTTTAATATTATAAATAAAAAGAAATATATAAAAAATACAATGAAGATGATATTGATACTAGAATAAATATAAAATAAATAATTACAATAGCAGATCAATATATAACAAGGTTTTATCATCAATCAACAAATAATGATAGGCACTATGCTGAAGAATTCCTTAAAATTTACTAAGGATACAAAAATCTGTTAATCTAAAAAGACTACTTGTATTGACAAAATTAAAAATAACTATTTTATTTTTATATGTAATCTAAAATAGTTACAACTTCACTAACTCAAAATATTAAAATTTTTTTATTTTAATTTTATTTTAAAATAAACTAAATGAGGTCTTTTCAATAGAACAAAGGAAAGAATAATTGTTTTATAAATAAATAGGGAATACTTAATGAAAAAAATAATTATAAAATAAAAATTATTTTTTAAAAAGTAATTTAAAAAAAATAATAATTCTTCTAAAAATATTTTTGAAAAAGTGCCAATTTAATTACAAAAATAATAAAAATAAATATTTATAGAGTATATAATATTGATAAATATTTTTAATTCTTTTATTTTATCTTTGACATATTATTTATATTTTACTATTTAAAATATTTTAAATATAAGGATAAAGTAAAACAAATAATAATAATAAAGATTTAGAAAAAAAATTAAAAGTTTACTTCAATTTTAATTATTTCTTTTTTTAGATTCTATGAACTATTAAAAATATTTTGTTAAAACCTTAAGAAGAAAATATTATAAAAATATAATACCAAACAAAATTAAAAATTAATAAACAAAGAATAGAATAGAGACTCGGTGATAAACAAACTAATCAAGTTAGAATTTTTTCAGCAGAAAAATTTTGCTTATCAGGTATAGAAAAAATATTTAAATTTTTATCAGATTAAAACAATTAAATTTTATCCTGAATTCTTTTCTAAGGAACGATTTTTAATTTGAAAAAGTAAATAAATATTATTAATTAGCTATATACAATTAAAAAATAAAGAACAATGATGTAAAATATTAATGATATAAAAGCTTAGCTCATAATGCTAGGAAACTCGTTTCATGAATTGAGGAATATATTTGCTTAATAAAAATTGTAATCTATTCCAGAACTTCTTGCGATTGACTTAATTAGTGGTTAAATAGAAGGAGGTCTTCGCAAATATGCTGCAAAAATAAGTAATCCTATTGGACCTGTAAAATATGCAAAAGGAAAAGAGTATTTAAATAATATTTCAAGGCAGATAAGCTTTTTCTAAAGGTGTCTTGATTAAGACGCAAGCTAAATTGGATACAAAATTCTACCAAATGATATCAAATAGTAAATCCTACAAAACATTCAACTTTAAAAAAAAATCATAGAGTTTGTGGATTTTTTTATTGAGTAAGCTTTTAGGTAAAAAATAGGAGGAGTGTTATAACTAAGGTAGCCAGGAGATGATTTTAAACAAATGTAAATATACAAAAACTTAGATTACACTCTATAAATTAATATCGAGCAATGCTATACCAATCCTTGCATATCAAACTTAATAAATGCAGCTAAATAAACGTGCAATAAAGCACATAATATATAAAACACAATCTGTTTTTATTTAGAAGAAAACTCTGTGAAAGAAGATGCATAAGAAATCAATTAACTAGCAGGAAAGCTTGAAAATTCGTTTAGAAGTATTTTAAATTCCTTTGGACAAGAAAAAGATGACATAAAGAAAATAAAAGATGTTATTAAAAAAGAAATTTAAAAATGTTCCAACTAATCATAAAAAATAATAAACTTATCGAAGAAGCTTTAAGTTTAATATTAAAATGACATGCAATTGATACAAAACCTCTGCGACTAAATAATAGTATCTGTCATCTTTTTTTCAGAGGTGCAATAATTAGAAAATATAAGTGTGCATTGAAAATAACTATACAAATCTCAAAATAATTCATATTTAAATTTAACTTACAAAAATGTTTATCTGATAAAACATAAAATTAATTTAAATCTTGTTAAATAAGTTATTTTTAAAGTTAATTTACATAAAATATTTTTTATTTAGAATATCTTTCAGTTTTACATTTTAAAAGATTTATTGAATATTATTTTTAAATATTTTAGTAAAAAGTTTTTATTTTATTCAAGAAACAAATAAAGAAAATAAAATAATATCCTGTCACTTTATATATTATATTTTTAATAGAAATATGTAATATTAGTGCTTAAAATTGTTTTTAAAGTATCAAAATTAAATATGATTGTTTTTCTTTTTATTTTATAATCATATTGTTGGTATTCAAAAGAACATAAAATACTTTTTAAAATTGTTAGAGTTGACAAAAACAGTGAAGTTTTAATGCATAAAATTTAATTATTTAAAATATTTTCTCTATTTATTTCTGAAAAATAAAAATAAACTTATTTATGTTAACCTTTCTTAATGTTTTAGTGAAGTATCTTAAGCCTAAAGGTTGATTATGATGTATTCAGTACTTTGTAACTCTATTTTATTGAGTGGTTTTTTTTTAATTCTTTTACTCAGATTGGAAATAATATATTTAACGAGGAATATATTTGTGTTTAATTTCCTATTTATCAGAAATAAAGCAAAGAAAGATTACCAAAAAGCAACAAAATGAAAACTCATTAAATTTATCTTATTTTCATTTCACTAATCCTACTTTTGTTAGGTTCTTATATTATAATTTCATCAAATCATCCAAATAAGACTTCAAGAGATTTTAAGGCATGGCTTTCTACAATTCCTCCTAATCCTTGGGGAGACACAAGTTTAAGAGCATTAATTAGAAATCTTAATGGTGTTGTTACTGTTTAATAGCAAGATTCTTGGCTTGAGAGCATTACTGAAGCAGCAAAATCTTTCCCAGATTTTTGCAATAGTGGAGATGAAGCTAAAGATAAATAAGAATTCTCAGCATTCTTAACAATTATTGGTTATGAAACTTCATTTAACTCTGCTAATGGTTTTCCATGCACAATTGAAAATGGTTGTCCTAATTGTGATGTTTGTTCTTATAATTCACTCGGAAAAGAGTGTTTAGAAGATGACCTTAAGTAATACTTTGGCAGAGGTCCTTTGCAGCTTTCTTGGAATTATAACTATGGACCATTCTCACAATATTACTTTCAAGATGATAGATTGTTAAGTAATCCAAATATCTTGACAACAAATTAAACCTATTGCTGGGCTAGTGCTATTTGGTTTTGGATGACAAAATAAAATTATGGAGGTTGGTGTATGCCTTAAGTTGCATGGCCAGGCAAAAATTAATGCGATTTAGATTGCCCTAACGGACCCTCTAGTTGTAAGAATAGCTAATGTACTTCAAATCATTGGATGGAACTTTAAAACGCTAGTTGTCATGATGCTATTCATACAGGTAATGGAATAGGCTAAGTAATTAATATTATTAATGGACTTTATGATTGTTGTCCCTCAAGTACTTACTTTGCTTAAGGAGGACACACAATAGACAGAATATCATCTTTTGTTTAAATTCTTGAAAATTGGAATGAGCCTATTCCATTTAAGGTATTAAATCCTGCTCCTATCTATGATTGCCCTATAGCTCTTAATCACGTAAACTGCTAAAATATTGAATAAACTGGGTCATGCAGAGCTATGTGAGATATGATTCAAATTAATAATTAAATTAAAATTGTATTATTTTTAATTTTTTTAATTAAATATTTATAATTTGTTAAAAATTGCTAAATAAATCATTTTTTCTTCACAAAAAATTAATAATCATTTAATGTTAATAATTAGTTTTAATTTTTATTTTTATTTATTATCACTCAATTAAAATATCTTTAATAGAATATTTCTTCATATAAAATTTCAAACTTAAAAAAATATTTAATTACTTTCATATCATTAGATTGAACCTTAAAGTACTATTAAATTATTATTGTACAAATAATAATGCTAGAGATTTAAATGATTAATAATATTAATCAACTTTATTACTGAATTCATACAATTTTTAAAAGTATATAAAAAGAAGAATAAATCTTAGATTAAAATTATTTTAAAGCTAAAGTAATTCGTCTCCTTCTTTTTATTAATATTAAATCTGAATTAAAAATTAAATTATCTAGATATTTATGATCAATAAAGCTTAAAATTTTTTAAATAAAACAGTTTTTCATAGCAATAATAAGTAATTCAAGTTATAATAATTATTTTTAATTGTTAATATTCTCACAACGAAACTATAATAAATAATTTTATTTCGGAATTCATAGCATAAATCTTTATTAGTTTGTCTTATTTATTGTTATTAAAAATCTTTATAACATATTGGTTCTCAATTAACTATAACAAAAAACAGTAGTTTTCATCACAAAAAAAAAAATTTACACCAGAAGTAGTTTTTAAAGAGGTATAAATCCTTTAAAAATACAATTAGATAAGATTCTTTTAAGGACTAAATAAAATTATTTTTGAAAATACATAATATAGTATACTTTATTTGATAGGGAAAAATAGCTATTAGAGAGATATATTTTGTAAATAAATATTTAAAAGTAAGTAAGAGGGGGAAAAAATACTTATCTATAAATTTCTTAAATACATTGAGTTTTTTTAAATCATAGTAAAAAAATAAATCAATACTATTAAATTCTAATGGAAATTAATTTAAAATGATTGATTTTCAGTAAATTTTTTTTTCTGTTCAGATCAGAGAAACCTAACCATTAAGTATAACAATTAATTATTACCTGAATTTATTTTACATTTAAGATTATTTATTAAGGATTATTTTGTAATTTATGCTGTAAAGTTGAAATAAAATTAATCAAATAATCCAATAAAATAATTTTTTACTAGTAAAATCTTTATTTTAACTTATTTTCTTGTTCAGATTAATACAAAAATGTTTTTTTCTATCTGATTTTTATAAAAACAATTTTTATGGTAATTTTGTATGATTGATTTGAAAAATTTTCTGAATATGTAAATCACAATCTATTATTCTATCTTATTGAGTAGTAATGTAATTTAATTGCTAGTTTTTCTGATTTTTAAATGAAATTAATAATATCAAAAATAATTAATAAATTGACACCTTAAATACTAATAAAATACAAAAAATACACAGTAGCAAAAATAAAATAATTAATAATGGAAGATTTTTTGGATATTTAGATTATTCGTGAGCAAGCAATTATCATGGGAAACGGAGCTCATGAGCTTAGAAATTTCTTTGCTATGACTAAGAAAAATGATTTACCAGAACTTATTGCTATTGATACATTAGCTGCCTAAGTTGAAAACTAATCTAGATAATTTGTATAAATCAGCTTGAATCCTGCTAATTTACTCAAACCCGAAACTGGAAAGAATATTTTAAGATCGATTTATAGGGCAAATAATTTCTTCTTGCGTAACCTTAAACTAGATACTAAAGAACTAGGATACAGTCTTATGTCTAAACAGTTGCTAAACTAGATAATTGAAAATATTGAATTGCAGCAAAAGATTGTAAAAAATCTTGATAAATAGCTTAATGCAGTATTTAACAGCTATCTTGACTAAGGCATAGAAGATGCCTAAATAATTGCTGATTAATTCAAGGATAATCAACTTTACAAATAGCTCAACTATAATCTCGATCTTAGTTTAGCCAAAAGTTTAGAGAATCTTAACCTTGAGAACTTAGTAGAGACTGCTAAAAGCACTTGCAACAAAGCCCATAGCATTTAAAATGCTATATGTACTTACTAAACTATAGAAAAAGTAAAGAACCCTGCTAATTAAATCAACAACTTATCAGGTAATATTGAAAATTAATTCAGAGCTATTCTTCAAGCTTTTGGCTAACAAACAAACAACCCTAACGGAGTAAAATAGGTTATTCAGAATTAGACTAAAGCAGCAATAGAATAAATTACCTAAATTACTAACCACCAAAAATCTATCTCAGCCTTTTACCCATAAGAAATGAAGTACATAACTGAAGCTTGTGATTAAATAATGCTTTCTATATCCTACTTCTAAGAGATAGCTGAATCAAAAATCGTAGAAGTGTTAAATTGAAAAATAATTAATTATAAAACACATAAAAACAAGAAATAATAAAAAGAAATTTGTTTATAAATATAAAATTTATTTTAACTTTATATTAAAAAATCATTTATAAAAAATGTATTTACTTTTTATTAAATTTTTAAAACTAAAAAGAACTCCTAATTTTTATTATAATTAATACATTTAAAACAAGTTAAATTGTAACAATAGAAACCAAAAAAATAGTAAATTATTTTTTAAATTCTTTTTAGATAAAATCAACAATAAATTAATTTTTAAGAGCAAAAATCAATGAAATTATTAATTCAAATACAAACATTAAAGCTAATTAAACAAAAAGAACAATAAATGTTTATTATTTTAATATAATTAACATTATAGTGTTAATTAATAAAATAATAAAAGAATATAAAGTAATTAAATAGCAAATCCTACAATTAAAAATAATAACATTTTTTCTTTATTAAAAAGTAAAATTTTTTTTAGATAAAAGAAACTTTAGATTAGTTTTTAATAATTAAAATTCATTAAATTAGTTATTAGTGAATACAACGATGATAATTTGATAGAATCAAAATTAACTTTAAAGTGTATAAAATGTTATTTTGAAAACTACATAAATAAAATATAAATTAACTTAATTGTGACATTTAATTTGTATTTTTATTTTCTCAAATAGGAAAATATTACTTTTTTAAAATAGAGAGAAAGTTAGTTTTGTTTTCATATTCTTTTAGACCCTGATATTTTATGCTAATCAATATTCCCTTTATTTATGAAAGAATTTAATCTATCCTATCACTAAAGTATGATGAGAATTCAATCATTTGCCTAGATTAAACATCGTTTTTCTCAGATAATAAGCTAAGTCTGAAAAGTAAATTAAGAATTTCAGTGAGAGACCATTTAATTTAATTTAAATTTTGTTTATCTGCTTAATTCTCCAACAAAGAATCAATTTTCTCATAATAGTTTAAAATATGCCCTTTATATTAAAATAATTTTTTTTGAAATCAGAAAAAAACTTTTTTAAAAAGATTTTAGAAATAATAATAATTTTACCCATAAATAACCATGAAAATAGCAAAAAGGATTACTTAAATATGTAATCAAAATAGTCTCTTTCAGTTTCTAAAAAATATAATTTGTATTCTTTATGAATTATAAAGTTACTAAATTATATGTTATAAATAATTATTTAATTGCTAATAAGATCATCTTCAACTGATTGAATGCATTATTATGGGATTTCAGAAATCGGTATAATAAATCCATTAATTTGTGTTAGATTTTATTTGTTTCTGAACCAAATCATTAAGTGAGAAGCTTATTATATGGAATATACTTAAATATGGCCTGATATTGAATATTATTTATCTAGTATTTTTAAAATTTTTACATTATTCCTAAAATTTAGCTAATTTTTTTACCTTATTGGTTTTCGAAATAGCTATTTCTATCTGCGAATGCATAAGCTTTTTGCAAAATAAACTACTTAAATACAATATATTCAATAAATAATTTACCAATTTTGAATTAGTTTTATAAAATTTGCTGCAAAAACTGCTTTTATTGATCAATGTTACCAACCATATTTATACTTGTGTACCCTAGAGCAATTTTTTCATAGAGCTTAACTGATATCTCTAACCTATATCTTGCAATTTCCATAAATATGGATCCTTTCAAAGAAACAGAATAATTATTAATATTTTGCAGTTAAAGTTTAAATTTATCTTAAAATACTTCTTCTTACTACTGCTAAACTTTTTAGTCATATTAAACATTTCTATGAATTTTATTCAAAAAGAAATCAATTTAATTTCAAATTATTTAGCTAAATAATACATATCAAATTATGATGATTAAGTTGCCTAAACCATTAATTCTACTATCTTTTTTCTAATTGATTCTTCATCATTAGTTAACAGCTAATTTAAATAAAGATGCTCTAATATAGAATTTTTAGCAGGATTTTATTTCTTTAACTACTAGCTAAGACTAGTTAATCGATTTATCATACACATTTTATTTATTAACTTTAATAACAAGTAAGTCAAATTTTTATTAATTTTCAAAAAGATATTCTTTATTAGAATTATATGTTGATTATCAAAAGTAAAAGATTGATTAGTTTAATTTATGAATTTTTTGAGATAATCTCAACCTATCTTTTTTATTCTATTAAATAAGAGTTTTAATATTAAACTGACATTAAAAACAAATAATATATACCATAATATCTTATTTGAGATAAAATATTATTTTTAAAAAAATGATCTTATTCAACGAATCCTTAATTCAAATTTTTTCAAAATTTATTGAAAAAAGTCCTTAAAATATGAGAAACCACGGTATTATAAAATAAATATTTTTTAATAAAAAGCAAAATAAAATTATTAAATTTATAAATCTATTTTATAGCAAATCCAGGAATCAAATTCTTAATTCTCCACATCCATAAAAATTTAATACCTGGAATTGGTATAATATTTTAAAATAAAATTTTTTTTAAATTTCATATGAAAAAAAAAATCTGTTGGCCTATTGGATAAAAAATTAGAATTTTGAATGAATTTACTATTTTTGTTCTTATGATTTATTTTATTAATTTTTTTGGTTGCTTTAAAATTTTTTGAAAATATAGTAGTTAACAAAAAATAATAATGTATCAAAACATAATAAATAAAGCAATATGTAAGAGATACATAGCTAAAGTAATAAATTTTGAGCTGCTATTTTATGATTATTTAATATTATCTGAGGGATTTAATGGCTTAGAAGGATTTTAAGGATCAGAAGGTTTATTAGTAGTTTGATCTGTTTCATCACGAGTGAAAGCTTCCTACAAGCATTTTACTCTGAGATCTACAAGTTATTCAGTAGTTACTTTAGATTTACACTTAGATTAAATACAATCAGCTATATCCTTATAAGAATTTATACTTCTAATACAGCTTTTTGAACAAATTTCTATTCTTTAATTTTCTTTTTAGCATTCCTAATCATTTTAATCGCATTTAGGTGACATAGAACAAATGTTTTTTTCAAGACAATCAATAAATTTTTAATCATAATCTTATGCCTTAACACAAGAAAAAGCAATTATAGCGAAGAGAATTATTTTCATTATTTTTTTAAATTTGTTTTTTTAATTTTTTTATTTTAGTATTGAATTATTTATTATCAAAAAATTTAAGGCACAGCTATAATTTGCTTTTAAAATTAAGTAAAAAAAAATTGATTTCATGATTTTATCTCATTTTGCTTAAATTAATAAAGACGTTTAAAAATTTTATGACTTTATCAAAGATAAAAAATGAAATTATTGTTTGCAAATTACATTATAAAATCAAAAATTAATTTTTATTTTAAAATATTTTAAAGTTCAATATAAAATTTTTAAAAATAGTTGAATAAAGTATATTACATAAATAAATAGGATACTTTTTTAATGTTACTAAGAGTAAGAATTGCTAATTTTAATTATATTTGTTAAAGTTCAAGTACACATTTTGCAGAAAAATTTAACTATAGTAAATTTGTTACAAAAATTAATAGGTTTATATTTTCAAGTGAGTATTAGTAAAATCTATGTAAAAATGTATCAAAGTCATTATTTCTAACTAATAATAAAACAAAGCTAGAAACTAGTGAAAATATAATTACAATATTTTAAGCTAAATAATAAAAGTGATATATATAATAAAATCAAAATAGGTATTATTTTTAAAAGCTTAAAAATTATAAAAAATTCATAGTATGATAATTATTTTAGTTAAAAAATATGCTTATACTAATATTAAGTAATAATGAATTTTATTTTCCAATTATTAATGATATTCTCTCCTAAATTTATATATTCCATTATTTCTAAACATTCATTTTTATTAAAAAAATAAAATAGTTTAGATAATATTAACATTTAATTTTCATTTTAATGAGAGTAAAAGTTGTGAAAGCTAATAATTTTTTAATCGTAGTAAAAAAATAAATAACTTAGGTGCAAACAAAATAATTTGAAATATTAGTAATTAAACTCTTGATCACATTCTTTCAATTACATAATTTTAATAAAATATATAAAAAAATAGAAAACAAAATTATAAATTTCTAAACAGAAAAAATCATAGATTTTAATAAAATAAGAATTTTATTTAATCTAAATCAGCTTATTTTTATTTTCCGAAAACTATTATTAAGTGATGACAAGTAAGTAATATGGTATTCATTTTTTCATTAGCAAAATAATTTTTTTTAAATTAAAGTCTGTAAGTTTATATTTGCATTTAGTGTCGCAAGAATATTTTTTTTATATTATATTCTCTATTTCTAAAAATCAAAAATTTTTTTTAGTATATTCTATATCCTGAAATTTTAAAAATAATTCTTGGCTAATATTCTTCATTCTGTAAATATCAAAAAAAAATTATGTATTTTTGAAATTATAATCAATTAAAATATTAATTTTAATTCTATTATAAAATATAAAAATCTGATTTTTTAATAAATAATTAAAAAATCTATTTCATTATAAGTTAATTCCAAACGACGGAATTTTTGAATGGAATCTTGCTATATTTTAACAATTTAATAAACTAAAAATAATTTTAAATTAGAAATAAAAATTCAATCTTAATATTTTTTTACAAATATTTAAAAACAAATAAATATTATTTTTATATCTAATGAACAGACTAACATTTTGTTTGAGTGAGTTTTAATACCTTTAAGGAAACTCAAAAAATCTTTATATTCAAAAATCATCAACTTCTTAAAAATATATTATATCTAAATTTGAATTAAATTAAATATTGTTAGAACTACCAAAATCAATAGCTAAATAGTATGAACTATTTGGATTTAAGAGATAATCCTCATTTAATTGATTTATATATTTTAATTCTGGAAAATCAAGAAAACTAAAATATTGTATTTATTTTTCTTATATATTTATTCTCATTTCAATAATCATATTTTTTTAAATTTAATAAAAATTAAATCCCTCAACTACTTATCCTGCATACGTATTAAAATTTTAACCAAAAGCTTTGCCATAATGCGTTTTATTAAGAGTATTTTCTACATTTTTATCATCTATCAATCCTAAAATAATCCGGCTACCACCATAATCATTAAATTTAAATCTAACAATATACTTCTTATTTTAATTTAGTTCATATTTAAAATAAACGCAGCCTCTAATAACAATATCTTTTTTTAAAATATTTATTTTATTTTGGATGGTATCATCTTAAACTACTATTAAGTTAGATTATTCACGATTTTGAAATGAATATTTACCAAAGAGGTTTTATATTTTGTTATTTTTTAAACAAATTTAATTATACCAAGAAGACAAACAATTATTAAAAATATCTTCTTAATTATATTTGCTTTTAAAATATTTAAATTATTTCATAAATTCATCATGAAATTAAAAAAAATTTGATTCTCCTTATTTTTCAATCAAATTATGAATTTATTGCTTTTTATTTCTATATTCTTCATTTTCATTACTAAGTATCTTAATTTGAGCATCATACTCATCTAATTTTTGTAAAAAACTTTTTTCTATGTTACTAAGATCAAGTTATTATTTAGGTAATTGCTAATATTTTTTTAATCTACCAAAAATATCTAAAATAATGATAGTATTCACTTCTTTTTATTCATATTATTTTTTAAAAAATTCTATTAGCTAATTAATTGATTCTTCTTTGCTTTCTTTGAAAGTTAAAATTGATTTTAATTCTTATATTTTTGAAATTTATGTATAAGTTTTAAAAATATCTTCCTAATTGATTTTCTAGCTGAGGGCATATGAGATTGCTAATTTTTTAATTTCCTATATCTTTTAAATAATTTCATCTTAAAAATTTTTAAATGATTATTCTATTTGTTATATAGGATCTATTTTATTTTATAAAGCAGCCTCAATCTCATCAATAATTTTTTTATCAACCAGAGGTGGCAAGTAGCTAAAAATATAATTATCTTAACTATTTATAAGCGCTTCAATAAATAGACAATCTTCTGAAGATTTATCCTTAATTATACATTCACCACATTTCAAAAAGTTATCTGGATCATTATAAGAAGAAGTTTTAATATAACTAATTGCAAGATTATGTCTTTTGCAATTAATTTATTACCTTAAATTTAAGTTTTCCATTTTAGTTGTTTTATTGCTTTTTATTTTTTGAATTAAATAATATAAATTTGATTGATATCTTATTTTACATTAAAATTTTATATCTCAAAAAAAATTACGATTTGATTTTGATATAAATATATTCATTTTAACTTATTGATTGATAACAAACGATCAATTAGGATTAATATTTTAATATTTGGAAAAGTGTTAAATTTAATATACAATTATTATTAAATTTAGCAAACCTAATAAAATAATATTTTTATATTTTATTTATTTTATTTTTTAAAATTTAATTTGTGCAAACTTAAATAAAAAAAATACTACCATAATTCCTTGGACATACCCAAGTTGAGGAGCCTAAGGCATCATTTACTTTTCCACTTTTTTTTAATATTATTATTTTAGATGCATCAAAATTTTAATTTTATGAAATAAGAAACATATATGGTAGATTTTGATATGGTTAGGTATTAGCTATTTATTTGATATATTTTATTTTGATCTAAACAGGAAAAAATAATTTTATTTAAATTAAATATTGAAAAATAAAATTAAATAATTCAATGATATCCATTAGATTTTACATAATTTATATCTTTTAATTTTTTATCAGTTGTTTATGAATTCAAAATAGCATTTATATTAACGATAGAATAATCAATTTTAAGAATTCAAAAAAATACATTTTTTAAAATTTATAAATATAATATTAAATAGAATTACTTATTAAAGATTTTTTATTTTAATCGTTTTTTAATCTAGTTTTGCTATCTAAAGCCGCTTGAGGGAAAAATACTTTTTAAAAAAAGTTAAATATTTCTTAGTTGATATTGGTTATTAATTTATCTTTATCTTCTGTTAACACAAATTAGTTAAAACTTTCTTTAATACAAGCAAAAATTATTCTGCAAATTGCAACAAAATAATCATTTGAAAAAATTTGAAAATAAAAAGGGCAATAATTAATTGAATAAATAAATAAAAAAGAAATCAATGAATTGAATAATTAATTTAATAGATAGATAGAAAATATAATTAGAATAATAATAAAGAAATAAACAAATAAATATATTGAAAAAGATATTTACAAAAGACAATCAAGTAAATAAATAAATTAATAAGTATTCAACCAATAATATGATGAATTATCCTTAAGATAATTATCCCTACGACGCTGGTTTTAACAATAATAATTAGCATTAGAATATCGCATACTCTCCTTTGCAATATGGAGTAACTTAAAAAGTCAACACTCCTGATGAAGCTAAAGTTGAGAAACTTCTTCTCGTTATAACTGTATGAGTTTATTTATCATGATAAAATTGATTAATTTGTTTATAAAAATTATTAGTGGGTCAGTATTTTTAACTGCGTCATGAAAATGGACTACAATGTAGCTATTTATTTATTCTTATACTATATTTGGGTAACAAGAACTAGCACAAATCACTATAAAGCTGTAAGATTTTCTTAAATAATTTATAATAGTTGTGAATGAAATATAATAATTCACTAGATAGCAGATATTTCATATTAATGAACAATATCTCATTCATTTTTCTATAATAATAAGTTCTTATTAGCTAACGCTGTCTTTATTGGTCTTGACATTTTATGGTTTTTAATTAACGTAAACTCATGGGGAAGCGGATATGAAGACGAAAAACATTTGTACCCTGTTTGGTTAAGTTTCAGACTCTACCGTATTTTTACTTTAACAATCAGTGCTATTATCATCCTTTTGAAGGTAATTTAATAAATATATAATTCACACAAAATTAAATTTGAATGTTAAAAAATGTATTCATTCATTTTGTTAGTTATTAATTTTAATATTATTTTGTTAAATCAACAGATTGCTTTAGCCTTATTTTAATACAAAGCTTTCTCTGCAACATAACCCAAGGTTAATCCTTAATTCAATCCTGCTAATCCTGGAGCAGTTGGTGGCTAACTTTTCAATCCTAGTGCCAACCCTAACACTTATCCACCCTAATAAAACTTTGGTTTTTGAAGTCTTGTTTATTTTTCCTATATATTTGTAATAATTTGAAGAATTTGCATTTAAGAGAATTAAGTTTAGAATTTATTTTTCGTTTTTTTTGATAAAAATTTAAATTGAAATGATTTTTATATTTTTAAAATATATTTATTTTTTAATATTTTCAAATTTATAAATTAATAATTTTATGTTGATAAATTTGCTAATGAGATGTATGTATGAAAATATTTGAATGGTTAAAATAGTATCATAGTAGTTAAGCAATATGATTATAATATTGTTAGTGCATTAACTGTTTGAAGATTTTTGTCATGTTGAAATAATAGATTTTTAAAAATGTTAGTTGTTTATTTAGTTTATTTATTAATATATTAAATTGATAGATTTTAGATGAAATATTATTTATACTATATAAAATTTGTTTGTTTAATTTGTTTTACTTTTTACTTTTATACAATTTTTTAAGTAAATTGACAAAATAATTAAGCACTTATTTGTAGGTTCAATAATAATGATATCTGATACCTAATAACAAATGAAGAAATTTTCAATAGTTGATCTTCAAAGAGAACTCAAAGAATATTAGGAAGAAAATAAAGATTTATATAAAAATTTATCATTGAATTTAGATGTTTAAAATCTGGCCATGTTTTAGCAAGGATCAATCAGTAATTTAAATATTTTAAAATGATAAAATGAAATTATCAAGTATTCAAAATTCATGTATTTTATTATATTTGGCTAAATAGAATAGCTATCAGATGAGCAGAAGGAGGCACTTATTCAAAATTTTAGCAAAGAAAATTAATAGCTAAAACAATTAATTGAAAAAATGACTTAAGATCGTAATGTTGCTTAATCAAAGGTGAGTATAATAATTTAAATCATAGCTTGAAAAATATTTTTAATTAAGGATTTAGCTAATACATTTTATTATTAATGTAAATAAAGTCGATTTTGATAGAGCAACAAACAGAGGAGAATGAGAATTTTAAAAAAATGATGAGATATGAGTTAGAAGAGAGGATTAAAGAAATCCGCAAAATTTTAGTTGAAAAAGAATCTGTCATTTAGTAAATAGAAATAGATAAAAATAGTCTTTAAAATGCAGGATAAAAGGAAAGTGATCCCTAATTAAATGACACAAATTAAATGTCAGTGCATAAAGATGTAAATAATCAAAAAAATATATTGAAATTTAACAATTTTTTATTAAAAAGGTACTGACTGCAAGCGTTCCTTTGTTTCGCATACACGAAGAAACGGAATAGTTGAAGAAAGAAATAGTTAAGAGTGTACAACAAATTGAAACTTTGAACCAAAAAAATAAAAAATGCAGATAAAACACAAAAGTAAATTAATAAAACTAAAAAAAAATGAGATATTTTACTATTTATTTTTATAAATTAGCTTATAAGATTTTAAATAGAGCAGCTTAAAAACGCTCTTCTATCGTCAAATATAAAGAAAAAAAGTAATTAATTAATTAAAATATATTTTTTTAGTTTTAGTTATTGTTAAGGATATCATTTTAATTCAGCCTAAATAATTAAATATAATAAATAGAGTGTATTACAGAATAGTAAAATATATTCAGTGATGACGAAGATTACAACTGTGCACACCTTTCAAAAAAAGTATCATAATTCGAAAATGAGAAACTGAAAATGAAATTACTTGCTGAAAAAGCTAATTTTATAAAATAAAATAAAATGAAAAATGAAAATATTCAATATGGACTAGGAACTCAAAGAAATCAAAAGATTTCTCAGTAAAAATATTTCTTCAAATGAAATTATTATTTAAATGCTAAACATACAAATTAGGATGGAAACAGATATTGAGAAGTATAAAAATTTAACACAGATATGGCTTGATTAAAACAAAAGGAAGGTGAGCTAACTAAAAAAGCTTTAAAGATATAACCAGACATTAGAAAAATCTAATGAATAACTTATAGAAAACTATCATAAATTACAATAGAAAATAAGCTCTATGACTTAAAATTTAAAATAATATAAGGACTCATACTACTAGATTATGAATCGAAAAAAGATGAGAAATCATAACTCTAATATATCTTCTTTGATGAACTCAACTAATACATAGTAGACTGCCTATTCCAATTAGAATTCTATTGGCCAAAGTGATTTTCTTTCGCCAAAATCACAAGTTAAGTAAGTAGGATTCGAAGAATTAGTGTAAGATTATTGAAAATTAATAGTTGTTAAATTAAATTTTAATTGAAGCAAAAAGAATGAAGAGAAGGACTTAATTAGTGTGGAAGAAGAAGAAATAGATGAAGATATAAGCCAAAGAAGAACACTTAGTTAGTATTAATCTATTGGTTAAAAAAATAATGAACTTTAAAAGAAACTCTCCTAATTTAACAATGGGGATTTTTATTATGATGAATATTATGATAAAAAACCTTTCCCTCCAATGCAGAGAAAAAAGCAAAGCATCTCTCATTTGTACAAAATAAAGTAATAGCTAGGTTAGCTAAAGAAATAGTATCATTTCTCTTTAAATATAATGCCTTAGGATCCTAATTATGTTAATACCAATTTAATACCAAAACAATAAATTAAAATAGCTCGCAGTCTTTCAGATTGCGTTTTAGATACCTAGCAAAATGAAAAATGTGTACTTTGGTCTTTAGAAAAAAGAAAAGTATCTCACTTCTTTTAATAAGATCCATTTTTATTCTCTCCAGAAAATTCTGGAGGTGGTGAAGAAGATGGAGATATTTGCAACTCTATGAATAGAAACGATGAAAAAAATAGAAAGAGACCTAGTACTCAACTAGTACATAATAATAGTTTCTTCAGAGAACTTGATATCTCAATGATATTCCATGAAAAAAAAAATAAAAAATGAGATATTTGTTGACCTCTTTAAACAAATTAAAATTAATAAATAAATAAATAAACAGCTATAAGTTACATTTTTAAGTCAAACCTTAAAAAAATAAAATTCATCATTCTATCTATCTTAATGACATAAATAACTTATTTTATCATTTTTCAATGTCTCTTTGCAATAATATTTGATAAAAAAGTATTGATAAAAATTTAATTATTTTAATTAATTATAGTCATAATTTAAGTATATTTTGTTGCTTAAATGTTTTATTTTAAATTTGAAAAAATCAAATAGTTTATTTACATTAGATAATTCAATTATAATTATTATTATTATTCAAAATAAATGCAGAGTTTTAATTTATAGGTTATATATTTTATAAAGTTTTTTATTAATCTTAATGGACTTTTGATTAAATTTACTTAAACACATGGCTAGAAAGCTTAATTAAATCTTTAGGATATTCATTTTTTTAGCTTTTGATATCACTTGAAGACATAATTTGCTTAGTTTTAAAGAAATTGACTGGAAGTTTTACAGTTTAAATAATTTTTCTTTGGTCAAGATGGTTTTTATATGAATTTTAAATCAGGTTTTGACTGTTTTATTGAATCTGCTGAAGCTTTTCAACAGATTATGACTTTGGTGTTTTATAAATTAGTTCAAAATTATTCTTAGAAGGTATTTTAGACAAGATATTTTTAGGAAAATAATGATGTTAAGAGGCATCTAAAGCAAGATTTGTATCAAATGTTTATTCACTCTCGCTTGATTGTAAATACTGGCTTATGCTTCTAAACTTTTTTTCTGGTGAAGATTGTGAAGCAATTAAAATCTTTTTTTTAGGTTTAGCAACAATTGCACTATTGTTCAGATTGCTTTTTATGTGGTAAGTTAATGATGGAAGCTAGTTTGAAATGTTTAATTTAACAATTTGTTAGCTTTGCACTTTTTTAATTAGATCAACTTTCAACTTTTCTTATTAAAGTATTTTTTGTAAATGCTCATTCATTTGATTTTGATTTGAAAGTTCTCTTTCTCCAGGAGTTAACTTATTGGTTATTTATGGAACAAAATCTCTCTACTACTTAAGAATATTGTAATATTACATTAAGCTCTGCTTGTGCTTAAGCTTTTAATTGTAGTTCGTTTCTGAAGTGTATTTATCAAATAAAAATGACATTATTTCGAAATATCTATTATTGTTTTTTTTCTAATAATTTTATATAAAATTGTAAATTTTTTCTTCAAAATAGCTATTAGTTCTATTCCTGACATGCTAAGTATTATTATTTGCACTTGAGTTGTTGCATTATGAAACCGAAGGCATCTTTTATTATAGTAAGCTCTGCCTTTTCTTTAGATATTGCTCACATATGTTAAATGCTGTTTTGCTTGAAAGAATATTATTTTTCATTTGGTTTTTCTCCATAATTTCATTCCTGTAGAGCTGGTATCTAGTTTGAAATGTTTAATTGTTAACTTGACTTCCGTTGCTTATCATTGACTCTTACAGTTTTTACTATGAGTTATTTAAAGTATTTTAATTAACTTATTCATTAACAGAATTTAAGTGTATAGGGTATTCAATATGCTTCAAAGAGGTTTTATTTAAGTATTTCTACGAATGGTTTTTCTTTGAGTTGAGCTCAGAATTTCCTAGTTATAAGTCACTCATTTTATTTTCAATATTTTATTTTCCATTGCTTTTGTTAAATTTCTCATTTCTCAGTAATTTAAGAAGCTTATTAACTTTTCCTGTTTGGATTTAAGTAGGATTATTTTCATTACTAGGTTACAATATGTTAGAGATTATTAGTGAATTTTAATTATCTTTTTTTTACTTATGATTGAAATTAATAAACGAATTATCATCTTTTTAAGAATTTATCACATCTTAAACTTTAATAGTTTCGGATTAGCAAAAAGAATTTTTTGTTTCGCAATAACTTGATCTCTCTCTCTTCAGTTGAAGGTCTTTTTCCTAAGACTTAGCACTCCTATTTGTGACTCTACTTAATAGTTTACTACCTCTTTTGGAAGTATTCATACTGTTATTCATATTTTCAATACTATCAAGAAGGTTTCCAAGTTTCTTTAAAGTGTTTGTTTAAGCATAATTTTAAAGCCTCTCAGCTGATTCACTTTTAAAGTTATAGTTTTCAGTATACTACCTTCCATCTTTAACTTAAATAGGTTTTATAAGTTTATTTTAGTTTGCTTCTTCTTGCTAAAACTCGAATGAACTATCGTTAAAATTACTGTATCCAGCTATTTTCCCACCAAAAAAATGAGGACTTTCAGTATCATCGTCCTCTTATGCTTGCCACTGGACAAAGCTCCCTTATTAAATAATTTTATCCTAGTCTCGATCAAGAGAAGAATAGTTAATCAAGTAATTTTAAGGAAACATATTCTACCTTTCTTAATCTGTCGGAATCATTTAAGAAATAATTTCTGCAAAATTAATATTACACAATTACTATACTAATTAATAAAAAAATCAATTAAACAAATTTTAATTGCTATTGAATTTTTATAATTTTACTGCTTACACTCTATTTTTAATAAATTTTAAACTTATTATTTTTATGATAAAATCATTCAATAGATTTAAGTCTTTATTATGGTAGATTAAAGTTTTCAATATGAAGGGTTAATAGGAAGTATTCAAATTAAACAATAATTTTCTTTGTTAATTTATTTACATTTCAAAACAAAAAGGTGACTACTTTTTTCAATATTAAAAATATTCAGTCTATGCTAATATTTTTTAAAGTTATAATTTTATTTATTTGCTAATTTAATTTGTTCTCTACTGAATTATTAAAGCTTACTTAATCTCATAATATATAGTTATAAGATTTATTTTAACTTATACAATTTAATTCATTCAAAATATTTCAAATTAAAATTTTCAAACGAAATCCAAAAAAAAATGCAGCAAAATTAAAAAATTAAAATTCATTTTAGAACCAATAAAAATAAATTTAAATTATGAAATTCTTTTTAAATAAAATTTGTTCATTAAATTTCATATCTCATTAAATTATTTAATTTTTAAATAAAAAATATTTTTTTAATTGTTTTTGACAGAAAATTATTTTATTTTATTTTGATGTGTTTTTTTGGTAATCTTTTAATACAAAAAATATTAATTTGAAAATTGAAAGAAGTTTTAAAAATAAAACCTTGAATTTAATTAAATTTATTTAGCTGTATCATTTTAAAATAATTCTAATTATTAATTTATAATTTTATCTATTCAATGTATTTATTTATGGATTTATTTGCCTCTATTTATTGAATACTAGCAATAAATATCCTTTCTTGCTAGTGAATCTTAAAAAAGATATCTGACCAAATGAGGGATAGATATGCTTCTTATATTGTACAAATTTTAACTAATAAAATGGGTTTAACTCTAACAAATTGATTCTTTTGATTATGATTCCTGTTGTAATATGATAAACTGCTTGATATAACTGTACTTTTGATGTAGTTGTATGATAAATGCTTTAATATCATTAATAGATTAGCTAAATTCTATTACATATTTTTATTTTATAAAAAAATAAACAGAAATATTCTTTTAAAATATTCAAGGATAATGAATGAATGAGAGAAAAATCATCAAATTAGATTTTTTTTGAAGAGAGCCTTTTGACTTCTAAAGTAAGATTGATAAGACGCAAAAAGGAATATTCATTATTGAAAAAACAGAAAAAAATGCATAATCACATCCAATATGAATAATAAGAATTATATCTTCTTATAACTAGATTTTAAAACTTTTCTAATCAACCAGTTTTTGTGCATTCATAAATGAATCGATGCTTCTTTTCCTTATTCCCATTATTGCTACTTTATTTTTACGCTAAGCGCTTACACTTTAACTATATTTTGAATTGTGTGCTAAAATAATCTTGGATTTCACAAGTACTTAGATTCAGCAAGCTTTCTAATATATTCAGCGTGAATTTTAGTTGCAATAGCGTGATTTTCAGCGCAAGTTTCTAAGATAAAATAAAATAATAATTATTATTTTTGATGACTAAATATGTTTTATATGAATTCTCAAAATAATCAATCATTTACTAAGGCAGCTTTCTTGCTTGGAAGAAAGACTTCCGTTATTATTGAGAGAGTCGCACTTCTTGACGCAGGAAGAAGTAGCTCTGTTCAAGTAAGCAACGGCTTGAGTGTAGTTGTGGTTTGAAACTTCAGTATCCATTTTACTTCTCTATTTATTTACTTGTTGCTAATTACTTTTTTCTTTCTTTTCTTTTCTATCTAAAATAATTAATTGATTTATTTATCTTTTTATTTGAAAGAACCTCTTTCTTTATTTATTTATTTAGATATTCGTCAACTCATTCTGTCATTTGATTATCTTTGCCTCTAAATATCTTATAAATTATAAATAAATAAACATGCATAATCATTTGTTAATAATTTAGAAAAATCAATAATTTAGATTAAATTGTTTGTGCTTCAATGCAACAAACTCCTAATCAAATAATATAATTTATTTTTTAATAATTCAACTTAAAATATAAAATCTAGTAAATAATAAAATTGGGGTTTGGGGTTGGGGTTGGGGTTGGGGT